AAGTTGGTCGCAAGATAGTAAAGTTCAGTGTGGCGATCGGGTCGTGAATAAAGCGCCGTTAGGTCAGGTACCGAATAGTATAGCACCGTAGGTCAAAGATAGGTAAGTTGTGGCAGATAGGGCAGTGGATTCGAGGAGAACAGTAGGTTGAAATGAGAGAGGTTGAGGGAGATAAAGCGGTGGTTCGAGGATGCGAAAGTTGGGGGAGGTATAGCAGTGGGTCGAGGGTAGAGAGATAGCGTAGTGGGTCGAGGATAGGAAGGTTGAGGGAGCTAGGGCAGTGGGTCGAGGATAGGAAAGTTGAGAGGGGTAGGGCTGGGCATTTCGAATCGAATCGAATAGTAATTCATTCGAATCGGTTAAGAGCAATTCGCGCATTTCGTTTTCCTAGTTTAAGCTTAGGGACTTGGGGAATATTTTATTAGTTGAATTGGATTGGAATATTTGACCTCGTCTTTCACTCCGAACAAGGCCATGTAAAACCATCCACTGGTATCTAAAGATGTGTAACGTGTTTTCTTTTGGAAGAACCGCAACCTTTCAGTGCTGCATTGACTTTGATAAAATTAATATATCCTTGTGGAGGTAGAAGGTATGCGTATGCAAAACCGAGATGTGCACCTGTTATGCCAACATAGTTGAGTCAAACGTTTTGAATACTAGTACATCACACACATTTTATTACGTGCTTCGGTTGTACGTAGTAACGCGCACAGTTTTGGGCACATGCATCAAATTCCACTTGATTATTGAGCTATTGGTTTTTGACGAGCTCTTGTGTATGATTTCATTCCATAGAATTTGTAATGCTGTTCTAAAGATACTAGTTTAAACTTTTTCATTGCATTCCAAACCGCGTGTTGAAAGTAAGTTTTGTAATATTCGCGTGTTGTTTCCACATCCTTAAATCGGGTGATGCCAGTTAAATCTTTAATACGAAAAAGATCAGTACCATCTGCAATAAAAACACGCAGTACTTCACTCAAAAATCGACAGCTGGGGGATAGATACTCCTCGAGTATCTGCTCCATCGCGTGCCTCTTACACGTCTTACCAGTTTACATGAGTGCCAATTGGTATCTAACCTCAGCCAGAGACAAAAAGTTTCGGACAGCAGTTGGCGTGACGAAATGTTTTTAAATATATTATATTCTACAATAAGATTATTTGATTGCATACTACTGAAAGTTCCGCCTTATATGTCTTTTCCTATTGCACTATTCCTTTACTGATATTCGATAATATGACCCTCATCTGACATAGTTCATAAAATGTGTAGATGGGTACTCAACAAATATACCGACTTACTTAAATTGTTATGCCACGCCCATTAGAAATTATTGTGCTACACAAAACCCTCGGGGCATGAAAATATGAATCTTTCCAAAACGAAGCAGCACAAAATAAATATAAAAGTTCGCTAATGCAAAAGTGTCCAAAATGTGAAGGAATCGGATTGTACGGATGCAAACTGAAGGAATTATATTACTATATAGAGATTATATAGCAGTTGATTTTGCACCTTTTCATTTCGAAGGAGACACAAATTAATACGGAAATAAAATTGCTGTAAATCCTACAAGGAGCTGGATATTTCAATGAATTGAGGCCAGCTCTGTGTATAAAGCCCACCCCGATCCCAGAGCAATTTTTAAAAAAAGAATAGACGAATAATTTTGCTTGGAAATAAAATAAAAAATGACACGAATTAAATTTCACATAATATTAATGCTATCATATAGTTTCAGAAAAAACTGTTCGCTTTAATACATTTCAGGCCTTAGCCGATAATAAAGCATTTTAACGTTCACACATTATTTATCTCCTTTTTTGGTCTTTTTTTACGGTTATCCACATTCGAGCATTTTAACATGACCTGACACGTGTGGCAAGATAGTTCATTACAAATTTATTCGGAATCACTGTTAAGGGTCTAAATCAGAGACAGGCTTACTACAGCCCGCGGGCCAAATCCGGCCCGTTGGGCAATATAACCTGGCCCGCCTGATACTTCCACAACCAAATTGAAAGGTACAAGCGTAACGTAATTCAAACGCGTAAAGGTAAATTGAAGCGTAAAAAATAGCTCAAGAAATTTGTTGAGGTTGCGATTAAATTTAGTTTCAGCACGAGGCTTATTGTTGTCCACTTTTGCTTTCGTAACACTGTAAATATCGTTCATAAAATGTAACTTTTACGTCACACTTGGTCGCTAGTCCAAAAACCTTGCCCACCTCAGGTCTAAATTCACCGAGTTTATTGCACCGTCTTTTTTATCAAGTATATCAATTTTAAAAGTTATGACGTCTTGATAGTCTGACCCAATAGTCTCAAAATCGGTCTGAGGCGGCACTGATCACACATTTCAGAGTTTCATAGTGTCAGAGTTCGACTGTGGTAATAGTTCTGATCAGAGTTAGATAATAATATACATTATAAAACAAAATGCAATAATACACCAAAGAGCCAAATGACAGTTGTCTAATGCAGGGTTTCCCAAACTTTTCCGGCCGCGGACCCCTTGATGTGAATTTTATTTCTGACGGACCCCCATCCTATGCCGTATCAATTTATGTGCCTAATCAACGTGGAAGGATGATGTTTGATTTACAACACAAACGACATTAATGTGAAGGATGAAGTTGCTTCTCACGGCACAATTTATCAATTTGAAACAAGCACAATCGTAGGTCCGACTCTACGGGACGTCTCGACCTATTTTTTGTCATCATACTGCCTTTTTGACAGCAATGGATATTTTTCCCGTATCAACCAAAAAGATGCAATGACACTTTGATTGAAATCATTCATTAAAGATCGATCAGACACTTTTCACATACCTGCGGACCCCCTGTGAAGTCATCACGGGCCACAGGGGCCCCCTGACCCCTGTTTGGGAAATCCTGGTCTAATGTTCTTTCCCGAGTATGTGATAATATTTTGTACAAATATCAAAACAGGCTATTTTTAATGCTTTGTGTTGCAAACGAGAAAAACAAGATGAATGTTTTGAATATTTTACCTTCTTTAGTCTTTGCTAAACGATAATTTGAAGTTTTGATGTCGACCTCACTTTCACAACGCTTCTGGCTTCCCTCTGAAGTCGAATGAGAAAAATTCAGTTTTAACAAACTACCTATGACGAATGCTTACAGCTGCTAAAGTCCTCTAATCGAGGGGTGTGTAAATTACAGCCCGCGGGCCGGATCAAGCCCACCGGAGTGTTTCATCAGAAATTATCCGTCTGCTGAAATTACAACTATAGTTTTTATGGATATAAATTTCCGTTCAAAATTTCGAGGAAATGACGTCATGATGACCCCGATTGTTACATTGTGCGTCTTATTATTGTATACACATTAGCCTAGCTGTTGTGAATAAACTGTTTTTATTCATAGTTTTCATATTGAGTTTTGAGCTTCCGGCCCAGTGACCAAGTCTATTATCTGTAACTGGCCCACTCGGAAAAGTAATTGCGCATTAATACATTACCAGGACTTCGAGAATCTAAGACAAAAAGTTTCCGATTCCCGGAGAGGGGGCTTGGTCATGTTGTCTAACTAAAGCAGGGGTGTGCAACCTTTTTTACATGCGGGCCAAATACAAGTAACTGGGTAAAGCCGCAGGCCGCACCAAAAAGCTCTACCTACGAAAGTCTTTGGATACGAAAAATTCGTAGTTTTTATCCGGTATTTCTCGGTCCTTTCTTCTTACCATATGTACCTTACAGAATTTTCTACTTGCGAAGGGATTTTCGTAATTGGAACGAGATTTATTTGGTCCAAGCCCTTCGTAAATAGAAAATTCCGCAAGTACGGACGCTCTTTACCTGAAAATGCATTAATCCGTTCCAAGTCCCCACAAAACTCGGACATAATATATATTTGACTTGGTTAAGCGAAGAACGTGAAGAAAGGGAGGACGGAGGTCGGTGAGAGGAGTTGAAATATAAGAGAGATCGTAATGTACGAAAATGAGCACACGCCCATGAAATTCAAAATTAGAATTTAGTCTTTTTATTTTGCAATTATATTTATTCATTTTTGATTTCATTTTCTATAGTTTAAACTGTTACGCGTATCATTGTCTTCTCAACTAAAATGGAGTGGGACTTATTGTACGTACCCGCGGAAAACAAACGGGCCAAAGGGATGGTATATATTTGATTGGCACGTGGCAGGGCAGCTACCACGGAATTTTATTTTGATATTGCTCACGACACCATTTGTCGATTCAAAAAACACAAATGTAATTACGCGATCATCGTCATTATCAAATGAGTGAACCTGACTTGCCAATAAAAGAGAATTAAGACCAGAAATCTTCTTTAATTTTGCGAGTCGGCGCTGATTCAAATATATCATGTCAGCTCTTATGATTTTATTTTTAAATATAAAATAATACCGTCAACTTAAACTTAACGATATTGTCATTAGCGACGCCGCGATAGACACTAAATAATGTTTAAGAGCTATTTTAGACGCTCTAAATTGTAAGAAATGAAAAAACTTGCCCTTATGCTCGGTGACTACCGAAATGAATGGATGAAAACAATTAATTAGAAATGTGATATTTTTGTGCACGATAGACGTGATATTTGAAAGTAATAAAAAGTTTATAACTTCTGCTCAATGATTTTAAAACAATGGTAGATCTCGAAAAAATGCCTACGTTTTAAAAATCAGTTAATCGTGATTAGAGGGATTCGTTTACAATTTTTGTATCCGAAGGCCTGCGAAATACGGATCTTTTGTACAAAGCCTCCATTGCTAATGCAAAATGTGAAAAAAAACTACGTTCTGAAATAACAAATTAGTAACTATCCAGTTGCCATTCGGGTTAGGAATGATTTGAGGTTTTGAATTTCCGACGCAGGTGCGGAGGTGGTGGTTTTTATAAAGAATCTTTATACAAAGAATCCCGAAATACTTTCTGAGGCATTATCAACCAGAATTTTGCATATTAACGCGACACAAAATGTCATGAAGGAAGATTCGATAATGCGTAGGTTGATATTACCATTGGGGGAAAGGGTAAATCGTAACGAATTCTAAAATTTTTATGCAACTGTCGACGCAATTAGGCAGGCCACTCGTGAAAAGAGCCCACTTTTTTTGACAATTAATGTTTTTTACTGGTATGTTATGTTGTCGGTTAGCGATTTTGCAGTTGTGCAAAGTATTTCATCGGCGACCATAGGAGTCTATTTATAATTTATTATAAATTAAATATAAATATATAATGCGGCTGCGCCCACAAATTGAAAACATTACTATGATGAAATATCACATCACATCCAATCAATCAATCTACGGCCATAAAAAGTGTTTCCAACTGCCCGATTATACTTAGTTTTGATTCATATTTTTGCGATGTTACGAATTAGTTTTACAATTATGATGTTCTTGCATCACTGACTGTCTCTATCACAAGCTATTTATATTAAGCTCCGAGAAATCCCTAGATCTGCTATCTGCTATAAAATATCAAAAACTACAATTTATTCCAATCAGTGCATTAAAAATTGATTTTGCATTACGTAGGTAGTAGGCTCTAAACCAGTGTTTCCCAACCCGAGTCCGCGGTCTCAAATGAGTCCGCGGAGCGTTAAAATGAGTCCGCAACGACCAAATCAGAAAGTTATGTAGTAGTAAATTTTATGTAGGTCACTAACGTTTTTAGTTTCGCGAAATTCGCAAACGTTCTTTACCAAACTTATATACCATCCAAGTTACGATTTACGTTGGTATTTACATGAAACATAAAAATAAAGTTTATTCACATACGATTAATCGAGACAATAATCACTGGTTACTGAGTAGGGTCGGGCAAAGTATATATTTTGACATTGAACTATTTGAATATCCGGTAACATGTTTCTTGGACACGGCACATCACTCGCACCTCGCTGAATCAAACGATTTGACTGCATAACGGACTTTAGGATTTCTGACAAAAACACCGAGTCTACACGCAACTTTCGCTTACAGACAAAGACGGTAAAATTGATTGTTATATTAGTGTTTTTGGACACGTTTAGTGGCCATAACGATCGTTTCAATATTATGTTGTTGTTCTTGTTCTTTGACACGTTTTTAAAAAGTCGCTTTTCTCTTCGAATACTGGACCAATTGCTTTGAAATTTTCAGTGGTTAAAGATTAATTTTTTCGCTAGAAGGCTATTACTTTTATTTATTTCAAAATTTTGCGTGAATTCTATGAAATTTGATATTTCGTCTAAAATTTTGCTGTATTATTTTTTATCCATGGGAACACGGATTTTAGTCAGTGTCATGACTGGCTGTACGTTTTGATTCTGCAAAATTCTTGCTACTGGAAATTCAGAACTTTTTTGAGGGTACCGGTAGCGTCAAAGGTACCGGTAAGGACTGATTCGCTCTGGTCTAACGTGTCCATATATTTGTGCGTAGCTCTCTTGTTTTTTATCTATTCGTTTCCTGTAGCTCCATTGCTCCTACTTTTAATTAATCTTATTGTCGCGCGAGTTTCTCATCTTTTTAGTTGGCCATTTGGTAAAATTCGAATCACCAATGCAATTAACTAATTAAGGAACATTTCAAAAATTTCCGAGCGGATATATCAATTTGGATGAGGAATACCATTAATTTAATTCTATCAATTTCAACGGATACGCAGTAACAACATTTCAGCAGATTTGTTTTGAAGCCGAAATAATATAGATACGAATACACGATAAAAAAAAAGACAGCGAAACCGGGAGCTAGCCATAAAGATACCGTTCGTTTTTAATTTAACGAAGGCGATAAGGACAATCAAAGCCGACACGAAAGGTAATCGTAATGAAATTGATTTACAAATTCATTCCTATAATTTTCCTCAGCTAATCGTGCTCAGTGATCGCATAATAATTTTTGAGTTTGTGAGATCGAGCAGTTCTCGATGTCCACCAGATCGCAAAACATGTAATAATCACACCAATATCATAAAACTTACTTTAGTGGTGAGAATTTTCGTTTCGTGGCAGAAATCGGTACATCTCTAGTAAGTAGTCCTCGGCCGTAAAAGCAACGTTTATTTCCTCACACGTAAATTTGAACGGCGTACATCGCTGATTTCGTCACAACAACTCTAGAATGCCTTTTGTGCTCTCGTTTGACATTTAACTCTCCCACGGCCAGGATCACGAGGATGAAAGTAGAACTGCGCTTTCTCGGTTTGTAATGGCAAAACGAAAACAAGTATTCTCATATAACGCAAACTTTTTAAGCTCGGATTTACATCAGTTGAAGTAAATGGCGAAGTCAGACCACAATGTGTGTTGTGTTTGGAAGTGTTAGCTCACAGCTCTTTGAAAGAAACTAAACTTCCACGGCATCTTGAGTTGAAACATGCAACATACTGTGATAAAAATCATGAATTTTCTTTGAGAAAAGAACTGCATGTCAAAAGAACACGCATTGATCGTCCAAGTATTTGGGGAGGAGTAACCTACTCTCATAAAGATGCAGTGCGGGCTTCCTTTTCAGTTGCATGGAAAATTGCTAGAGCAAAAGCTCCTCATACAACAGGAGAAAAGTTGGTTAAGCCAGCAGCCGTTGAAATGGCCAGAATAATGTGTAGTGAGGCCATTGCCAATAAACTGGCAATGGTTCCGTTGTCAGACAACACAATCAAAAGACGAACAGAAGAACTATCAGTCGATATTTTACAGCAGACTATTGCTGCTGTTAAGCGAAGTGGAAAATTTAGCCTGCAGTTGGATGAGACCACCGATATAGGGAACGATGCACAACTTATGGTGTTTGTACGTTGTCGTGCTACCGACAACTATCTGGAACATTTCCCTCTTTTGTCGTCCGCTTTCCAAAAATACCACAGGAGAAGAAATATTTAAAAAAGTGGATTCTTTCTACCAATAGCATCAGCTTTCGTGGACTGATTGCGTGTCTGCTTGTGCTGATGGGGCTCCATCAATGATGGGTATTAAAAAACGTTTTATGAGTTTCGTGAAAAAGGAAAATAATGACATTTTAATTGTTCATTGTTATCTTCACAGAGAAAACTTGGCAGCGAAAGAGATTCAAGAAAATCTGGCCTCGGTGTTCAAGGAGGTTGTATCTGTTGTTAATTACATAAAATCCTGCCCCTTGTGCACTCGTTTATTTCGCGTGTTTTGTGACGAAATGAGAGCTGAACACTGTGGACTTCTGTATCACTCGAACGTCCGTTGGCTATCGCGAGGAAGAGTGCTGGAAAGAGTAGCTAACTTACGCAGTGAAGTCGGTGCTTTTTTAAAAAAACAGAAGCATGAACTTTCAATGCGATTCAGCGATAACGAGTGGATTGCAAAGTTGGTATTCTTAGCAGATTTCTTCGACCATATAAATCAACTAAACACCTCTATGCAAGGATCAAACAAAATACTTTTGGATGTGTCAGAGGACATTGTCGCATTTAAAGCTAAAATACAGTTGTGGGTGCATCGAATGGAACATGGAAAGATAGCCGCGTTTCCGACTTTAAACGCATTTGCAGAAGATGAAGAATTTAATTTCCACAACATCCGTCCAATATTTCTCGAGCATCTTTCTTTATTTCTTTCCGAGTTGGATAGATATATCCCTTCACACGATTATAGCAGAACGTTTAACTGGGTTCGATGTCCTTTCGAGGTGTCAGCCCTACAGGTTCACCCAGAAACGGACTGCATTGCTGAACAACTGGTAGAGCTGCAAAGTCGACAGCTATAGAGAAACAAATTTAAAAAAGTTTCTCTCACACAGTTTTGGGCGGAAGTACAAACAAGAGAACCTAATCTATCTGATCTCTGTTGGCAGGCAACCAAAGCTCTTTTACTCTTTCCAACAACTTATCTTTGCGGGCTGGGTTTTCAGCCCTTACTATGATAAAAACCAAGTATCGTAATCAATTGCAACCAGAAGATGACATTAGATGTGCGTTGACGAATATAGGCCCTTATTTCGACAAACTAGTAGTGCAAGTTCAGGGACAAGGTTCCCATTGAAATTTGTAACTGTGGTTAATAAACTGATTTCGTTAAAATTCTGTTGTTTTTGGTTTTATTGCTTCTTCACATAGAGTTCGGTTACACAATTAACGCGCCTTGAGTCCGCGAAGACTTCCGCTGGTGAGAAAATAGTCCGCGACCAAAAAAGGTTGGGAAACGCTGCTCTAAACTTTCGTGTTAAAAATGCTGTGGTATTCGAAAGGAAATTCGGATCTCGAACATCCGAGCCGAGCGTTTATATTGCATTATATACTTGAATAACATCAGCTGTATGAATGCCGTTGTTCGTTTAGTAGATGAAAAACAACAGGTATCATACGGTAGTACGACTAAAAATTGTGCGGCCCGCTCACTCAGCGGTGACTGATGAAGTGGCCCGCGGCAGCAAATGGGTTTGTCACCCCTGCTCTAAAACAACGCGCGCGCTCAAAATTCAACTCTGAAAGGCTCTTATATATAACAATGCTTTTATCACTAATAACAAAATATCTACAACCTCCGAAATTTCGAAACACCCCTCTAAAATAAAAAGCAGGGGGAACATTGACTACTGATTTAAACAAGCACGAGTTCTTAAAAATGCCGAAAAATCGGTGACTACATCGTCAGTTGAAAAAAACGCGCACGCTTAAAACTCAACTCTAGATGGCTCTTATGTACTTGATTTTATTACTTTGAGGACTATTCATAACTTTAGGGGTTATATTCAATACTGACCTATCACATGTCCGCGACTGCCATAGAATAGCCCTGTAAACGAAACAGAAACGTAGCATCTTGACGTCTTGATGACACGCGAACGGCAAGTTTACTGACACGAGTACACGACTCAGGTCGAGGCAGCGTTGATTACCGAATTGATTACTATCCCGCACTTTTTAAAATTTCGGCTCCACCAATCAACGCGCGATTCTTCTTTTTCTGATGATATTTACCCCGCGCGTTTTTTTTTTAGAATCTTACGCTCAACCAATCAACGCTCGTTCCTACTTTGTCTGGTGACTATTACCACGCCCGTTTTCTAGAATATTCGGTTTTGCCAATCAAGCCTCATTTCCACTTACTTTGATGACTTTTACCCCGCGCGTTTTTTTTAAATCTTTGGGTTTACCAATCAACGCTTGGTTCTACTTACTCTGATATTTACTAGAACAGCGGTTATTAAACGACGGGCGTGAAGCTAATCTAAAATAAAAATATTTGTTTGATTTGATCTTGCCCGCCCTATTTCGGATAATCAAACTCCGGAAGTGTGTATACCAATATGGAGGAAGCTAATTTTATTCGCCTACCTTACATAAAGTTGTGTAAAGGGACTGAAACCTATGGGCGGGTGGATATTCACTTGGCTAACACTGACAGTCCCCGAACTTAAATAGAACTAAAGTGAGAAAAATCGAAATCAAATTATGGCCTAACCCCAACCTGGTACACATAATGCGGGAGTACCCACATTTTTTTTTTTGGATATTTACGTTCCATCCACGTTTTCGTTCGTCGAATAAACATAGCCTACTTTCGTTTAACTATATATATATATGTTAATTGTATATAATTGTTAACTAGTGATTTTTGAGGTGGGGCGCGAGACTTGACAAATTCCTAAAAGAGGGCGCGGCCCAAAAAGTTTGAGAACCACTGTTCTAGAATGTTCGGTCTTACCAATCAACGTTCAGTCCTACCAATCGACGCAAAATTTGTAAGAGCGAGAGTGAAAAATCCGTGGTTGAGAATGGCAAAAATTAACGTCTCCAAAATTACGATCCGGAATGAAATCCTTAAAAATAGATCGTGAACAAAAATTCGCTTCCTGCCACAATAGTGGTTGCCACATTACTCTATGACGTCATTTTCTCGTAGCGAATGAAACAAAACTATGGAGATAATTATGTGTGCGAGGGGATTGCTGCACTCCTCGCCGCCGTAGGATGGTTCACGTAACTGCAATGCCCATATGTTTGGACGTGACCTGAGATACCAATTACTCTGAAAATACAATGCTCGAATACACGGAGTAGTATCAAATCTTTTGCAATACTGGTTCATTATCAACCGGATCCCCAATATGTGATCACGAACCATGGCAAGGGGCGCGATTATTAATTTTGATGACGTCAACACTAATCTTTGAAGTAAAAAATGAATCCCATATGGTCCACAGATAGTTTTGAAAAACAAAAACGCAATAGCGATCCATAGTTCTATCTGGAGTCCAACAAGATTTTCTGGTTTTCCAGTCAGCAAAAATAAACTGCTAATAAAATAACCGGTGTCAGTCCTTGGTACAGAAAAAAAAATATTCCGCGTGATTTTGGTTAGAAATTAGATCAATAAGAGGCACTATATGCCCACTTCTTTTAATATGTCAACTTTTGAGTTCCTCTCACTTATTGGGAATTATCACAAACTCAACTCTTTCAGCTCATTTCGAGAAGCTTGTACCCCATACCTTACTGAGCAGAAGCCTTTATCAAATACAGCACAATTGCAGTCAAATTATGTATTGTGAGAATGTTTCAAAAAATGTACAAAAATACCAAACAAAGCGCATATCCTTCGATATTTCAACAATTCAGACGTATAATATTTCGAATTGGTTTTTGTTTTTTTAAATCGATCAATGTCAACGTCATCTCGAGGAAAAAAAAATTTTCCAAGAAGCGATTCTCGAAAGCATTCCTTTAAAATATGTTTATACGCTATGTTTGGAAATACATACGGCCATGTAAAACCGTGCTGCTACTGTTTTGCCACAAATAAAATCGAATCTATTACGTCTCCCCTTTTTTTCCCAGTGTGTCGTATTGCTGCCTTTATAGGAGGTTTTCCAGAAATCGTCCAAACAAAAATGTAATTTTTCAGAATTAAAAAAATGCACGAGGAACATATAATGTTTATTGTTATTTTATAATACCTGTAACTTATTCCAAGTGTAAAATCGTTCAGTATCAGTGTATGCAAGAGTAAAAAAGATAATTGTTCAATTATATAGTAAATTTAGTACAAAATTTACTACAAAACCACTTTTACCTATGATACAGATATATTTTTCATAAAATTACCGGAATATACACTATGTTTGGTATTATATATGTCCAGTTCAAAACGTGCTGCTACTATTCTGACATGCGGAAATCAAATCTTTAAGGTTTCTTCGCAGCGACCGTATACCGTCATCCCTAACCTGACACCACGGTACGGCCGTATTTCGTCACCCCTAACTTGACTCGACGACCCTATTTCGTCACCCCCAATTTGACACGCAACGACCGCATTTCGTCAGCCCTATTTTGACACCCCCAATATGACTTTTGTGCTACCACCTTTGTAGACCCGTTACAAAAAGTCATATTTTTTTTTAGCAAATAAACTGATTATTTTTAACTACTTTCTAATTAGCATTTTAAAATAATGGTTAAGTAATTGTCTATATTGTGGTATATATTATATACTCGTAGATAATGAACCTAAAAACCTGAAGGTGCATGATCTACTGAAAACACATGCTTAAATATTCGTATTGTTAAATATAACACAGGTTCAAAATAGATATTCTATAAAAATGCTGTTAAAAAAATAAACACAAGAAGTATTTATTGAAGAAAAAAAATTACTGAAATTAAACTCAAATTTTGCAGTTTTTACATCAAATATTTCCAAATGGCGACCTGATTGTTATCAATTTCTTTATCTGTCCTCTCATTACTTGTACTTATGAGAGAGAGAGATAGAGAAGGAAAGAGAGATTTTCCATTTTATTTTCAGGAAACAAAGTTAAAAAAGGACAATAGTAGGCCTACAGATTTATATGAAAATACAGTGCAGTGGATGACGCAACAATTCAATTCCCAGATAAACAATTACAAAAGGAAAATTACTACGATTATAAAAACAAAAGAGCTACGCCCCAATATATGAACATGTTAGACACGAGCGAATCAGACGCTACCGGTACCCTCAAAAAAGCTCTGGTTCCAGTAGTAAGAATTTTTCAGAATCACGCGGACTAAAATCCGTGTTCCCAGGGATAAAAAATAATACAGCGAAATTTTGGACGAAATATCAAATTTCATAGAATTCATACAAATTGTTCCAGTAATCGAACAGAAAAGCGATTTCTTCATAACGATACCAATGAGAATACAAATAAAAACAAGATAGAAATGCTCAAATCTATGGACACGTTAATCAAAGCAAAGCAGTCGTTTTGCCATGAGCTTGTGCCGTTTTGCCATGAGCGTGTTCTCTCATCCACGACAAATAATGTAATATAAAGCATACATATTCGCTAACAAACACATTTCATGAAGTGTGGTGAATAATCCAATTGAAAAATAATTCAAGAACAATAAACAATATTTCATGTCACACAGGCCTAATAGACTGGGAAATATTGACCAATGGTACAATTTTTTCTATTTACATTTTGCACCAGGACCAGGGTTGCCAGACTCCAGCGATCAAAAAAAGCCAAATCAAGACATAAAAAAGCCAGCAGAAAAAGCCAACAATTTTACGTACGAAAGCCCCATGATTTGTCAGATTTTGAGCCCTTGGAAACGTACTGATGAGAGAGAGAGAGAGATTTATTGATTCGTCAACCAAAACAAATATAAATATGAAAGCATAAATACAAATAAATAAACACTGTTTATGGTAAAGACTGGAGGGAGCGATACGACTATAGGGAGATGTGGTGCGGTCTTAGGGATAAAGACTGTTCACCCTAATATTCAAAGTTCGATTCCCACGTTATTAATTTCACGTGTTATGGAATGTGACTCCAATCTGGATTCCCTCAGACGATAATAAGCACACGATGATGATTGTCGACATGTTGTATATTATTGAAAAGATACACGATCCAAATTTCAAATACAGATAAAATTGTAAACACTTAATTCTTAATGCAGTAATATTACGGTCAGATCACAAGTCATATATCAAGTGAAACAAAAAAACACAATATTATAGAGCATTCTCGGCAAACCGGAAACGATACGTTATCAAATTGGTCGAAACGAGAAAGGCAATACATGGAGCGAATGCATTATCGCTGTTGCGAAACATAATGCGGCCTATTTTGTGAAATATTACATGCTATTAATATGAAAGGGTTAAATACATTATAATCCATAGTTACACAATGCACATTCGCTACACAATTCCCCCTCGACAGTAAAAAAAATTAACTTGGTAATTTTTTAAATTTTGTAGTCCGGTCGCCGAGAAATGAAAGTCTAAAAACAAAAAAAACACGAATCAATAAAAGGTACGATATGATGAATAATGGCTAAGGTATACGGGAGAATATACGTCGTTTACGAGAGCAAGAAAATACGTGAGAGAAAAAAAATCAAAAATACAAAAAAATTTCAAAGGGTCTCCGTGGTGCTTTGAAATGTTTAACATTTGAAAATGAAATTGTAACGATACATTGAAACAAAATGGCGACGATGTACCGGAAGGGACACCTTAAAATGTAAAACGGTTTTGATGTTTAATGAAGAGACTGAGAATGAATTAAATGGCGGGTTTCGTCCTAAAAATTGCATTGAAATTGATTAGATGTTTAAGGTCGTAAAATTGATGTTAGAGGTAACTTGAACAAAATAATAAGGAAGAAAAATCCTGAAAATTGAATAATGAGTGATTTGAAGAATTATTGAACCATTGAATCCTCGAGATTGAACCTGGATCAAATTCTGTATGAAGTAAAAGACTCATGATATCTAAAAACAACAATTGATTAGTAACAAGGAAATACACACAAAAGAAATGAGAATACGCAAAATTTTTATTTTGATGGTTTTGTAATATTTATATTTTTATAGTGAGGTGTTTTTATGTTTATGATGGATAATAATAAGAGAAAAGATAATAAAATACAAGACGATTAAATTGATAAAATGAAAATAAGTAATAACGAAGCGATACATTGCGAGTTACACACCATATACCATTCGCAACGTGCGTCGAAATCGAGTTTCCTTAATAGGGTGTGGATAAATCGAAAGGTTTACGGTCAGATCACAAGTCATATATCGAGTGAAACAAAAAAACACAATATTATAGAGTATTCTCGGCAAACCGGAAACGATACGTTATCAAATTGGTCGAAACGAGAAAGGCAATACATAGCAAACATAATGCGGCTTATTTTGTGAAATATTACATGCTATTAATATGAAAGGGTTAAATACATTATAATACATAGTTACACAATGCACATTCGCTACACGACCATACGGTCATCCAAGTCAGCTCACCGTACCTTTGACGCTACCGGTACCTACGCTTGACAAAGCAGGAATTTCGTTCCACACCACCGACGTTCCATGAGCGTGATCAAAAGAACAAAAAAAAGAGTGACAGCACAAAAACAAATCCAATACGTGTCATAAAAACGAATCCCACAGTGCTATCAAGAATATTTGAAATAGATGAATGTAATAGCCTTCTAAAGAATTTTTTTATCTTTAACCACTGAAAAGAGCAATTGGTCCAGTAATCAAAAAGAAAAGCGACTTTTCACGTTTTCCACAAGGTGTCCAAAAGTGTCAAAGAACAACAACAACATAATATTAAAACGATCGTTATGTTCACTAACTTGTCCAACAAGAACAACAAAAATTGCAAAACGATCGTTATGTACACCAACGTGTCCAATTTACGTGCGAACTTGATCATTTCACATTTTGAAAAAACTACACACACGTGAGCTACTTGATCTCAAAAATCGGTGTGTCAGATAATTTGCAAAAATCCATTGACAGTAACCAGCAATGCTAACCGGTTTGCTGATCTCAAAATTCCGTGAGACGGTTCTATAGAACCAGTGCGAACAGGATGAATCCCACAACTGGATAAAGTGCGTAATAAACCGACATATTTTAATAAGTGATAGGGCCTACTACCCTCTAGTACAGGGTGGTCCAAACCCAGGCCGGCGGGCCACATGTGGGCCGCCGCGTCATTATCCGTGGCCCGCGACGCATTTGCGCGAAGGGAAACAAAAAATTGCACTTGGAGTTGTTTCATCATGAAAATAACCAAAAAATATTTTAAAGTCACTGAATTGAGTAGTGTTATGGCTAGCTGAAGCAGCTAGCGTGGTTAATTTATGTGCTTAGGTAGACTAAGCACATAAGAAATTTAGTAATTATCCTAATGTATCCCAAATTTGGTAAAATTCAGTAATCAATCAATCTGCTGTTATTTGTAAATTATTTTGTAAACATGAGTTTGAAAAGAATGCTGACCAATTCAAACAGATTTTTTGACTGGATATGGGATACCGGTACCATACCATAATACTTGCCCAATATGTCTGCAAGTTGTGTCGGTGATGACTGATGATCTAAAACGACATTTTCTTCGTTATGAAAAGTTTGAAATTTTACACTAAATGTAGATATAGACTAGTCTAGTAAGATTTGTGCACGTTTTAGTAAGTTTTTTTTGGTGGTTTTTGTACGTTTTAGCTTGATAAATGACTAATAATGATCAATGTGTTTGGACAATAGAAGTGGAGGCGCAGTTCTTACCACTTCATGGCAGCTCCTGCCACGAACGAACCGCGGCAGCTCTTGCCATGGTTTTTATAGCGCTATTCAGTATTCAGTAATCAGTATTAACGGTATATTCACAAATTAATGTACCAGATTTTAATTGATCATGTGGAATTATATCTACTTAAACCCTAACCCTAACCCCAAATCAATCAAAACTGTATCCATAAGAAAAACGTTCCAACTTACCCAATATTTGTCACCATAATAGACAGCCCTGTCTTTACGGCCCACCTGCCGCGGTTACGGCAGCAAAATTTTACCTGCCATTGGTTTTCAATTTGCTGCCGCGGTAACGGCAGCTCGACATTGGTTTGTGGCAGCTACAAAGTCAGTTGCCATGAGTTTGGCCGTAGCGGCCATGGTATGGAAATACCGCCATGGTTTTGCGGCAGCTGCAGATGCCACAGAATACTTAAAACTGCACTTGTAGAAGTGTGTGTTTTGTATTGCACTGTATACTCTAGGCACTATTGTGGCCCGCGAACAATACAAAAATAATAATGTGGCCCGCGAGGCCGACAACCTTGGACCACCCTGCTCTAGTGGTATAAGGGGAAAATTTTTCCATAAACAATGAATAACTTTGTAATATTTTTGATAAGTTGAAAGCAGATTGCAGACCCCAAAATTTTGTAGATATCATTTTTTGTGACAAAATTCATTTTCACATTGAAGTAGCATTGTAGAATTTTGTGAAATAATATCTCTACTATACCACTTTTTGTCATGCAGGTCTGCATTTTCTTGTTGTTTGTATCAATACTTCTTTCTGTATATGTACAAGCTGATTTAAATTAACGCATTCATGCTAAAATAAAGTTGAGATATTATATAATCTGGCAGTATGGGAGTTACATTTGTAACCCATTGGGATATTGAGGAAGGAAAAAATGTTCCACAATCATTAGAAGAACTTCAACGGACAATTGAAAAAATTGGAGCTAAAAAATCAGGATTATTTTGCGTGGAATGTGAAACATATCAAACAGTGAACATTAATCAAGGAAAACCTCTAAACATAATATCCAACTCGGAATACCCATTGTCAAAATTTGCACTTTTTGAAGATGGTGCTTCACTAATCGCAGATGCAATGCTACCAAATTTTTTAGTTAAGATGAGATTGTTTTGGCAACAGCGCAAAGGGGCAAAGATTGAGTGCAAAGGACATCGGTATATTCTCAATGATTTTTTATTCAAAATTGGAGTAGTTACTCATGGGTCAAATACAAGAGGAATTGCTGTTGAGATAGAGTACACTCCGTGCCTTTATGTTAAAGAATGTTGGAATTTGCTTTTAGAGATTTTTCAAAATATTCTGGGACCCCAAGCTCCTACATCGGAAAATCCACTTTTTCAAAAATTGAAATCAACTGACATAATATATACAGCGGAACATACATCTTTACAATACATAGAAGTTTTCAATAATTTTCGCAAAGTTACATCATGAATTGGGATTTTATATTCCGTTGGTCTGTTTCGTGTATTTGTAACATTTGAGTTGCAATGAGTTATAAAGTATGAAATATCAAATATTTTAATATTACCAGAACTTTCAGAACCTGTCCCTCCAAAATAGGTATTCAACCTTAAAACCTGGTTGGCTGGGAGCTCTCACTCAAGTTCATGCGCAAAGTTTTTTTTCCGAGAACTCCAGTTATGTCATATTTACTATCTCATTTTCGCTAAAATATGAAAAACAATATGACTGATAATAATTCAAAACAATATGATTTTAATATTTATAGGTGAATGTTGCTTTTGTATGACAATACAACTAATACCGGTCCAATATGAACACAGTTAATTATTTGAGGGAAAATGGCCTTATCAGGCACTAATAGGTAGTAGCAATACTATCAAAATAATCCGGTCATTGATTTTGAAAATTTTTTAAAAAAAATTTTGGCAATAGTCAGGTAGTGGCTTGGTTCAAATATGAAGGAATTCATTGAGCATTATTTTTGAATACGGTAGTACGACAGTTTTGGTTATAAGGTTTTTGAATAGATGTAGATGAGAATTGATTTCCTATTTTTATTATGGAGAATGAAGTTTCTTATCGTCTTGTTCAACATTAAACAAATAATTGAAAATAATGCCATTTTCAACTAATTTGGTTTAAACTTGGAAAATTAGCTTTGGCGTCATCACTCTAAAAAGTTTACTGATAAGTTTTTATTTTATTAAATATTTGGTATATATGTCTGCTAATTTAATACTTTCTTCTAAACAAAAATGTTATTCATATCCATGGGAAGAATGTGAAATGTTATCAATGATTTAATAAAAGGATTTTGCAAAACATTCGGTTATTTTTGACATGTAATATTTTTGTAATGCCATTTTTACTATGAACGTTGCCATGTACAGGGATCCCAGTTCAATACACTCTGAGTGAGATGATAGGCATGTGAATTCAACATGGGATGTTCAACCTAGTTATGTCCAGCGCTTTAACCAGTGATTTCATTTTATATTTGTTCATTTTTAAATCCATGCCTGTACGATGTGTATGTTATGTAGGTTTACATAAACTTCTGAAACCAACTTGATTGCTCTTTAGATAAATTGACATAGTGACAGTATGATGACAGTCATAGCCACGATGCTTTGTTTAACTAGCATATTTATACGCTATTCAAATATTCCCATCTACCTATTACTACTTCTCAATAAAGTATCGAAATAATTTTACACAACCCAAATTGATGATATTGTGGAAAGAAAATCAGTCTGATTATAAGTTTTCATACATTTGCTATTTTATCAATTTATCTCAATTTTCTACCATCATCAATTTATGAGCTTGATAACCTTATTTGCAGAAATATTGTTTGTTCACTATAATAAGATGCCAACTTGTGCTGTCTGCGATAAGCTTGACAATTTGAAGTCCTGTAGTCGATGTGGAAGTGTAGAATATTGTGGGCGTGAACACCAAACACAACATTGGAAAGTGCATAAAAAAGATTGTAAAAAACAATCGACCAAGACAGACAGCACTGAAAATTCTGGAGAACAAAATGAGAATTCCACAATAGATGAAGTCGCACAAAAGATCAAATCAATGAATTTAGAAACAGAAGGTCGTGTGGCACAGAATTCTATTCCTCTTAACCCATATGATAGTTACACAAAAAGGGATGAAGGAATTGTTGCTCGATGTCATAAAAACTTAGTTCAGAGGGGAATATGCGTCATCGATACGTTTGTGGATGAAAATAGAGCGGATTTGTGTCTGGCTGATGCAATGTCTTTATATTCGCAACCCGATAAATTTAAACCGGGTGAAGTAATCAAGCAAGCGGGAAAAGATAAAATACGCGGAGATGAAATTATTTGGCTTTCTGGATCGGAACCAAATTCACAGAATATTAATTATATCTGTAGGAAAATGGACAAGATTATAAGCAAATGTCATCCGTTGGTTGGAAATAATGATACAGTTTCACACAGAACAAAAGTAAATACTTATATGTTTTGATTATAGTTAAAAATAAGAAAATCTATCAACATAAATTTTATCTTCTTACATATCAAAATTTAACTTCCTTGAATTTAAGAAGATTTGTGCAAAACTCTCAATTTGATATTCCAAAATATCTCAGAAAGTATTTAAAATAGAAAACTATTCAGTCACCGCCATGCCTTGCTCTGATCCAATTCAATTTTATTTTCATCCTTTCTCACAGTTATACATAACTTGTCTTGTCAACTTTTCTTTTCCCATGATATTAGAATGACTTCCCTTTTTTTTTGACAAAGTAGGAGTAGAAAATACAAATTACGTGTATCTCGAAAGCATTAGATTTTTTTGTTTATTTTTATTTAAAGTTGCTATACTATATGGTTTCATCTTTACTAACAAAAATTTGCTTCCTCAACTGACAGAGGTCAAACCAACCTATATTTGTATTTCAGGCTTGATGATGGTATATGTATTTAAAGATAAAATTGATGTTTTTTATATGTAGGAGATGCTTTATTTTAGTCATTTAATAGAATATTCAAAACACAGTGATAAGGCTATACACTCATTGGATCTTTACGGAAGCTAAATTTGGGATTTTTCTGTGTATCGTTATTCTCAATTGGTAATGAATGAACTATTCTGGGAATTCTATTCTCCATCCTGAGCATTAGACTTAATTTTTAATGTTGTATAATTACCTGATGGGAGCACTTACACAATACATAGTATTGTTCTTTTTTTTATATTAGTTATTAATATTTGGGTTTCTAATCAACTTCATTTAACATTTTGTTATTACACCTTTATCTAGGCTATGCTTGCATGCTATCCTGGAAATGGAACGGCTTACAAATGCCATATTGACAATCCATCAGGAGATGGACGCTGGATTACAGCTATTTATTATATGAATAAAGGATGGGATAGTAAGGTAATTTATGTGTGTAGTAAGACCTGTATTGTTTTAGTGATAATACAATTGTCACTAGCCATGGAGATTATTTCAGAGGCTGTCAAAAATTTCCATTTTTTATGGTTTTTGTAATTGTGTATTTTACATATTTTCTCCTAAAATAAGTACTGCAATAATATACATTTAAAAAACTGGGTAACATTATCAGATATTAATTCTCTAAGGCTGTGGTTCTCAAAGGTGGGGCACACCCTACAAGAGGGCGTAGACAATTTATTGAGCGAGCGGCTGTGAAGCTAATAAAAATATTTGTCAGATTTGATCTTATTCGCCTTATTTTGGATATTTATGTTTTTTCGTTCCATCCACGAATTTTAAAAGTGTTTTTTGAATGAAACATACTTTTGCCTTACTATCTGTTAGTTGTAGCTTATTGTTAGCTAGTTATTTTGAGGTGGGGCGCGAGACTTGACAAATTCAAAAAAGGGGGCGCTGCTTTAAACGTTTGAGGACTACTGCTTTAAGGATAGTTCTGCCAAATTGTTGTTGCATAGGCTATTGTCTTCTGTGAGAAATGACGTTTTGCTCTTACTACTGATCACTTTAAAGCATTGCTGTTAAAGGGATGTTTTATCTACTTCATTTAACTTCAAGATGTTCCATACTTCCTCTAGCATTTTTTGAGGCCTATTGTTTTAACCCAAATTTTCCGATAATATCTTCTGCTAAACGATATTTCCTAATCTATGTATGAATTTATGTACAACAAATGAAATCTTGTTTGTCAGACCCTAAACTTCAATATGAGCACACAGTCATAATTAAAATTTGGTACCCCACTTCTTTCGTTAGTTTGTTCGCTACATAGTTGATTGAAAACATTGGAACAAGTATGAAAAGTTGAAGAATTTGGAGGACTTCAATTTGCACTTCAAAGTGTATATATATAGAAGTCTACAACTTTTCTATAAGTAATTTGACATTACTAGGTGAAAATCTCGATCGTAACTTGTGATTGAAATATAGGTACTGTACCACCTATTAGTTGTGGTGCCAAATAATACATTTTGCAGTTGTGTTCATATTGGACTAGTATTAGTCCAATATATGAATATCATAATCATGTTGTTTTGCATTATTATCTGTTAATATTATTTGTGAGAATTGTGATAGAAATATTGAAGCGTTTCTGATATTACCTTTGCCCTGAGGTCTTTAAATTATTTTTTAACAACTTTCAGACAATGGGAGGTAACTTACATATACATGCAACAGGAAACAGGCCCCAGGCAATTGTTGAACCCAAGTTTAATCGTCTTCTTCTATTTTTCTCTGATAGCCGCAACCCACATGAGGTTCGACCTGCTTATGCTAGGAGGTTTGTTATCATTTTACCAGATCGATATTATATTGTTAAAACAACTTTTACAAAATCACTTGCCTGTTCTGGAATGTTTCACTGTTATTAACAGCAATTTGACTTTGCTGATAGTTGTTTTATAGATGCTTTATTTCGGCCTTCCACAAACTCTGTACACGAAAAATATTATGTAACCAGTTTATAGTTGCCAACTCTTCAAACCACTCTCAAAATGAGCAATAATAATTTTCCACTAGTATTTTTTTCTGGGGTCAAGGGCTGGGGAAACATCCTTTATTTGTGTCTCATTTGGAAACAACATAACTGTTTAGATTGGACCTCAATTAGAAAAAACAAAACATGCAGTAGTGGGACTGGTGACAAGGATGAATAGTACTAACTATAATACTAATTAAATTAGTAACTATGTAATATGTCATCTATTATCAGATAGCATGGGAACGACTGTCTTCATTTGACATATTGAGCATATTTAATTACTGAAAATGGTTTTTGTTATACCATACTAACCTTTTTAAAATCATAAATATAATTTTTATCTTCATAATGTTATTTTCTGCAAAATATTTTTTTCATCTTTTAGATTTATATTGTGAATATTTTAATAAACACTTGTCTACATTTTGTCAGATCACCCTAGTTTTAGTATTTCAAATTAAAATATTTTTCATAATTATCAAATTTAATTCTTGCAGGTTTGCCGTCACAATATGGTATTTCAAGGAAGAGGAACGACGAAAAGCATTGGAAAAATGGCAGAAAAAGAAGCAGCTATAGAGAAGTCCATGTAATGGCATAGACTCAAATTTATAAATATTATCCGCAGCTGAGAATTTCATAAAGAAATATACAGATCATCGGCTCATCTTCATGAGAGTATAATTTTTCATGTGATGCATATTAATCAGCGTATTTCACTCTGCCCAAGGCCTTGTACAAGCAGCCACTGATATCTCACAATTTGTATTAAGCTTACATTTCCCACCATGGGATTTGAAATAGAGATGTGGAATTATCTTATAATATAATTGCCTTGTAGAGTCACACACTTGTCATCAAAAAGATAACATGATTTGTGCAGCTTCATACAGAAGCAAGTAGCAAATTTGAAAGATAATCTGCAAAGTCGTCTATTCACTCATAGTGTAATCATAACCGTATCTCTGATGTTGTTTCATATAAGACAGCCTGCACGATATTTTGTGTAGGTCTTGGCAGACTTCAACGACTCTATAAATAGCGGGAAAATCTGTTTTAAACTGTTTAGATTAGTCAGTGACTTGATTATTTTAAAACCTTCAAAAAAGGTTTGTGCGACCTGATGGCATCCTATCACATAGTATATCATTCATGTCACTGCAGTTATATATCATTGGTTTCAGACTTCTGAATATTTCTCGTGGAAGTAGTATGTTCCTGATTTTCACTGGTTCCCAAAAATTGCACACCTTGTGGCGATTTGGCTTTCGCATTACTTGTTGAGACGATCGTACTGCTGCAGTATTCTACTGTGACAGATTGCATAACCATAATGCTTCATTTTGGCCTTCGTGTCCATATAATTGTGCATCACTCTCTTGTTTTGAGTTATGATGAAAGCTCATTATAAATAGATAACTGGGCGTGTGTTGAATTTTGTGAAAACTATTAATTCAAAATAATTTATGCTTTGCTATGAATATCTGATATGTTTAAGTGGAGATTTTAATATGTTTATCGAAAGTTTTGTATATAACTGATCTCATCCTCAATTTTATTTTGTGTTTATCATTGAAAAATTTATAGGCATAATCATCAAATTACTTTGTGGATTGACTTGGGGCGAAGGAAATAAATTTCTGGGATTTAGGTGGTTTATCTGCACGCTTCTTGTTTGATTTGGAAATAAGCCAATTTTCAGTAACATAACCGTGTTAGTGAACTTCTGGGAATCCTACATTTAAAAATTGTTTTAGTTCTTGTTAAATTTAGTCTTTTCTAATTATCAGTGATAAAATTCAGTTTAACTAATGTTTACGGTTTTGAGCCATGGTGTGTTAATTAAATATAGTACAGGGAATATTGTAACAAATCATTTTTCATCAAGTCCGTATGTTGGATTTTCTTGTGTAAATAATTCCTATTTTTTGTTTTCAAGGATAAAATAACTTTGAGAGCCTCCTTTACTCCCAGTGTTCACACAAGACGTCATTTTACTGCCTGAGGCAATTCACCTCCATTGGATACCACATTATTTATACACTTCGTGGGCTTGTTTGCAATGACTGTAGCTACCTGCGGTGAAATTTGTGATTGTTCTTGAAGTTGATTTCCTTTTTGTAATGTGCGCTTTGAATAAATTTCTTGTTATCTCATTTTTAATCATTCAATCAATACTTATTCATAATTCACTTATTTGCTTGTAAAATAAATTTTACATAGTGTTGGTTGGTTGTATCATGTTGTGAATAAATTTTAACATGTACCCATGAATTTTGAGTTAACCCAAGTCACATGCTAGGTTGGCAATAGTTTGGTTTGCCTTGGGGCAGACACAGGAGTGAAAGCTGATAAAACCTGATCTTGAAGTTTTGAATCCAATCAGGGGTGCTCCCGAAGTATGCGAACCAAGATGGCGGACATCGGAACGTAACATGGGTAACAGGTTAGGGTTAGGCGATAATTTTTTTCCAATTTTCCTTATTTTAGTCCTATTATCAGTTTGAAGACTAGCCAAGAGCCTCCCGTAGTATTTATACCTAAAATTATGGCCTAACCTAGTACACATATTACATTCCGAAGTCCGCATACTTTTGGAGCCCCCAATCAGGTGTATGGATAGATGGTGGTACTAATCACCATTCAAATGGCCTGTGGAATATTGGTCTTACATATTTGACAGCAGGTTTGGGTTTTAGGGAAGCTAGAAAAGATGTCCCAAGCTTCTTTCTGTCGGAAAATATGCTCGCGAGTGAGATATTGGTGAAATGGCATTGATTTAGCAGACTTTTAATAGCGATCGAAATATTGGGTATGAATCACTTACAGTTTTGTGCACCCACAGGTAATCAGGATAACGCATCTCACAAGAACAAGTTGGGGTCAGTTTGTAATTTCTGCTCCAAATGCTATACGGGACATATTTCCTAATTTTATTTACCGGCAGGCGGTAGTTTCCCTGAACGTTTTTGGTGCAAAAGTGATTCACAAAATTAGGGCAGAACATTAGACAGCGCTTTAATAATGAATAAGAAAGAAAAATACTTTTGACCTTCACAAGATGCTCGCATAGGCCGGCAGCCGTCGCTTTGTTTGTGCCACCGAGTAGACCAACCCCTTTTCTGATAGGCAATGAGTGTACTGCGAGGTATACCACTGACCTGCTCAAGCAACAATAGCCAGAGCCACAATAACTGAATCCACACATTGTTTCTACAAACGAATAGAAATTCTGTGCAACAGCAATAATTGCACCAGTTACCCTGCCAGTTCTAGGCTACGAATGCAAGTTAGATCATTTATTACAAATAGACTATTCAGCGGAAAATTCTTCAATTGATCACAAGATAAAATATAAATAGACAATCACAGAACTTCAAGAGAACATTCATAATATAAAAAGTTATATTGAAAAGAAAATGAAAAAAATGGCAGCAAAGATCAGAACTGCAGCAACAGTAACAGCTAGCCAAAATCGGATGGCTGTGATTTTAATTTATGTAATTCTGTGCAATTCTGCCGGTAGTGAACTCGATTTGACGAATTTTGAATGTGATAAATCAAGTACCTGATTTGTCAGGAACGGAAAATTCATATAAATGAGACCCTAAGATTACTATTTCTACCAGTGCAAGAGACATGCTAGCAGGTGGTAGTGTTTCACTTCCCTAGCAATGATGGATCTACAAATTCTTTCTTTAACTGAAGTCATATCACAAATATTATAAAAGTTTGGTCATAAGAAGGTTGCGAGCTGTCAAAAAAAGAACTAAGAACTACATATAATAAAGACATCAGCAATTGTGGGTCGACACATGACTCAAACAATTCAAGTCGACTGTCATCTGGTATAGAGAAGGGGAGTCCACAAAATGTGAGTTCATGAAAAGAATCCGTTAATCAATTTTGTTGCCACAAGACATGGAATGAATAATTTTTAAATCCTTCCGACAGAAAATGACAACATCAAAACAGGAATGATTTTCAAAAACATGGAACAACAATTGCTGTCATGATAAATAGAATACATACATTTATTTAAATAGGTAGAAATCACACTGAGAAGCATGCGTAACTAAAATAACCAATGTCTTAATACATACTAGTAATTGGAGCAGTACAGTTTGACTAGAAGCCTGTAATTATTTCACTTCTTGTAGTCAAGAATCAGGACAGGTCTTACTTCTGGAATCGATTTTAAAAAATTCAAAACAAGCATAAGAACTTTCGGCTTCGTATCACAGACTACTACGGTTGTGCCTGCGATGTAGGAAAATCAATTTGATGAGCTTGCAATGTCTGTGTTAACAACTGAACTTTTTGCTTTGAGTCTTCCAACTGACAGAAAGGGAAAGAAATATGTCAAGTACTATTTTGATGTTTTAGTTAAAAAATAGCTCACACAATTTGTTGAGATTAAATTTACTTTTGGCACAGGGCTTATTGTTTTCCACTTTAGCTTTTGTATAATTGTTCATACAATGTGACTTTTTAGGTCACACTTACATGGCCCACGACTCGAGGTGGGCAAATTTTTTGCTTTTGGTCCAAAAACCTTGCCCAGTCCCGCTCCAGTGACCAGAGATAAACAGCGATCAGCGTATTAAACCATATTACTGTTCAGGATTAAAATCTTGAATTTAAGCAGTCATCGAAACAGGTCAGAGACAGAAAAAATAGGATTCATAAATATTCCAGTTCTTTTAGGTATTTTCGTACATCTAAGTGCCCTGGTGTACAGAACTTTATTTGAAGAATTTTTTAAAATAATTGGGAAATTCTACCTTAACATATCACACATGCTTATTCTCCATATATAAATTAACATAATTTAAACATAGAATCAAACACCTTTAAGATACAACATTCATATCTTACCTGCTGCCTACACATTTCATAGTTGAGTTGGAGTTGCTCGCAGTCTTTCAAACTTTCCGATAATTGACTATTAGCATGTTGCAAGTCAACAATGTAATCAAAAGCTTTAGCCAAGATTCCACCCTTGCTCTGTAAGAAGGATTGTGATTAGAAAAATGCGTAATACTGAATACCACATCAAAATGTCTAGTGCACTTGCATTATGAAAGAGTTTGCTTCTTCACTAAACTAAATTTCCTATGGATTATGCATTTGAAAAAATTGTATGAAAATTGAAATACTTGCAGTTAGCCAGCAGCAAGTTGACGTGATTAACCTTGGAATCTACATAAATAAACTAACATATTGTTACTTAACAGACGAAATTCATCATCGGATCACCATTTAAAATTCTACCTAATCTTCTAGGTTACCATCATGATTATTATTCAACATTTTACTCAACAAACTTACATTACGTACCTGACCCTGTTTTGTATGATCATTGGCACAGTCTGGTATAATAGTCCCTAGTTTTAAAATCCATGTATTAATTTTATCTCTTCTCCGCCGCTCGACTAAAAAAATGAAAAGTTTTAGTTACTATAATTTGTACAATGTTATTAAATGAAAAAATTCATACCCTCATTATGTTGAACTCTTCGTGAATCATCTCTCGTATTTCTAGTGTCATCTGTTCGTCTATAATCAAGAATCAGGATCTAAATATTTATTATTGGGGGAAAGGAAAGTCGATAAGATGGCCTAATCAAATGGCAAACCACGGCTTCTCGCCTGGATACCAGTCCATGTTGAGTATGGGATTTGTCTCAAGTGCATGGACTTGATTGTGGAGAGAGCCGTAACTGACCAGCGGTTATGTGAACCATCCTACGATGGCAAGGAGTCTAGCAATCCCTGCAGGATTCGAACCTGCGAACCCATGTAGAGTAATCAGAAGGGCAGTGGCGAGCTTATTCCAACACTTAGAAGGCTGTGCCACACTGGTGAGCCAAATTAAAAAAAAATTGCAAAAAAACAGAATATCTACATAAAAGATTATAAGAGTCAAGGATATAAACTTACGCTTGGAAGGATGTTCTTCCAAGAATAGCTCTCTGAGGGGTGCCGGTCGTACTGCTTTGCAACACTTCTTGAGGTGACATCATCACATAGAATTGACCTTAAAAATACAGAATGTCATTACATGACAGAATACAAATGAAGACACATTAGTACATATATTTCAAGTAAATTACGAGTCTTACAGCACACTAGTCACTAACACAAATGTAGTGTCAGACTCCCTTAGACAATTAGTCAGAAATACATTTGTGTTATTAATGTGCAGCAAGACCCTTGATCACAGAATATGGACAGTCATCTTCATTCCTGCCACAACATCCTTGCATTATAAGCATAGGGAAAGCTGGAAAGTTGCTCTTAATTCAGAGACAGTAGTTCAAAGGGAATGAGCCTTTGAACTTGTAGTAATTCATTCTTACCACTTGAAAGCAATTGCTGTTCTGTTTGTCCAGCTGTTGTTGATCCAGTAGAAGTAGGTGAAGATAGATCTGTAGATGTATTAGATGCAGCAAAATATGCAAACCTTTGTGATCCAGGCGTAGCGTTACTAGATGCTGTGTTTGCAGCCGATTCATTCCCAGAATCATTGTTGAAAGGGTTTGCAACGATTGCCACCTAACAATTGATTTATTAAATTAGATTCAAACAAGTAAAGCAGCAAGATATAATGAGAGTTGGGTTTAAATTAAATCATAAATAAAAATGAAATTGAAACTGGTAATGATTCTGTGTGTTTGTTAAAATAGCACTGCATTTGAATTTTCTCTATATACATGTAATACTATCCTACTATTTCTCATTTCATATTAGAAAACTCTGTTTAAAAGATAATATTCATAGGTTAAATTGCTAATCGATTAGTTTGTAAATTATACAAGTTTTGATTAAAATATGGTTCTTATATCAGGAATAAAATATTTCAAACAGGTGAAGGCATACAGTAAACCTTTGACGTATTTCAAAGAAGATATCTATCAATCATGGTATGAAAAAGCCACAGATCAAGACATATTTGTTTTTCATTTAACAAAGTTGGGAATAATGCAAAGAAGAAAAAGAGAGTCCGTGACATGATGGTGTTGGTGACCATACTTAAAACATAATAATTATAAGTAAGATAAAAGTTTAATTGATAAAAGAAGAGCACTGAACACAAGTTAGGTCACCTGAATTATTTTGCAAAATGAAGACTAATATAACTAAGCAATATGACTATAACTACAATACAAAGACAACTATTAGCCATCGCATGACTATAGAATATGACTCAACAATGATGCGCTGAAAAGAATTTAAACAACCGGTCTTACTTCTGCAAATGAAACTTACAAATATTGTCGCAATGAATTCTTACTAAAACAATGAGAACAAATTTTTTTTTTAATGACTAATAATTCCAGATCACATGAAGCTCACCTGCTCTTGTGGTGATCCACCTCCACTACCTTCATCCTGTGATAGTTGATTTAATATTCCATTTGTAGTGACTATACTTAATGTTGCTTGCTGATTATTTTCATCTCCGCCCACTTGAACAACTCTATATGTTACCTTGATACGAAAAAAAACAATGGTGATAAATACTCAGCACTTAAATATGACTCGGAAGAGTTCATATTTCTAATTCTATAGGGATAATGTAGCCAACTAATACAATGCTTCAGAATTAACAAGAAAGTTTAAATACCTGATACAATTTAATAATGCTGAATATTGCTGATACCAATTTCTGATTTTTTAGAGGACACATTATTTCACATGCATTTTCAAACTACATTTGAATAGTCTATGAAGTTTTTGTAATAATCGAATTTTTGAATATCGATGAGTCATATTCTTTAAATAACTTAATTAATTGAAAATTAATCTATAGGTCTATGCTAAAGCAGTGGCATCATAATCAATCTTCAGAGATGCATTTTAATAAATAAAATGAGATCGATTTGAATATATTTCCCTTCACATATGTTCTGATATATTTGAAACATATGAGATAGAACATAAGCAAACAAATATGCAAAATGAGAAAATGTTTTGGCAACATAATATGAACTACCATATCTTAATTATAATATGTATTGGTTATGACCATTTTTATCAAAATAGAATAATAAATAGAAATTAATTTATTCTATCTGTTAATCAGTCCCAGATTTTGGTCTTTTTGTGACCAAAGTTAGCATGGAACAAATTCTATCATCTATATTAAACTTTTTTTTATCAATAACCTATTTAGCATTAAAAATTCAAACTTAAATATGAGTCATAATGATGTAATTGAAATGCCCTTTTGTGACAAATGAAGTTATTGTAAGGATAGGTCAAAGTGCAGAACGTCTCTCTTGTAAAGTTGAATACATAAAATAGTAATAGAATCATGAATAAAAAGATTTTCCAATCATATGACTTCAGTAATACCGTAACAAAAATGAAGTCAAATTAGATATTTGGATTATAGGTCAATGGACACAATATGCATAATACATCACGATAGCGGTTACACATATTAAAACTATCCAAAGTCTGCCTCTGGACACGAAATGATAAGTTATGTATTCAAACATGCAACAAGCTTTCAGAGCAATTTATTATATTCAAACAAAATTGTGGATTCTGGTGTTCACATGTGAAATCCATTGTTTAGGCCTATATTTCAAGCCTAATCAACAATAAAGCGCCAGGAAATGATATGTGATACGAACTGTAAATTTATGAAAGTTTAATTTTATTCAACTTGAATGTAATGAGTATCCCTAACACACTAGTCCAGAGGTTTGCAACAGGCAGCCCACCAAGCCATTTAGTTAGGCCCTTGTCAACACCCAAGTCGCTAACATGGCTCTCGTCGCTGCCTCAAAAATTTCGCCGCTTGCCCAGTGTCTTCATTACTGCTAGGCTAAGGAATAAGTGCATTCTCTTCTCTTGCCTTTTCCGCATGGATAATCCAATTTTTTCCATGGCCCGGCTAGATGTCTGAAGTTGGTTATATGGCCCACCAACAAAAATGTTGCACACCCCTGCACTAGTCTTATCATGTATCTCATATCATAGTAACAGTGAAGTTCAACCTGGCACACTCTTCAGTTTTGGCAACATTATTCATTTAACTATCAGTATATAAAAACAGAATCATGAAATTATACCTGTCCATTATCTGGATTGCGTATTTGATAATGAAATCCTCCACCGCTACCAGATTGTGTTGTATTTACACTTTCAGGCATACTAGATTGTTCGTCCTCTGTTTCTAAAACAAACAAGTTTAACAAAATAAATAGTAACGACTTTAATTCACTAAGACATTTGTTGACCAAACAATGACAACTATTCATTACAGAAGCTTACAACAATCATTTTGATCAACAAATACTTCAGACAACTGGTTTTTCAACCTTTTTGGTGGGGCAAAACCAAAACCAATGTGAATCATTCTAAAGGCTAGGAAAACCCATGCGCAATAGTTTGTCCAAACAAGGGGTTCCCAATCTGCGGCCCGAATCCGACACACGTAACGATTTAAAATGGCCCGCTGAGCTTAAGTGAAATAGTGTTCAACAGATTTTGTTTCTACCTTTTTGCGATCTACCACCAATTGCTATGTCGTTATCACAATTTAAGTTCGTGTTTATCGTAACAATTAAATTTTACCGGTATGTCAATTTTACAGACTGGATTAGAGTCAAAAAGAAAACAAAAACTAAACGCTGAAAACAGACGTAAATATACATGCGGCCTAATATTGTCAGAACAAAATGATCTTCGAAGTGTAGCAAGTTTGTTGTTAGCCGCAAAGATTAGTTATTTGATTACCGTGTCCGTATATATGTATATATATATATATATAAACAATACACATATATCATTATAGACTCCGGTATTTGAATGTAAACTTGCAGAACCCCTAACAGTACTCGTGGAACCATGGGGTACCGCAGTATCCCTGTTGAAAACCACTGCGTCAGACTATAATATGATGTTAAATGATTCATTGGTAACATGTATACCAGTTTTATTGAATACATGTTTATATTTCAATATGATAAAATGATAATATAAACTAAAATATCAAATATTTTTAAATGCTCACGAAAAACTGTGATATAGTAAACAAATGACATCTATTACAAAACAAATTATAGCAAACAGATATACACCATAATCTTGCAGAGACATACCGGTAGGTGCCGGTTTTCAGAATTAATTTGTACAAAATAAAATAAATTGTAATAATGCAAAAATAGTATAATCCATATAAGAATGAAAATTACCAAGAGTGGGTGCTGTTTCTTCCACTAGTTCATCCTGGTCTTTTTCACTGATTAAATAAATAAACATATTTTACACTTACAAATAATATAACTTGTGAAATTGACGAAACGTAAGATGCGATTAGATTGATCATGTTATAAATTTACATACCCCATTACATACCACTGATACAGGGATGTCAAATATGAATTGAATATTTAAAGAATTACGTGCAATATGTTTAAATAGTATGGTAAAGTAATGAATTTCATTCAATAAATTACCATTTTGAGTAATTGAAGTCTCATAGTATAACCAAAAGGCTTTTTTAATTTTTGAAAATTGTAAAAAACGTAAGACCAGTCAAAACAGTGTTTAAACTCATTAACTATATATCGATATCCATTTGTTTTTTGTTGAATATGACCCAAATTAGATAACACTTCATATTCGAAAAGATTATTTCAGGATATATTCAAAATAGTAAATTATTAAGGTCTTGGGCATACCTTCTCCAAACAATTCTGTTGAATAAATAGCCAAAAGTTAAACGTATATCACTTTTATCCAATGAAAGTACAAATTCTAAGATAGTTAGAAATATTAAAACCAATAAATTAATTGTTCTGAATATGTTGTGAAATTGTCTCAAAAATGGGTCATATTCCTTTTCCACAATATAAAGTATTTGACATACATACATCCGATATGAAATAAATTATTTAAGGAAATTTTTTCATCTGATTTTTTTTTAATATTTTTACAGCAATTTGAAATAAGCCAAGTTTGTTCCCATTCTGACTGTCGAATAATACATGTTACATATTTATACATATTACATTTTTGAGCATTTAGGCTATTTATCATTTTTAAAATAAATGATTAGGTTCCCCGAATATGATGAACGTGACATTCTTTGGACATCCCTAAAAACATGCATAGACCTCACACTTTTTGCTGCAGATACCGGTAATATAGCCGACTATTAATGTAATTGCATAAGCATGTTAGTATCCAAAACATACCTATAAACATGAAACATGACCATGAGAATGCTGGTAGCACATTTGATTAATGATCCACTTTTTGTAGACATATTCCATATTTATAATTTTTTTCAATGACAATTTTTTCATAACTTCAGAATACATATTGCACAATGAACAAAAAAAATTTGAGTATGGAACTTTAGTATAAGAAAAATTGCATATCCGTAATTCTTGTTCTCCAGTTCTCTGTTGGACAACTATTTTGCTTAACATAATAAATCAAGCTAATAAAATTCATCAATTTCATCTATAAATTCTTTTTAAAAAAATATATTAAACATAACTGTGTAACTCTCATTCCTGTATTCCTTGCTACCTCTATTCAATTTATCAGCTTGTATTTTTGTAATAAACATAATACAGTACCCCGGTAGGCCTACCAGTGCATGGCCCCAACTATATTTGCATACAGTACACATCCTCACCATCACACAACTTGATATAACTGTTAAAGTCCATTTTTTAATCATATTTACTATGCAAAATGGATTTATTGGACTATGCATTTTCCCAATAAAATCAATACCGGTACTTGAATATTGAACATCGAACAAATTGAATTGCTTTTTAACTGGGATATGAAACAATATGCATCCAGTTTCTAAACCGAGGTTTTGGCAACGATACCGGTACTTGTAGGACTACTCAAAAAAATTTGAGTATTTTATTTATTATTTTTTTTATTGTATGGTCATACGGTACAACCTGACAACCCATACAGACATGAAATACCATCCAATTCTCATGTCCAATGGGTGGTATCCAGAATTTCTTCAATATAAACTCATAAAAACATTAACAGAACAAACGAAAGCATGAAAATACTACTTACGGAATGTCAATAACTTCATTGAGGCTGACGTCCATCTGCAGAGCTTGCAGAGAAGCCGGGCATTTAAATTTCGCGATGTAGTGATCACGAGTTTAGGTCACGGGAACAAACAAAATCATGTGACAGGGATTCTCGGGAAAATGGCTGATCGATTCAGCGAAGCGTAACGATATTCATCCGCAAGGTAAAAGGGCTTAGTGTTTGGCCATAACTGTTAGTTGGACAAGTTTTAACTTTTTTTATTTTGTGCAAAATAAATTTTATGTTATCGCATTTTGATATTAAATAATAATGATTTGAAAACGGTTTTATCGAGAGTTGAATTGATTTGTGGTGCTTCGAATTTCCATTTATCGATTTCAAATGAACAAATATCATAATTGGTTCGCTCTATTTTCTTTCAATAGTAGCAGATAGATTGATTAATTTGCCAACCAAAAACAAATAAATGGAAGCATACATATATTAAAAGATAATGTATTTTGATAAAGACCGGAGGGAGCGATACGACCATCCAAGTCAGCTCCCCAATTCCGTGTTATGCACCATTTCCACCAGACCTGGCGCTCTCATATTATTAGACTTTTTGCTTAGAGAGAGAGAGAGAGAGAGAGAGAGTTTATTTGTTTTGTCCATCAGAAAACATATACACAACAAAAACATGATTAATAAAAAGCGAAACAGTTCTCGGTATAGACTGGGTGGCATTGATACGGCCATGCGGTCATCGGAGTCTGTTACCACCCAACATTAATATCAATGAACATGAATAAAAAATGCTTCAGATATGTTTTAACATATTTTAGGTGTGTCCAAAAACAACATTAAATTTCCATGGAAAGAAAGAAAAATTACTAAAATATTTGCTTATACACAATAGGCAATAACCTATAGGCGTTTAAAGTTAAATAGAATTTCGGACATGTTGCACACTTGATCAAGTGTGGTATTGGTCAAATTTTACATGAATATGTATTTTTGTGTATATGGATGCATCAATTGCGTGGAATCGGGTTTTCAAAGTTGAAGGATACACAATAACTTTTTGTGTAAATGGTGAAAGACTTTAGGCAGCATATATATAAATACATTAAACAAAATCACTACAAAGTAACAAAATGAATTTGAACAGTTTATAAGGTGCAGAGAAAAAGGAAAAAAAAAGCAAAATCTCAAAATTGAGCTTAAGCTGGGACATGCAAAATAATACGGTATATACTTTTTGTGGGTTTTATATTATTAAATGAAGCGTACTGTAAATTTAATAGTATGATTCCAATGAAAGTGCACATCCATAGGTGATGCTAATATACTCCATCAATTTGCTAGAATGAGATAGGTGTATAAATACTTGAGTTTTCTCGCTTGGAAAGTACCCATCAAGTGAAATATTGTACATGAAGGCATTAAAAGCCAGAAATAAAATGAGACTTGTAGGGCTAGTAGTGGAATACTAATTGAACTTAATTTCAGAGAATAATTGAAAAATAGAATGAAGAACACCCAATGTTAAATTATAAACTACAGTTTCATTCTGCCCAAAATTGAATTCATTCGCCGGTATCGTACCATTTTCATTCACTCACTGTTGAATCAAATCGTGCGCACACGCCGTATCATGGATTCATCGCGGATCATAATTCGATAGAGTATTAGAAATTGCAATGCGCGATTTTCTATTCTAAATCGACTGAAAAAACCTACAATTTCGGTTTTTGGTCCCGAGAAAAAGTCAAGCATGCTCGTCCTACCTAAGCGAAGACAGGACACAAAACCAGTCGAAGAACATCCGAAATTTGAGATGAAAATGCATCTGAAACCCCGGACTGCAAAATGTAATAATGCCAAAATATAGTCTCTGTTCGCCTAAAAACTTCTTATTAAACCCAATGTAACATCACAAAAAGTAAACTGCTATTTTCACGACCGAAATGCAAACAGAACAAGAACATAACACAGAATAATTAGGGTAAAAATTTATTTCACAAAAACAAACACATCGCATAATATGCTGAAGAATAATGTTGTAGTCACCTTAAAAAAACACATAAAACTAAGGCAATGGCGGTTATTATACCTTTAAAAGTTCTTCATAGCAATAGGTTAGATAAATCAACAAATCAAGCATGGGCCAACTTCGAAAGAAGCCTAAAAACGGTAATTCATAGCCCATGCTTGAATTTTGATTAAAAATGACACATCAAGACAAATAATACTCTCTGTAACAGTAAACATTTCATTAAAAGAACTTGCAACTCTTTTTTTAATATAAACTAAAAGCAGCATTATTCACATTAAAATTTAAAAAGTTTTCATAGCTATTTGATTGATAAAACAAAGATAAAAATGGTCAAATAGCTTCATTTTACTGCACTTTGAACTTACACGTTTAGAATGATGACAATATGTTGTTAATATTTAATATTGTTGTCATTGGTTGATATGGCAAGAAAAAAATAATAGATTTTCAATAGGAAAGATCATATAGAAACTCATTAAAACTTCACATGATAGCTTTCTAAAAAAGGACAGCGGACACAACAATGTATGCTAAATATTTCACTGCAAGATTCATTATCATATTTGTCGTTTAACAGTCTCTTCGTAATTGTAATAAATTGTCAAATAGACAAGGTTACAGCATTTGGAAATGGATTAAAAAAAAGTATGAATTCCTCACGAAGTCTCAGAAGCAATTTTCGTTTGTGTCGAATTTATGTGAAGGAGTCAAGATAAAAACCAGCGAGAGTAAAATCGAAAAAACTTTATACAAAAAATAAAAATGGCATGAGCCATGTTTTAATATGTACCATTGTAAATGCAGAGCAGATACCGCCATAGAGGACGGCAACAAGTATCACAATAAAACAAAATGTAAGTCAATAGTGCATGGTAAAAATGATAAAAACACTGGTGAAAAGAAATAAGGACTCTTTTTCTTGCATTGCGCCGTAAAGGTCTGAGATACCGAACAGTTTTCGTGTTCATCTCAACTGAAATTGAAGCAATACAAATCCAGCGAGGCCGTTTCAGAATTCACATCCCAAAGCACTCCTGTTAATCGCCCATTGAAACAGTCTTCATCCTTTGAGAATGAAATATGATATACTTTTGGAAAAGGGAAAACCTATTCAAAAGTTTTCATATATTCTGTGTAACCTTCTGCTGCAGTTACAATAACATCCATCCATATCCTTAATGCTTCGGCTGATGGTGCGACAAGAGTGAATGTGCGATCGTAACACTTAACGCAAAATGTCAATGATGGGTTCGGACTCTGAATGATAGCAAATTAAATTTAGATAAATTGTGAGAATGAACATAGAACATGTTTATGACTTCTCCATAGTATTTATTCATAAACATTTGTTTCTCAACATGTTACAGACTTGTAATGAAAGAAAAGTTAGAATTTAAGCTAATGCTTCATGCTTAGAGATCATTATTTGGTACTCCCGTAGTATGTGCAACATAATGGTGGACATCAGCACGTAGTATGTGTATCAGGTTAGGGTTAGGCCATAATTTCAGGTACAAATACTACAGAAGTCACTTAGCTAGTCCCCGAACTCGTAATAAAACTAAAATAAAGAAAATTGGACTAAAATTATGGCCTAACCCTAACCTGGTACACATACTATCTTCAGGTATCCGTCATCTTGGTGCACATACTAAGGAAGCCCATTATTTATATGTATAAAATTGAAAATTTCCAGGATCTTGAGCAAGTCCTCGAGTTTAAATAATAGAGTTAAATATATACAATCAATAAATTTACCCGATGTGTTTTTAAATGATCAAAGAAAACATCTTCAACTGCTTGAAAGTAAATCATTCCTTTCAACTTGGTTTCATGTTTATCTGAAATAAAAGAACAAAATAAGTAAGTGTGTTGCATGTTACATCAACATCAACAAGAGCATAAATTCTGTGATTTAATTTAAAAGAAAACAAGTGAGTGAAAGCATAGAGCGTTCACCTTGAATATGTGGGAAAAAAAACAGCAGCAAAGTTCAATAATAAAAACTGACATACTTTTATAATATGAAATGATTTTTCTTGCTCGATCGAGAACAAACCATCTTTTCTTCCATGTTTTAATTCGACTTCCCATCTTCATTAAATAACCCCTGAAATTAAACATATTCAATTGTGAATATAATCATACCCCACAAAAAAGGCACTGTTGTATTTGTGCTGTGTCGAGGGCAAGTAGGTGCTACACAAATTGTTCTAAACTAGAGATGGAAAACTTTTTTACTATTTGTATCAAATAAAGAAGAATGTGGATCGTAGATTTAAATCTGCATCAATGAGAAACTTGCATTTTCATTTTTTCCACAAGTCTTATCCTCCCGAGTTGATATTGTATAGTTTGAGCATGCACCACTTATATTAGAATTGAGGTGATTTCAGCTGATCCATTTATCAAATTCAAGTGTGAACCAATTGTGTGTGATTCTCATAAATCATATGTTCACCTATTTTCAGAATGAATTAATGTGGTCAACTGAAATAGGGAGTCATTTTTGCAATAATTCACGAATAAGCAGGTCAACCAAAAAACATTGCGGTGATCCACGGGCCAGTGGGTCTGCATCATTGTTCTGAACTAAGCACTTAAGAATTATGGATAGAGAGCATTAAAAAAAAAAATTAGACCAATTTTTCCAAAAAACTGCTATCGAAAAAATGGTCGCCAAATTCACCTGCAAGCAGTGGCAGTTACAGAAACATGTCGACATGCATCAGGATTATGACCACAGGATTCAATGTGTTCACGAAGATCAAAATTTTTTGACCTAACTGGAAGATACCTCGTCATAGGCCGGGTCTGGAATAAACAAATAAAAATTTGATTAATACATAACATGAAATAGTATGGACTGTGAGTATATACCAAGTCATTTTATTGATATTTGAGCAGAACATATATGGGAGGCTCGAGTCATTGACTCAACTTGAGTTGGACCAGGGTCACCATCAAAAACTCGAAGTTACCCTTTGAATAGCGGACTCGTCATGAACTCCCACCAGTGAGGCATAATTTGGCGATTAGTGACTCTTCGCATGAGCGCATACGAGCCATTCCATCAATTCCATCAATTTTTCAAGGGAAAGTAATTTTTTTTTATTTTTGATATCAAAAGACATTTAAATTTTATTGGACTGCATTCATTTCATCGAACAATTTAAAATTTCACCCAGGTTTTTGATGGTTTATAAAAAAAGGCCTGAAATGTAGAAATTTTGGTATAATTGACATATTTTGTGATGATTCCTGACACAAAGTGTTTGATTGTGAGGTACAGTTATTTCATATGGAATCGACGCACTGGATTTAAGTTAATAAGTTTGAATGTTTGCAGTGGTGTAGAACATTTCTTCACCCATTTAACGATTTATTACCAGAATTTTGAGAGATGATAGAGGCCGCTATTCCGAAGTGGAAAAATGTCCTGTAGTGTCACGTCCTGTAGTGTCACATACAATATGCACATTATTGGCATGGATTTACAGTGTTACATTAAGTAACTTGAGCAACAAAGAAGGGTAGTTCATCTACTGCACCAGAAAATATTATGGGCTCTTCCTGTACTATCGCAAAAATTTACAGCACAAAACAATGTTCTGTTAATGCATGGTGGATTTGCCGCCCCGTAGTGTCACGCTATATTTTACTATATTTTTTTTATCTACCAAGTAAGGTTGGGTGTAACTTTTGTGCAATTTTTTACATATTCAATAAAGCAACTGATTGGACAATGAAACAAAACATGTAGCTGAAAATGTGTAAATATATTGAATTTAACAACATGCAAAATTTCTGGAATTGTCCTGTAGTGTCCCTTGGAATAGCCCATACATGGAGAAAAAATGAAACTTTGATATTCAAAATAAACTGGATTTGCGTGAGTAATGGCTTCCTGGTGGTTGGTATACTAGACTTAGCTATGCTGGCATACAAGTTGAAGGATTGTTGTTTACTGAACCCCATATTCATCATCTCACTAAGAGAGTTATTCTTTAAAAAGGGGTTTATATTTAAACCACAAGGACCAGTTAGGCAAAATAGGATGCTGATTCAAAATATTTTACATACTGTGTCATTAAACTTCAATAAATAAAGACAGACTGAATACTAATTCAACACTTCCAAAGTTTCAAAGTTCAAGGGTTTTACAAGTGGGAATAGTCATTGAACTTGACCCGCAAATCCTTCTCTCAAGTGTCTTCAAAACCTCTTCAATGAAGTAATTGAGTTTGAATATGGGGCACATTAAAATATAACAAAACCTGTTTATATTCTTGATATTTCAGATATGATGGCCAATTATGAGCTGACTCAAACTTTCAAACTCTATCTACACTTTTCTCTCATTTGTTTTATAAGTGAATTTTGCTACAAAATACAGCTAAAAGATGGCTTTATATAGCTAAAAGATGGCAATTTGTTCAAGACTATGAAGTTGCAAAAGGGAATCTTCAAACAATTTAGTTTTAAAGAAATGAAATTTCAGTTATTGACAAAAGGGTGTTTCTTTGAAACTTGCGATTATGTCAAAAAACTCCATATGAAGGCCAAAATTTTGCTGTTACATAGATACATTTGAGTTCTTCCAATCGGATTTTATTTGCAAAGCAGAAGTCACTAATACCTGTTCATTTCAACATACCTACAACAATTCCAGTCTATCAAGCCTTGTTTAGAGAGAAAATAACATATAAAAAGCTCTCTTAAATACATAAAAGTAGCCTTTTACCTGTTTCCTTGGTTCAGGGTTTGTTCTCAATCTAACTTCTTCTTCTGTAATTGGTTCATGTGATGGACTAGATGAAGATGTTGTGGTAGGAGACAATGGATCTTGACTCGAACTACCACTTGTTGTTGGTGCATCAGTTGCCATGGTAGACGTTGATGATGATTGCGCAATGTTATCATTATTGTATTCCATATCGTTCAACTCTTCTTGACCACGATTTACATATGCATTCTGAATATATTTTAAGAATAAAAATAAATTTCTGCTGCATCTGAGAATATAGATAGTAGTGGTAGACGACTTTGATGACCCAGTCATATTGCTACCACCAATAAATTTGACGTTTTCTTCATTTATACATACATATGAATTGTGTTTTCCTATTTAATAAATAAAATAAATTCTCTCTCTCTCTCACTCTCTTAATCCCATCTTACCGTCTGAGTGTTAGGTAAGAGTATGGTTAGCCAGTTAAACAAGACACATGGGCATTGTTGGAAGAGCTAGCAAATGTATGAACCAACTTTCTACAGAGTAAGTTTCCAGCGCTAAATCTTATAATTATTTACTATTTCAATGTTAACCAATTCAAATTTTTACTCATTAGAGCTGTTCAAATGATGAGTTTAAATTAAAATCCGGCAATAATAAATAGTTGACATTACAGACTCAAAAAATAAATTTGCAATTTCAATACCCATAACTTTTATTGGGAATCAACTCAGGTCGATAAGACCAAGAAAACATCTGCGAGATAGTGAATTCCACATACCTAAAGTTCTTTGAAACAAGATTTTATGACAATTTCCTCAAAAGTCAACTATTATTTCACAGTCATGACCATGAGATGCTATTTATACATTCCATTTGGGCAACACCCGAAAATTTGAGTTGTGTTGTACCTCGTGAATATGAGCCAAAATAACTTACCACTTCTGCTAACAGTCTTTGTCTCTCAGCTTTGGCTTCAATGAGTTGCTTTTCAATCAATTTGATTTGTTCCATCTCTTTCCTGAAATATAAGTGTGAGATATTAATCATAACTTATCTCAGTAAAGAGAAATAAATAAACATCGCTAAGTTAACAGTCCTAAATTTGTTGAATTATATCATAACATTTATAAGACCATAAAACATCAAAATTATGATATGTTATTATATAATGTACATATTGTATATATATATATAATCATGGCTATCATCATATTGATAGCATTCAAACTATCATTTATTTTCATAAAACACGTTTTTTTGCAGCAAAAGAATGATTCATTTCAAATTTATCCCTTTTCCATTAACAAATCAATTTTGAATATCTGAAATAATCACAGATAAGAATATTAAAACACCAACTACGCAGAAATATAACAAAAAACTTAGCATCGTGAATGGCCAAAACCAAATTGAAAATATGAATTATCGAATATAATCAATTTGAATGGTTTTCAGAAATTAATTTGTAAGGCATTTTCAATCATACTTCAATCACTCAAAATGATTTTTGATACGAAACTAATACAAATTACACCCAAAATCAAAAAATTGGAAAAATCGAACATAATAAAACTCTGATCGATTTTAAATATTAATCGAATATTACATGTTTTGGACAATCCGGTATTACATTCACAAAAAAATGCAAAATCACTCACTGATCAGGTGTTTGAGTTGACCAAGCAGACATAGTTGTATCAAGACTATCTATTGAACTCATACTACAAGTCTCTACTCCTTTCCACCTGAAAAACAAATATTTATTAGCATTTTTACCAACATGGGTAATGTCTACATTATATCTGAGTCAAGTGTGGACTATACCAGATTGAAGAAGGAATTATTAATTGCCTTATTCGTTCACCAAATAAATAGATATAATTGAATAATCCAGTTTATCTGTAGTGAGAATATTCTAAACAATAATGAAATATTGATAATAGTAATTGACGTCATTTGCTAGTAGTTTCTGATAAAGCACTTTTGAATTTTAATAAGCACTTAAGACGTATGACACACATGTCTGACAAAAAGCATCAGAAAGATTCAACAACTTGACATAATAAAAATTTCTTGAAAATATTTTTATAACACAAAGTGATCTTACATTAGAATGTATTATGTTGTTTAACACCCGCCCAGATTCAAAAATTTCACTTTATTATGTATGTTTTGTAGCTATGAACCACAATACCATAACTTCTATCATCAGAAAAAAATCTAACAAAAATATCCCAAACTTTATTTGATTAACTGCTATAAATAACAACGATTCAATATATATTTTCATCAACCTGCTGGTAGAAATAATAATACTATATTCTTTCAATTGAATAGTTTTGAATATATTATAAAAATCAGAAGTGCCAATTTCTGGAAACAAACTTGACTTTCATTGATGGTTATTTAAATTTCGCAATATTCTTTAAGATATTACTATGCGCATCATTTTTGAATAAAATGTACCTGAATACAAAGCGGGTAAGCAAACTGTCATCTTAGAAAAAAAAAGTACCAAGTATTGAGTATTTTCGCCTTAAACCCTGCAGTGAATTTCTTCACCTAATAGTATATTTCAACAATAATAAACTATCTCAGAATAAGCTTCATATAATCTAAATCAGACATACCGATACAAAACTAGCTACTTGCTTAAAACATAACTTCCCCCTGATCTATACGCACACTCCAACTTTCCATATTACCAAACGGGCTACTTCAATATTACGTCTAGTCAAGCATTACGTAATTTTACCACAAAACAAATAATTCTATAAGAGCGTTATTTGAACAGATATAATAGGACAAAAAGAGCGACAATGTTTATCCAAAAAGTCTGTCTGTGAGTCTGTATGAATGATATATCTTAATAGGTAATTTTTAATTTTTTCCAAAAGTTAATCTTAACTGTTGCCATCACATGGATTGGATTATCCAACTACAAATTCAAAACGAAATTTATTTTGAAAAAGTAAGAAACATCCACCTGGCCATATGATAGAATGTAATAATAAAGATATTTTCTACTGTAATTTTTATGTCATTCATTTTTTACTTATCGATTTTCATAATCGGTAAGTATGTTGATAGGTATCTGTATGTCTGTTAGATGCACGCGATATCTCACGAAAGCGAGATTAAATCTGCTCCAGATTTTGCATGTGCATTCATCTTATCTCGGACCAGAGGCCTATTGATTTTGGGCGAATTATGTCGTATAATTAGCGAGTTATTATTTAATTAGTCATGGGACACAAGGTGTCACTATGGAATAGGGGACTGTTTTAGGGATCCCCTAACTTTCGATCGATAAGTCTTCGGTCTCTGACCGATATTCTCGTTTTCTTTTCCTTCTTTAGTATTTAAAAGATGCTACTTCAGGAATGAATAAAATAAATAAATTCAAATAAATGCCTCATATTGAATATTGAAACAATACCTAATTTTAAACTTCTAGGCAATATTTTTTGATGAAATTATATATTTCAATCAGTTCAAATGTATTTAAAAGCAGCAGTCTCTTCCTCAACTAGTAGTTTGTTAATTTAAGCTGCATGGACTTGACGGAGAAAACCACAGCCATCCAGCGTTTGTGGTGACCCAGCCCACAACGGAGATAGTCCAACAATCCTTCACAAGACACAAACCTGCGCATGATATATCAGAAGTGCGATGGCAATCATGTTACAAACGCTTAGCAATTCACCAATCTTCAAGGCTTCTATTCCACAGAGACATTGTTAAATCACATTCTGATTTAAACCTGACAGGACAAGTTAGTTTTTTGCACTTTTTTACCTGTTAAAATCTGCATTTCCATCCTGTGAAGCAGAGTCTTGTAACCTTTGATAATATGGTCTTGTCATTGAAGAATTTTTTGAGAATGAGGCAGAAGAATTTAAGGCAGATGCGGCACCTAATGACAACAAATTAGCATTTGATCATTCGATCAAATAATACAAATAAAACAAAGGAGAATATATCTAATTGGGAAGGAATTTATTTACATAAATGACATAAAAAACAATTATGACAAGATAAGATGAGGATCGAGAAATTGCATTATATAAGTTCAATGAGGTGGATTACCATTTATCTGTCTATAGAACGACTTTTACACTTAACTGCCTTCTTACACATTTACTTTTTGGGCAATTAAAATAAACGTTAAAATGAAATAGCGTATATCAAAAAAAAACGAAGAAGACACACAATTATGATAAATACTATACATGATTTGACAAAGTTCATGCCGAATAAAAAAATATGAAATTAAGTGTGCAAATATTCTACTCAGTTGCCTAAAATAGTAGTGAACAGTGATAATGGAGAATTTTTTTTCACCATAAATGTGATAGAAACAAAACGCAACACAAGGAAAGAATGAATAGAAATTGTAAGATATCTTCATGAAAGGGTTATTAAATGAAATTTATAAGAAATTACTATTTTCATATAATAATTTGTGTTATTATACGATCCTAAATGTATTAGTTACATTGATATCTGACAAAAAATTTTATATTGATTTCAATAAACAAATATGAACGAACATGTCCCCGAAACACCAATGCAGGTAAGCGGGATTAGAGAATGCTCTTTACGCTTGTTTGAAAAATTGATTTTTATTATGCAGAGGAGAAAAAACCGACGTTTGGATCGATTTTTATAAATATCAAATGCCAATTTAGCAGACTTGTATTTTATCAATTGAAGATATTCTGAAAAATTCCCGAAATCAAAATTCTATCACACATTTCGAGATTGGGACGGAATCTTACCCGCTCAGCGCTCAGCATTGCCTACTCAATTTAGTACACCCTGGGTGATGTGGTGGGCATAAGAATTGAGCCCAAGATTTTAACTAGCGATGCCATCATAATCGAGTCTAACGCCCCCTTAACCACTTTGGGCATACCAGGTTACAATACAGTCAATAGTGAAATAAGTAAAAATAGAATAGCACCACACACCATGAAATCACACACACATGTACAGATTTTTCGAGCGGGCAATATACAACACAAACATGCCGAATGTGACACATCGTGACAGTTGTTTATCTACCTCTACTACGATGTCTCGATTTTGTTGAATTATATCTAGTTAATGTCGAGTGTGCATAATTCTGAGTGTTTCCATAAGCTTGCTTGGGTTTAAAACCAAGAGTTGAATCATCTTTGTACCGAAGAGCTATATGACCCAATGTCAAGCAAGAAGAGAGAGATGTAATGAAGTAGTGTAGAATAGGTGTTGATGAAATTACTATTTGTTTCAATATGCAACATTACAGAATACTCGATTTGTACAAGGTTATAACGGCCAGAAACAAGATTTTTCATCATTTTTTATATTAAACGTTTTCAGAGAAGAATTGCACATGAAATGGCATCCTTCCGTAATTAATATACCTAGATATTTGATTAAAATACAACAGGATATAAAATTTGATAGTTTGGGAGGATGCAGTTTAAAAAACAATGGTCAAAAAATAGAGTGAATTTTCAAATTATTTTTTCATATATAAAACACTAAATATTTTTCACTGTAGTGCGACTAAATTGAGAGTGACAAATTTGTACTACAAGGGTATGTATATTAGTGGAGACTGGGGATTGAATTCAAAAACGAAGAAAAGTAAAGATATACATTATTTATATATTTTTTTTACAATCCTACCCTAATCCGAAGAACTAAAGAGATATTTTACAGTTTCGAAAATAAATTCAATCACCAAAATACAACAACCACATAGTAAGCAGTTACAAAAATATTTCCCACCTTGGGTATGCAATATATCATTGGTATTGTCTTCATTATTATTAAAATGGCAGATACTGGCATTTGAGGTAGATTTCAAGTTTATATCATTCGACTGAAAAATAATATGAATATACTTTATAATAAAAAAAATTGTTTAAATCTTGAGACCATATTGAGACAAGAGAGTATTGCTCAGATCAGCATTGCTAGCTAATTTATTACACTTTGTGTGAGGTGTTGGACATGATATTTGAACCAGGGCTGGGGAGATGGTTCGAAATCAGTGGCCACGGCTGCAGCTTCAGGGTCACAGTATAATCAAACTATGGTTCCAGCTTCATCTCCATACCATTTAATCTTTAAGTGTGACTGCAGCCATGAAATATCTGCCCAAATGCAGTTTTATAGAAGATAGACTCAAAGCACTGATATATAATTTTAAAATTAAAAATTTAGATATATGATTTCAACTTGAAAACTAAATTAATATTATAATTTATAGTTTATAAAAAAAAAGAATAGATTTTAGCATATTACAAAATTATAAATGTGAAAAAGTAATAGAATGATTAGGAGTCGAAGCCATTGAAATTTCTGGTAGCTTAGGCTTTGGCACTAGCTCCATCTAACATGGTAAGCTTGGTTCCAGCTCCGCAAAAATGTCACAGCACCATGGCGCCCCAGCCCTGATTATAACAACATAACGCTAATAATTCTACCTGCAAATTGAACACATCATCATCCTTAGATGATTGGCTTCTTTCATTTCCATCAATCCTATCTTCATTATTTTCTGCTTTCAATATTGCTGTAGATTGTGATTTAGTTCGGATTGATGATTCTCTATCAGGTGTTGGTGGTTTATTACCTGTCAGCTCATAATATTTCTGCTCAAGAAAGGAAGTTTCTTCCTGATGCTGTCAATGTTAAAAGGATTTGAAATTTATACTCTACTAAATAGCTTGACCTAATTGACAACAAGATTTGGGGACAGCTTGGGATCAATTTCAATTCTGGGTACTCCTGAAGTATGTGAAGCAAGATGGCCAACACAGGTACGCAGTATGTGTACCAGGTTAGGGTTAGGCCATAATTTCAGGTACAAATACTATGGAAGTCACTTGGCTAGTTCCCGAACACGTAATAGAACTAAAAAAAGGAAAATTTAAGTAAAATTATAGTCTAACTAACCCTAATCTGGTACACATACTACGTTTCGGTGTCCGCCATCTTGACTCACATACTTCGAGAATACCCAATTCTGAATCTGCTAAATTTGTGGTTCTCAAGATATGTATACTGAGATTATTTCAAAAGCGCGGATATATCATGGATTAGAAATTTATGTTGAACCTTACAAATCAAAAATAAAATATAAACTTGAATGATCTGACATTTCAAAATACTATTCATTAGTATTTTAAGCTTTTAAGCTTATTAAAACCAATATAATCCATAAATGAATAAGATCAACCATGAACCGCCCTATGATAAACGAAACAAAAATATCAAAATTGGACCCAATACTTTATAATTAAATATATTATACTTTGTAATAGAACTGCTACATTTTAAATAACATAAGTCATATTAATCCAGGATCAAAGCATTATCTTATAAATAAGAACGTTTCAATAGGTTTCAATTAGGATAAGCACTTAAGCTCAAGATATTACAACAAAGTAATTGTTACTTAAGACGTCTACTATTTCTATATCAAAACCCTATTACAAATTAAAAACATTGTTCAACTACCGGTAAGTGTGGGGATAACCATCGAGGGAGCTAAATTTAATTGCTTTATGTTATTGAAAATGTACAAATCGAAGTAAATACGGCACCAAAGCCGGATTTTGAGCGAGTTCAGCATTTTACAAACTGTCCAGCCCAGTGTGAGAATACAACTTATTACCAACTTATTAGTATAACAATATTTAGTTTTCAAATCTGCCATGTTCCATCTATAGAAATCTGGTGAACCACACTTAAATGTTGAATATGACAAAGAAGTTGTTGAAATAAATGAATAATTAATCACCTGTTGAAGTTCTTTAATTGCTTGATCTCTTTTCATATGTAATCTTTGATTATCAGATTTTTCTTGCATTGTTAATTCATTCAATTGTTTTTCTAATGTTTGGACAATTTCCTAGACAAAATGTGAACAAATATGGTGATAATTTGAAGTTGAACTTCAGTGCTACTTTGAATACAACAAGGAAACTCACCAGACAGGGAAATTTTCATAATAACCAAACTTGAAACAATTGAGATACACTGGAGGGCGCAACGACCCACTATTGAGCGCATTGAACAGAGCCCCAGAAGTATGTGCACCAATATGGCAAAAGGACCACACATGCCTTACCAAGTATGCAATAATTTGGGTAGGCAATGCCAAACCGATAAAATTTCGATCCTTCTGAATAATAATAATGATTGTTGTGCGAAATTACATATGCAAGTAGTTGCGAGTGAATTTATAGGATAGGATTTACATATGCATCTTGGGGGATATGAAAGCCGATAAGATGGCTCAATCATATGACAAACCATGGCCTCCCGTTTGGTTACCAATCCACCAGGTTTAGAGTTAGTGAGCCAGTTATTTGTTTCCGATGCATGAGTATGATTTAAGTTCCATACCTTTCTTTTCATAACATCTGTGCCCAACTTCTTCTGTTTATCAATTAACTGAGCCTGCATAGTTTCTTTTTCTTCATCCATCCTACTTATATTTTCCAGTGTTTGAAATTCAATGTCTTCAAAATTTTTCATGTCTTGTTCTAATAATAGTTGATCCTATATAATAGAACGAAATATGTGAGAATTTATCACTTTTACAATAGGCCTTATGTGGTTAGTTCAAACTGAGAACAGAGAACCTATGAAACCTTTCGAGGGATAGTTAATAGATAGAACAAAATATGAGTAACTTCATGTGACAGACATTTTCATGTGTTTGGCTTGCCTGATTTGAATAGTAAGCGAATAAATGACAAGGATTCATCATCTCTATCTTCAACATATAGCTTACACTGAAATGATATAATCAGCAACGGAAGAAACTATGCCTAGACAGTTTGAACCAGTGAATGCATCAAAAATCTTTGTTCAGATCTAGACCACATTATAAAAATGAATGATAAATTGACACACTACACAAAATTAACTAGAGTACTAATTCACATTTAAGACATATATTTTAATAGCTCTGCTCTGGTAAAAAGAATTGAAATGAAGATGAATTACCGGTTCCTAATATGTTTATAATGTTTACGTTTCCTCTATTATGTTCAATATATATATAGAGTTATCACATAAACTCAAACTTACCTTTTTCAACTCCACTTCCCAAACATCTCTTATACTTTCTGGACAATTGTTCAATTGTTTTTGTGAATGCATCAATTTCTTACGTAACTCTGCCAATTTCTTCTTTTCTTTCTCAAGCAAACTATTTTGCTAAAAGAAAATCAAAATTTACAAAAAATATTTAGAAACAGCTAACAAAGCTAAGTGAGTGACATGCTGTTAACGAAGTTGTAAATTTAAACAAAATTTAAACTGTAAGAATTATAATAACAAATTTCAAGTTTATCATCATTTTAATCATTGCATATGTTCTGTGGATTGTAGCTGATTTATTCCATTCTAGTTCACATACTTAGTACTGTTACGAATTGTTCGTGAATTATGAAAAATTTTCACCAATTTTCGAGAAAATATTACTTCAATATAACAAAATAAAATAAAAAGACTTACAATATCCCTTTGTTTCATATACTTTTCTTCTAATTCAATAATTTGATCCTTTAATTTCTCACACATTTCTTCTTCTCTTTCCAGATGTTGTCTCTCAGAATCAAGTTCTCCGACAACGAGAGCTTTCTCCATTTCCAACTGTAAATCCATGATTGATTGTTTATTCGTTAAAACTTTAGTTTATTCTTAGTAAAAAATGATTCTCTCACGTAAAGCTATTCCGGAAGGTTATACAAGAGAAAAAGTTCTTCAGATATCGTATCCTACAGAATTCTATAAATTATCAAACTAAATTTTTTTGTGATGTTTTTTGGCATGCAACTCTTAACATGGCACTTGACAAGTAGCAACCTGTACATATGAAGCTAATAAATTTTAGGAAAGACTCAAATTTGTCAAGCTCAATTTCAAGTTTTCTTTTAACCTACGAAAGAAATTTTTTTTTTATATATCTTATAACATTTGATTGAATGAAGCATGCAATTTCCCACATTCCATCAGAGAATACAAAATACAACTGTGAACATAAAAGCATATCATGATATAACATAATCCTGATTCCTGACTGTTTATCCATGTATGCGACTAAAGCTGAAACTAAGTAAGAGTTTCACTAAATGCCCAATAACATTTTTAAATTTCTAATGCGTTTTTTTACATTCTATTCTCACAGAAATTTTGCACTAGAAATACTTTTTACATTTTTTTCGAATTTCAGCTGATTAGCTAGTTAAAATAATCTTTATTTAATGTTAGATATACTGCCAGATTTCCCATTGCCTTCCAAACCGTCTCAACCAATCCATTAAAAATTATTCTCCATGTCATCAACCTTTCACACCCATCATATGATGACAAAGACACTTCAATCGTAACACGTTCACCTCATTTGTTTGTATTCCGAACCAGATGTTCATACAACCATATATGGAGCATAGCTTAAAACTAGATATATCAATGGGATATGTTCGGCCAATGCCAACTATACATTTTCAGCAGTAACACTACTAAATATCACAAGTAATACCAAAGCTCTACACTTCTAAAAAAAAATTTATATTTATCACAAGCATGGAACTTTCATCAATGGCCCCATTCGGCCGAGGATAAAACAAGCAAAATTTTAATTGTAATTTCAAACAATTAAAAAACTATGGAATACGACAGAACTACACAAAACAAAAATCTATAATGATAAACTAAAGCACTGTTATCATTTTTATATAGGCTTTTATAACTATTATTTGTTTACACTGATAATTCAAGTTTACGTTATCTTATCAGTAAGTATGATTCCAGAATATTTGTCTTATGTCTGACTGTTCGAGACAGGTATGCAAACACTTCATTGATAAGATTATTAATTACAGAAATTAGCCTCACAAACATTTGGTGCGTCACAAAACTTGGCTTTTGTAGTGGTAATATAATCACAGTTTCATACATTATGAGTTCTTTAACTTCCTTCAAATCAAAATTGAATTTATCCAGAGATAATATTCTTAATTTTAACATCTATACCTGTTATATCTGCGGAACAGAGTATTACAATAGAAAATGGAATTTGCCATATATCCATCAAATAAAAACATCCCTTAACACTGCGGCATTAAATGTAATCTGAATGTAGAAATACAAATAAAATAACTCTAAAAGCACTTTTCTCCTTACTTAAATATAAAGTAACATTATAGCCATCACTGGCAATCTAGTCTGTAATAAAACAACAATTGTGATGTGATTGACTTCAATATATATCAGACAAAATAGCTGTAGGGCATTATGAAAATTAAAATCATCTGTTGATTGGTTGAACCATTTAATTATCTTTGACCTGGCATGGGCTAGTGTTGAAATGCGCTTTAAAAGCGCATTTTAACACTAGCCCATGCCAGGTCAAACATATGGTATTATGATAGCCATGTAATTCTTTAATAATTATAAAATGCATCTCTCCATTGTTATTTAATATTATATCATTTTATTGGGGTCGTTGCAATTAAGGGCATATGGTAACCCCTATCATAACAAACAATGTATTCAAATTGGGTATTCTGTTTATAATTCATCTCAATTTCTTTCGCTAGCAAGCGAAGAAAAATTTGACAAAGCCAATTTGAGTTTTCTATGAAAAAATTAGATTATTTTAACCGCGAGATAAAATCTGTGACAAGATAGGAAGATATAAACACTTTTTACGATAAAATCATAGCGTGGTGAATTTCTGGGAAATATTTTCAATGTCAATCGATCTATTTGTTTAATGGAATCATCGGAAGAAAAAATAAAATTTAAATTCATTTTGTCATTTACAAATTCCAAATGCTAGTCAACGACATATGGCTAATGATGGGAAAAATCTGTTGTTTGAAATTCAATATTACTGAAAAAGGGGCGTAAGGAACAAATTGATCTGATTTTTAAAAAATATAATAAAGAAAATACGCTTTCAAAGGCAGTTGAAAAATTTAAGACTTTATTGTATAATATATGTTTTTGGTATTTATTTGCTTTTCTATTAAATTATTTTAAAATATACGTAAAAAAAGGTGACAGTAACTTTGATATGAAAATAACAATATGTAGACTTAAATTCTGCAACCAAAAAAAGTAATGTTAGTGTAATATGCATGTTAATAACGGCAGATTCAATCCTAATAGTTGACCAAAAATGGGAAGAGGGGAGATAAAATATAAACTGTTTGTTCTATCATTAAAAAAGGCTAAAAGACTTCCAATTTATCATTCCATGTCTTTCATATTTGATATGTCAAACTTGGAAGCAAAAATCACCCTGTCTGATTAATAATTCAAAAGGAGAATTCAGTCGAAATGGTAAACTAAGTATACATTGAAATCCCACCCAAGACATGCAATTAATATCTAGATTATAAATAGAATAGGTGACCGATCCAGCTACAAATTAATTATTCATAGGAAGTTTGGTTTTGTTTGTATGACAAAAATGAAAAGAGAAAAACACCATTTTGTTTGTATCTTAATAGCTTAATACTGAAAGCTTTTCCTAATATAAATAAAGTATTATATACACAAACTATTTTCTTACGATGCAATTTTTTTAAACAACATATTTTGCTCTGAACAAGACCCCGCCCAAGTTGTCACTGCTAGATAGCAAGATACTATATTCTTTTTGATGGACAGTATTCTTTCTAGTTTGGCAGTGGCTTGTCCAATTTATTGCACCCTGGGTGAGGTGGTAGGCATGGGATTTGAACCTGGGATTTTAAATTGCGATGCCATCATAGATAAATCTAACGGTTCACTGACTGGGGCACTGCATTTAATGAATATGCACTACAATATGCTTATTGCAGATTTGTTGTATTTATATTGTTATATCAACATGAAATGTATATGTAAACAGTATATACTTGTATTTTTATCGCATGATCCATCTGCTGAATAAATAATGTATTTTCGGCTCAATTTTACCTGAAATAACATCCCCTAGATTTTCGTTACTTGTTTACACAAAACAAATAACAGGTTCATTGAACCTTATGTGAATTTAGTCATGTTCAATTAAAAACGAATGGTAGTTGGGAAATTCAGGGAAGTTAGGTTATACAGCGATTTTTTTTTCAGATATATAATGAAGTTTGTATGGCCTTTCATGGAATACTATGAGACTTCAATTGCTGAGAACGATAAATTTCCAAATGAAACTATTTAAAATTTCCCATGGAAAACAAAAATTTCAAAGTTGACATATAGTTTAAAAACATCAGACAATATAGTTCGTTTTCAATCAATTAAAATATTAGATTCATATTAGATATCTATACATTTTATGCATGTTTCATTCAGATTACTCCGTGTTGCAAGGCTTACACAATTAACAAAGTATACAGCTTTCAAGTAAAACCCAACACAAATTTGATATCAGATCTACTAGGCTATTGAAAATGTAAATTCAATCTTACAGCACAAACACATTCATCCAATTGTGTCTCAAGTTCCGTTATTTTTCTTTGTAAATTTTCCATTTCTTCTCTTCCTTGCTCGTACAAATGTTGAATTTCAGCAATATCCTCCTGGATTAATTGGAAAGGAAAAATTATGCTAAATAAACAGGAAAACTGTCAGAAAAAATAAAGAATTTAAATTAGAATTAAATTCAGTTTTGGCACGAGGCTCATTGTTTTCCACTTTTGCTATTGTAATACTGTAAATATTGTTCATGAAATGTAACTTTCACGTCACACTTACATGGATCGCCAGTCTAATTGGGTAAAATTTTTGGCCCCTGGTCCAGAAACCTTGTCCACCCCCCCATTTAAATGAATGTTTGACAGCCTATGCCATATACAGGAACGTTCAAGACAAATCAAATATTCTAATACATTTGAAATATGTGATATTCAATATAGTAAATATATATAGTAGATATATTTATGTGTATTCATTATCTCGAAACCTTTAACATCTGGTGTTCAGACAGAAAATAGAAAATCAATCAAAACAATGTTCTCATTTTATATCAATTTACAATGATCTCTATTTTGTACATGTTCCATTTTAGACTATTGGTATATTTTATATTCTATATTCAAAAATATAACTTTAGAATGTGCTCTAAATAAATAATTAATGAATTTGTTATTTGCGGTCTCTGATGATAATATTTTATTGCAGAAATAGAGAGTGCGCAAGAACAATTTTTTTCGAATAATCCCTCAAATTCTTGGCTAATTTTTTTTTCAAAATACAATTCATTTTGTCCATAAAATAAATGGAGTTGAAGCAGATGGGTTACTGCACTAATTGAATAATTAGGTTTCATTTTGTACAAAAAAAGACTCACAGGTCTCGCTCTTCTAATTTTCTTTTCTTTATTTGGTGAAAGTACAGATGTTGGTGATTTTGGCTCCCTTGGTGGCAATGGTGGAGGTGATGAACATTGTTGTTGTCCTAGGAAAAAAAGAAAATCATTGCAATTATGGAAATAAAGTGGATCAAATACATTACCTAGATTCTATTTGTACATAAGAAATTAAAACACAAAAAAAGGAATTGCTGCAAGGCAGAAGGCAACATATTCCAAATGAAGTAAAATTAGTGAAATAATGCACATAGACTGATTGCAGAAATAAAGCATCCGGTAGAAATATGTCATTCTTGCTAAGAAACAATGAAGAAATTGCATCCCTGATATAATACTGATATTGTAATATTTTCTTAATTTATTAGGTAATAAAAATACTTTTGATTTCAAATATATAAACTTATTCAATATACCCAAATGCCCATACCCGAATGTGTAATGATGAATAGCTTTAGAACAGTGGTTCTCAAACTTTTTTAGCCACGCCCCCATTTTAAAATTTGTCAAGTCTCGCACCCCACCTCAGAAAGAACTAGCTAACAATAAGCTACAAATAACAGATAGTAAGGCGAAAAGTATGTTCTATTCAAAACACGTTGAAAATATGTGGATGGAACGTAAATAATGAAATAAATGAAAGTTTAAAAACAAGCGAAATTTGGTATTTTTATTAGTGCAGTTGTTTTTGGCTGACAAAATAAGAAATGTAAATATACAAAATATGGCAGAGAAGATTAAATCTAACAACTATTTTTATTTTTAATAATCTTCACGCTCTCCTCATAATGTCTACGCCCCCCATCGAGGGGTGCGCCTCACCATTTGAGAACAACTGCTCCAGATTATTGAAAAATAAGCAAAATCACAGAAATCAAATAATATCTGATTACCAAGTATGGACAACCCTAAAACATATTTTAAAAAACCTGACAAAATAACTGTAAATAATAATCCATCAAAAATTCCATTTAGGACTGATATTTGCATTCAGATAAAAAGTGCCTTGTCTCAGAGTCCAGTCTCATAAGTCAAAACCAGGAAGCATTTTCCAAGAACAACTAATGGCTTTGTGTTGCCCAACAGAAAACTCATTACTGTTTCTTAATATAGCACAGATAAGAAACTAGGAGTATAAACATGTTTCTGTGGTGGAAAAACATGATATTCCCAGACACAAATACAGTTTAGATACCAATGTTTATACAGGCAAGATGGAGGCTGGGTATGGCATAAAGCAAAGTGACTGGATAAATCAATTGTCATACACAAAAGCTAAACCAAAAATAGTCATTTTATCAGCACTATTAGTATGATTGTGAAATGATCATTTTTTGTGTATCTCAATTATAAATATTATCTAATTTTAATATTTATTGATATTATTTGAAAAATAAAAAATTTATTCATCAATTTTGGGGATATTTTCCAGCAAAACATGGAACTCCATTTTGGGCATATTTTTCGGCAAAACATGGAACTCCATTTTAATGTTAGGCTACATTGCTATTCGCCAACAATGTCAGGTTGTCATGAAAATTGTGTGGTATTGGTAACTTAGGAAAATGAGATAACATAGTTTTTCTTTTTCACTGTGGTACCATTTATCAGAAAATCACCAGACAGTGATAAAATCTGTCTTGAGTTTGTCTGACATGTGGTATAATACATCACGAAAATGTTTTGGAAGAAATAACAATGGAATGTTGAAAACATGAATTTTGAACCACTATTGGGGTGTAACAAGAAAAAGATATTTGTGTTTGGTTATCCAAACTCATACATGTCAAGTACTTTAGCTTTTAGCAAACTTTCCTAATGTTGACTTATTGATCATTAGCTTAACATTTTTTAGCGGTTAAAGTGCTGGACATCTTGACCAAGGTGTGATTAATTAGGTAGAAAATGCGGCGCTCCAGAAGTGTGTGTACCGACTACCAATATGGAGGTAAAATGCAACATAAAAATGCAAAATTACATATCCCAATACGCATACAACATCCTGTGAATAATTTCAAACTTCAGGAATTATTTTAAATGACAATATATTTAAATATCGCCATTTGGTATATATCAGTTATTCTACAGAATAAAAATTGGGTTTTTCATTCATAAAAACTATGATCCGTTTGTAAATTGGTCATACAGCAGCTCATAACAAAACAATTCTATGTAGTATTAACATTTTTCAAATTATCAATATTTTATTATATCCTACATAACGTTCTTACACACATTCCCTCCAAACAAAGCTCTCTACAAGCAGCCACTTATATACGTGAGGCTACTATATTTTGTATGAATCAAACTTTTTTTGGTTCTGCATTGCCTACTAAACATATTACCCTAGACCAGTGGTTCTCAAACAGTGGGGCGAGTCCCACAAGGGGGGGGGAGACAATTTTTTGAGGGGATGTAAAGCTAATCAAAAATTTTTTGTTAGATTTGATCTTCTCCTTATTTTGGATACATTTCTTTATTTTGGATATTTACATTCCATCCATGTATTTTCAACGTGATCTTTGAATAAAAAATATTTTCGACCTTACTATCTGGTATTTGGGGCGAGACTTGACAAATTCTAAAAAGGGGGCGTGGCCTAAAAAGTTTGAGAACCACTGCTAGACAATGTGATGAATATGAAACTAGAACCCGGTATTTTTAATATAATTAGGAATAGGTTATATAAATCACTTAAAAGTTAGTATTAAAGGATAGCGTTGTAATATAATGCACCCCAAATAAATTTTAACTCAGATTCTGAAATAATAATCATATTATATTCCTCTATAGTAGATAATGAAATTTACATTTTATACCTGGCAACACTTGACTGCAAATATCTTTCTCCAGGGAAATCAATCTTCTAAAAGTCCTTTGTGAGTCAGATAATGATGTTTCAGATTTCCCTGGACTGGTACAATCACTTGAAGATGAGCCCGAAAAAGTATCACATAAAAGTTGAGTTGAGTTCAGCCCTGTATTTCCATCTCCCAGTTCAATGTCTGCATTAATGTAATATATTGAATAAATGAAATAGAATGTGATTGAAAGTATTGATTAAAACTTAATGTAATATCAATTTATTTTGAATCAAAAATTACTTTCTAGAGACTCCAGGGACATTTTTTCCATCTCATGAACATATAAAAACAAGGATGTTGAAACTAACATTATATAGCAGGGGTGGGCAACGTTTTCCGGACCAAGGGCCAAAAATTTTGCCCACCTAGACTGGCGGGCCATGTAAGTGCGACGTAAAAAGTTACATTTCGTGAACAATATTTACAATAACCTTGAAGCCAAAACTCAATTCAAACGCAATCTCAACCAATTCCTTGAGAAATTTTTTAAATAAAATATCGAAACTTGGTTTTAGTTTAGTTGTGCCAGCATCAGGCAGGCCAGATTGAATTACCCAGCGGGCCAGATTTGGCCTGCGGGCCATAGTTTGCCCATGTCAGTTATATAGTGTATGCAATGGGCATAAAATAAATTAAATAATTTAATATTTAATAACAGACCATCTAGTGCTATCAATGGGATTCAAGCAAGTCACAGAATTTTACTCAGGAACACAATATTTCTAAACTATTTGGATATAAAACCTATAGATGCGATAATGATTCTTAATTGTCGCTTCAATCCGAGATATAAGTCCAGATATGAAAATTATTGACTTTCTGAATAACACAATATGAATATGTTTTGTTATAATGGTCACACTCTTACCTTTTCCATGAAAACTGATTTCCAGCAATAATTTATTCAGATCAATATTTTTATCCAATGCTTCGTCTTTTTCTTTTGACTGATTCATGAAATCTTTGCACATAGTAAGTATCTTATCAAGCCTTTGTTTTTCCTGAAAACATAGGACAACGCTCAAATTTATGGACAGTAAGGCCTTAGAACACAAAGTTTTTCAAAAAGATTGGTCGTCAATACGTCGAGTGTGGCGCAGGTGGTCAAATGATAGAAAAAAAGTGTTTCTCTTCAATCAAAATATAACGTTGAATTTGAAATTGATTGTTAAGGCAATATTTTACCAATTTTAGCAAAACGATGATCCATAATTCCACTACATGTCTAAAATTTAAAAAAATTTTATTTCAAGATCAAAGTAAGCCAAATTGAAAACTTCAATCCAACACGTGCTTACTACAACTTCAGAGTTTCAAGATAAAATTGGGAATGTTGAACCTCAGAAAAAAATCTGTTTCAAAAAACCACAAGGAAATACATGTTTACGAGTCTGAAGCCATATTCAACGAAGTATTTGAATAAAAAGTTGGGAGAAGTCTAAAAATCAAAAATGTATGTTCCCTTCATTTTCTCAAAACAGTTTTTTTCTAGTTTCGTCCTGTTCAGTCGGAATATCACTCTGATGCTCAAAGCTTATGATATAATTCAACTTGATATCAGTAAATACAAACTGACCTATTAACTAAACTCTCATTTCAGCAACTACTGTTCTGCTTTATTAGAAAGGAACTACCGGTAGAATCTTATCGAAGAATAAACCTAGCGGGGGAGCAAATGGGACAATTTGACACCCACACTCAAAATGTAAAAGCAATTCTTCCTACTCTCAATCAAATCTATATTAGCTATATTGATTTGATGACAAATTCAGAAACAGTCATTTCATTTTCTATATTTATCTCAGATGATCACCATTTGACTTGTTATATGTCACAATGATTAAAATTACAATCAAACATAGACAACCCAAAAATAGCAGCAAATTAGTGTTCATTTTAATAATACACATCAAATTTTGCCTGTTATGTTTAATTAAACATCCGAGAGTTACGACCATCTCTTCCAAGATTTTTCTTTTTTAATCGAATCCGATTACATAGTCTTTAAAAAATACTTTTATGAGCTGCTGATAAATCAGTGGTTACTTAGCAAGTACTTTTATATGGTATTTCTTTACTTCTGAGGGGTTCGCTAAAACTTGACTTGGGCATATAATTTTTAAATATAACATGAGTCATGAGCTCATGATGTAAAACATTACATCAGAAATCGCATTGCTCTGAATAACATCCCTTTTAAAATTAATAGTTTCCTTAATTACATTTGTTGAGTTATTTTTTATCCCCGACTCACAGCTGACTTGAAAGGTGGGCCAGGGATGGCCAATACTAAATATTTAGCAATACCAAATATATTTTGAAAATCCATGTTCAAGATGAGAATATATTTTAATTCACTCCATTAATTAGGCTCCAAATAATTGCCATTATCTTACTGAAAGCCTTAAAAACCGCACTTCGTTTACATACTTTACCTTAATAAAATGTGAATAAAAGACACAGTCCCAAAAACCACTTTACAATCTGAACCACAAAATAATAATATGAGGCATACCACGCTATAAACTTTATTACAGAATTAGATACATCTGTAAACATAATATAAAACAGCCACTCTGATCTGCAAATACATCTCTTTACAGGATGTTTGTCAATAAATTCCTGGTTTTACTGTCCAAATAAACCCACTCTCTCTCTGAACTGCTTGCTCTCTTTCTAATCTCAGGTAAACACAGAGTGAATAAAATTTCAAAGTCTGTGCACTTTCCAACTGTTTTCTGTGTACCAGCTGGTATATATGTAAAAAAGTAAACAAAAAAATAGCACTCAATCAAGTATGATTTAATGATAAATTGATTTTAAAAAGTAAACCATGTTTGATTTAAAGATAATCTGTTATACAATCTCAACAATAGGTTTTGAATTACAGATACATGTTTATTTCGACAAACAAATTAAATATCTAAATACTATATCCGGCCACACTTAATTCTATTTATATCCTTGAAGATAAATGAATATCAAATTACTAAATACATTTTCTCTATTCCTTTCAGAACAATAAGATGAACTAAGTATAAGTTACAATACAACCTATCGCTTATTAAGAAAGCAACATTCTACAGATCCATTGCATGAGAAACAAGACTGACACAACTAATGAAAACAATTTTCAGGGTGCATTCTTCTATTGAAAAAAAATTATTACGTACAAAATGTCCTCAAAGTGATTATTATCTTTTGAAGTGGATCACAACACCACGGTTCAATGATCACAAATAATAACATGACTTTATTCCGACAAGGAGTGTCAGCGTCAAGTGTCGCTTCCAATACATGCCCAAAATATGTAGGATTATTATTTAAGTGCCCCTTGAACTTTAGAAAACACTGGGTTTCAATAGTATTAAATAGAAGGGGTCCCTCATAGTAGTCACCCATTGAAATATACACAATGAGGATGTAATAAAAAGAACTCAATAGGGGATTTGAACTCGTCAAAAGCCAAAAAAATTTGACAACGAAAAATTTCGCTTAGATAAAAGGGTTTGCCAAATAATAGTCAAAATATGCTAATTTGAGGAAGTTTTGACATGGGTAGGACTAAATGTTAGAGAAATCTATTTTTATGATTGTGTTAGTGTGCTGTAAGACCCTTGAATCACTTAGAACTATAATAGAACACATTTTTCAAATACCAGGTTTTCCATGTTTAGATTTTATTTAATTTTAAATTAGCTTAACAGCTACAGAGAAAAGCAAAAATGGTCCCTGAAGTTATATCTACTGAGTAAATAGGCTCACCCGAACTACTGAAAACTGTTCTTTTCGTCGCTGTCTCACAGTCTCATCATGCAATAATTTCAAGTCATCTTCTAGATCTGTATCAACAGATACAATTGATGACTGACTACCGAAACGATCTCTCAGAGATTTAACAGATGCTGAAAAGGAAATATACATCATCTTAACAAAATAAAGACACTGCTTTGAAAAGTTTTTGAGACCTTGGGTTTTAATTAATATGACTCTACAAATGTAGGCACACATACTCTGGGAATTGAAAGAGTTTGAAAGACTTAGAGGTAGAATCTTCTCAATTCAGCATCACCTACTTTATTTAGTTCACATTCGGTAAGGTGGTTGGAGGTTATGAAATTTGAACTAGAGATCTCTAATCTGTGACAGCAATTAGCTAAGCCCTACATGTTAACCACTTGGCTAACCATAAACAACCAGAAATAATAACATGGTAATAATAATAATATTTATAAAATAAATAATGTCGGTAACTAAAAAATAAAATAAATATCCGAATCTAAAAATTATAGTACAATAAATATGATTTGATGTTCATAACCAGTGATTATCCCAAATTTCAAAATCATAAGTTATTTATGTATGGACATGATACAGCCATACTTTAATGTCACATTCAAAGTTGGCCCATATCAGATAAAACATAATTTATTTATCAAACACTTTTCCATTTAAATCAGCAATAACCAGTAATTATTTTATATTACCAAATATTTTTGTGTATAATTTGGTTGTAAGGGCATGGATGTCCATTAAAATAAAAAGACTTTATCAAAACAAGGATGCACGAAATCATTCTATATTTTGTGTTTTGTTAAGTTTTTCCGCCAGCTATTTTTATTAATTTAATATTAATATAACAAGGTTTCATTAATCATCACTGATCAATACCTAGACATGAATGAATACTAAAAATTCCCTTTCAAATCATATAAGAAATATACAAATCAATCACTTACGTGCTTTCCTCATTCCTGTTTTTTCACCATTGAGTGAAGTAACTGATATACTACGTCTAGTCCGAGGCAGAAATTCACTCCTATATAAATGCAAAATATTATGAAACATGTCTTATTAAAAGCAGAAACCTAAAAATAAATGATGTCTAGTGTAGATAAAGTGTAACACGTCACACAACCTGATCAATAATAAATCAAAATTCCTCGAATTTAAATATAATAAAACAGAAATCCAGGAAATCAAGGACTATCATCACGAATACATGAGATAAGAAACATTGATGTTAATATTTTTAATTTTAGTGCAAATGAAATATGTGCTTTGGATGCCAGTCGGGCCAATTTAAAACTCAATCATAAATTTTGCCGTTTATTTTTAAGAATAGAAACAAATTAGTGAAATATCCAGAGATGACTATAGGAAATGTAGTCAGTGTTTATTTGCAGTCTGTACTTTTATTGTAAAGAAATATGCAGATTTATAGTAATATATAACAACTTTCAAATAAGATATGGGTATTAAAAGGTAGTAACTCCCAAATGATTATGTATATTATTCAAACCCCCAACCTAAACAACTATCTTAACAAGGCTCACATGAATAGACAGAGCTTGAATAAAACGGCATATGATGATCAGTTTCAAAAATTCCTCAACCTATAAATAGTTACTTATTAGTAGGTTCGGACATGCAATTCAAAATCACTGTAAAATATTTTGGGCGAGTTAGGTTTTTTGTGGTTATATGATATGATATATCTAAAAATACCTCGATGGTGAAGGGCTTCTTTGTTTGAGAGCGCTTGCACTTAGGTTTCTTTTGTATCTTTGTGATGGATCTATATGCACTCTAGGCGATCTCCCTGCGGAATTTAAACTCCGATCATTTCGAATTTGCAATTTATAATAATAGAGGAAGAGTTCCTCAAAAATTGAAAATAATCACAATTAATGGAATTCATACCTGTTGCAAATTTCCGATCGAGAAGGGGACTAGATGGAGCACTTAGGGATCTTGATTTTGAAGTTACAGTTTGAGTTGTCATACTTGTACTTCTACCCTGGCTACGACCTCTGTCTGGAGATACGATGGTTGACCTTGATGTATAAGTTGGGGAGAGTGGAGGAGGAGATGTCACCCCTTCACTAAAGGGTATCACTGGCGTACCCGTTTTTGGGGATTTGACAGATCTATATGCTTTTGGCGGTAAAGGTGGCAGTGCAGTCTGTTGTTCTGATGTATGATCGTAATATTTCATATTTGGGTCCAAATTATCATAAGGTCCAGTGCTGTTTATATCCTGAAAGCAATAGAAGTATTTAGTAACAAGTAAAAAGCCGCAATCTAAATTTGTGGTGGTCATTATTTAGTAATGTATTGAGTCATACTATATGTCTGAATATTTCAATATTAGGTAAATATTTCAATGACCCAAAATATTTTAAATTGTTATAAATTACAGTTTGAACTTTGAATAATACATTTAAAATAACTTGATACTGACAGGTCTTTCGAATACAGCAAACTCTGGTCAACTAAAGTCATGGTATCATAAATTCATCATCATCGTCTCAAGATGATAGACAGATGCATATGGATTAGTTTAAAATAAAAGGGAGATTCGAACCACCATTACACATTCTACTCAGTATGACACTGCAAGATATAACTAATTAATTAATCTTTCACAGTATGACTATTTCAATAAAAAATCATAATTTTTCGAAGCTATCCTATTAACTGAAATCACCAATAGCTCTAGCTTAAGGAGTAAGCACTCGCACTTGCTTATAGCAACAGATAAAAAACAACAACACCAATGACCTAATAAAACCATCTCACAAGAACACTAGTTAATGAGCCAATGAGAATTGATAGGTTACAAATCAATCCACTGTTGTAAACTAGGAATTTATGGTTTACTGATAAGTAGGTAGACTTCCCACTGCCCTCAGGCATCCACATTGTAAGTAACCATTTGCTTCCCTGATATAATTGAATAATCCATTCGTTATCATTCGAAGTCTAGACTACAGGAAAGTGGAGCAAATTAGTAAGACCAGATCAATAAAAGTTAAGACACTAAAAAATGTTTTTTTTTTCATTTAATTTTTTTTATATATTATATTTGAGTTAAACTAGGGCAAAAATGGAACAAGCAATGAGTCAACAAAAAAAAATTATGAACAGGGTGAATCAAAAACACTAAACTATAAGCTTCTTAATCACCTCTATAAAAATGAAGAAAATATATTTATTAACACCTGGATTTATGTTTGTGTATGATTGTACCCAAAAGTTTCAGCAATCTAGAATGCACAAAATTATGTTCCATCTAGAATTTGTTCCCCATTAACTGAATTCCGTTTTTTGGGGGTCACAATGGGTCATTTTCATCATTCATACCAAAAAAAGAATTCTGACCAGCAGCTATGAATCTAAGATACTGTTGTACTATTATTACAATAAGCTTACTTCGTAGCGGTATGTTGTCAGGGTAACAGCATTGCCAGAAGGCTTTATCGAAGGTGAAGAGCTAGATTCTACAGAAGATGATTTGAATCTGAAATACATTCAAATCGACTATTTAATAATAAGAAGTTCAGAAAAAGTTTGCTAATAAAGCAAAAAACAAAGTTATAAATATTATTATCTAGTTGTCTTTCTACAGAAAACCTAGATGCTAAATTTCTACAATTATATAGTGTAATCCAATACCTGTCTATATTTTCATGATTGTTTGTCTTCAATTTGCTACTGCTAGAAAACCTTGCAATTCTTGAACTTACAAGTCCACTTGGTACCTAAATTTCAAGAGAATGATTTGAGGTATCGCTCTCAAAGAAAATGAGAGAACTTGATATTTGCAGAAGCAAAATGAATAAAAATCAATTTGCACCTAGGTGTGACGTTAAGTAGATACATACATAGATTGACCTGCAATGACTTTGATTTAAATTTAAACTTGTTTTATTGCTCGGTACGTAACAACAAGGAATAAAACAATCATACATGTATACAACTACCCTAGGGACTACTAAATGATCTTATTCTATTTAAAACCTTTAATTCTGTCAATACGATGTACAACCATCATTGAAGGGCTGATGAAATTGCAATTACGGTATGTGACTAAAGATGGTGCATTTCAAATGAAGTGGGTACCTATGAGATGGATAAGGACCAAATATATCAAGTCGAATGTGTCATTATCAATATCATATTACTATGTAGTGAAGTGTCAATAAAGGTTTTAAAACCTCACTTATTCAATATAAGTTTTTATTAAGCATCCATGAAATGCGAATAGGGTGGGGTTGGAACAAGCATTTTTACCCTGCAATGCCAACAAAAAAGGTCTAACAATATAACTCACCAGGTTAACGAAAAATCACAAAAATTTTGTTACTACAATCAAGCTAATGTTGAAAATAAAGCAATTACCATAACTGAATCTTCTTCTTGATTCTCGAAGATTCTATGATCACCGTTGTTATTGTTGATGTTCGATTCAATATGATTGTCGGGTTGAAAAGCAGCTTTTGTATTTGGTTTAGGAGCAGCAGATAATGATGAATAAGTTAAAGATAATGGCGGTGAAGCAGCTTTTATATATGATGAAGGACTAGTCTGTGATGGATATGCAAAATACGGAGGCGAAGATTTGGGTAAAAACTTAGGTTTGGGTAAATGTTCGTGTGTTGGACTAGTAAAAGGTTTAACTGGAGAAAGTTCATTTCCGTGATTATTAGCATATTGAAATGTTTTAGGTTGAATATCAGGACTTAACAGCACTCTACATCCGCCACTGTGATTCACAGTAACAGGTTTTAATTTTGAAGTTGTTTTAGCGGGAAGCGCTGGTGGAACGCTACTGAAATGTCCTTGATTTTCAGAATAACTTCGAAATTTCCTTGGTGATTGGAGAAATGCTTGTTGAAGATTTCCATTCTGATATGGAGGAGACGCTGCCTTAAAACTCATTGGTTCTGTTGTCTCGTGACCATTAACAAGCTCAAGGCCTAATTTACGATCAGCCTCAACTGCTGAATTTAAACTGATAGGACTTGGTGGTGAATTGTCATCAAGTTGATTCGATTGTCTTTCATGCTCGCTGAGTACATTTGATGTATGCAAGATCTCGCTCAGTCTGTCTTGTGGTCCATCTATATCTAAAACAATATAATATTAGATTTTAGCTTTCGATAGTAAAAATGCTATAAATTAATAATGATTATTTGACCTCGGTAACAAGATATGGTATGGAATGTATACAGCACGAGGTTACAGTATAATCAATTCAGAAATACGCAAATAATTGCATTCAGTTCAGAGAGAAAATGAAGTAAATAGGCACAAAACTATACTAAAATATGACAAATCCCTTCTTAAAACAGACACACAAGAATTTAGTTGCTTGAGAAGAATGTATGGCTCACCAACCTACATTCACTAGTTTGGAATCAAATATAATTGTGCGAAACCTGTATATGATGCCATTCACCTCAATTACCTTGAAATAAATTTTCCATAATTGTTGTTGCTTCTAGGTTAGCCATTGTTTAGGTAAAAAATTGAGTTTCTGAATGATTTAATTCTTATCTGCAATTTCATACCTTGTTCGTGGCTTTGTGGTGCAGGTAGTTGGGATGAAGTCAACACTGGATCAAATAAAATTTCAGATTCCGATGATTTTGCAAACTCTGGTTTAGTTGGACTCAAGTTATCATAGACTGAACCAGTGGGACTGAATGGACACAGAGATTTCCTGAAAAAAATAAACAAATTTATAACAAAGGGCAGAAAAAAGTTCAAGACCATTTTTCCTTTTCACCCTGACCAGAAGGTCAGGCATCAAAATATACAAATACATGTAGATTTATTGGACAATTGGGCATAGTTAGGGTTGTACTGATGCCGTAGCAATGTAGTACAGTAGAAGTGTAAACACTTAACGGTACGACCCGAACTATGCCCGAATACTGAGGATAACAAAAAAGGGCCAAAAAGTTCAGGTTCAGACATTCAATTCAACTGACTGAAGGGCAAGAATCAGTCACAAAATATCAGTAAATTTAACCCTGCCCAATTGCTGAATTATGCTTTCAAGTAAAGAAGTATGAAATGAACTGTTGAAATCGTACCTACAGATACACTGATATACTTCAGTACTTACAAACTTACTATACTGCTAAAGCTGGTACTATCAACTACTCTACAGACTCTACTTCTAAACACATCTTGCCTGTCTTGACAAGTTATAAAGATAACTATGACATCATAAAATTCAATAAATCATATGTCTGTATGTAAAAAAGATTCTTCCCCATATAAAACCTATATAATCTGCAAAAGCAGTACGACGATAACTTCAGAACTTTACTAATTTTACGTTTTTTTAGCAAACACCAATCTATACAAGCTCTAGCTTCTGGTAAATTTAAGCGTTAAGATCTCGATACGAGTGTTTGGAATGCGAATTCTAAAGAAATTTATTCACTTTTTTGTATTCATTTCCTGTCTAAGTTCCACCGTGCGTGACCAAAATGTCTTATTTTTGGTACGGCAAAATCCGCGGCGACAACACAGGAAATCACTTTTTAGCAATTTGTTGTTCAGACCTAGCCCTGCTTTCACGCTTCCGAAAATATGGCAGCGCTATCACAGTTCGCTTACATCAGTGTTGTCCAATTTCTGAGTAGCAATTAGTCTTGGGCACATGACCTACGTTATTGTGAGCATAATTATGAACTCACAAAATAAATAACCCATCATAAATACGCCGATATCCGGACTATTTCACTATATGGACTATTTCCACGGCGATCTCAAAAACAAAAGTGAAACTGAGAAAATCCTACAAGCTTCCTATACCCTTTAACCTTTTTCGGGGCGATCTTAAAAACAGAAGTAAAACTGAGAAAATCCTACAAGCTTCCTATACCCTTTAACCCTTTTCGGGGCGATCTCAAAAACAGAAGTAAAACTGAGAAAATCCTACAAGCTTCCTATACCCTTTAACCTTTTTCGGGGCGATCTCAAAAACAGAAGTAAAACTGAGAAAATCCTACAAGCTTCCTGTACCCTTTAAACTTTTTCGGGGCGATCTTAAAAACAGAAGCAAAACTGGGAAATTTCTACAAAATTCCTATACCCTTCTACAGTCAACAGGCAGATTGTGACTATCCGTAAATTTCTGATATTGTATATCACTCGATATCTTTCACAGAGATATGGGCCCGAAATCTATTTCTACCAAAGCCGTTTCGGATTGTGTGTATATTTAAAGGCCCCGTGGTCCGTGGACAACAAATAAAAGTCTGAAGTTTCCTCTAAATCTAAAAGTTTTAACTGCAGGTAAATCGCTCTTGAGTCTATTAAATTTCAATTTGGCTAGCTGTATTAATGAATACCGACAAAGCCCCAAAAAAGTCCTACTGCGAATTTTCAACCAGCAATATCTAAGCGACCACAATTAAAATTCGTAATTAAACATTCAAGAATGATAAATTAACTTTCATTCCTCAGTAAACGCATACAACTACAACATACTGTAAGTTGTCGCCGTGGGATAATATATAATCTACGCAAACACGAGCCATTTAATTGAAATAAAAACATTTTAATAAAAATATCGCAGATGACAGTTGTTTCTGACAAATGTGAGATTCTCGACTAGGATTATCTGCTAATGTCTTAACAACTTAACTGCAACACGCAGCGACCCAAACCGCGTCTATCTGTATTTTGTCAAGGAATGTTGCCCAAAGGCTACGTTCCCCACTGTCGAGAAAGGAATGGTCTGTTTCGTAAACTGCAAATCATTCAACCCACGCAAGCACAAATAGTCGTTCGGTGATTAATCTGTCTTTGATCGGTCTCGCGAGACCTTTGCGCAGTAAAGTATCTGGGCTTACGAGGTTTCCATTAATCAGAACGAGACCATGGTTGGGTCGTTTTAATTGATTCTGATTTAGACCAAATTTGATAGCCATAACATACACAAAGTCCCTTGGACAATGTTGAACTTTCGGTTATTTCCACGATTGATTGCCAGGGTCATATTGACTACTGATAAAAAGTTATAGAAGGCTGGTATAGAATATGAGTAGTAGCTCATTGTCCAATTATAGAGACTGCAGTTCTCGTAACCTAGTGAACAAGAAACCTCGTAGAAATGGGTCAACGATAAACAATTGATTGATTTAATTTTATTCTCGACGATGCGAAACCACTGAATACGCAGCTCAGAATGTAATTAATTACCGATCTAAGCTATTCATTTTGCGTTAACTGGTATCCACAGAGATAAAAATAGTAAATTTATAGGCCATTGACATAAACTGAATAACTAAAATATGATAAATAAGAATAAAAATAAGGTAAAAGAATTATGCAAATCTACTGGAAGTTGTTGTTCGGCACGTAAAATACTGACTAAAAATAAGTTGATAATTATGCAAATCTACTGGAATTTGTTGTTCAGCACGTAAAATACTATTTCAGTCTATAGATTTCTTTGTGAATAATCACATTTGCAACTATACTAGTTATTAATAATTCTAATACTGTGCGCACTTACTCGCGATAATCAGATGCAGTTGGTGGTTTAGTCAACGTTGTCTTGTCATCTTTTACATCATTGTCGCTAGATAACACACCTGTACATTTGTAATTTCGCGCCTCCAGCGTAATTGCTTCACTAACTTGATCAAGTGATGCAATGATGTCATCCCAACATTCATTTTCAAAATCGGCGGTCATGCATTCTCGTTGGGAATCTTTAGAAATGTCTTTACCTATACAAATTGGAGATGTTGCCAGCATCATAGTTTTCAGCTCAGTTTCCAGAGTTTTTCAGTTCACATAACATGAATATTCCCGTTAAAATAGTTGTAAATATTATCGTACTATGTTTACACTTAACCTCTTTAACATAAAAAAAATTCCTGAAAAAAAGATTCTAAACTAAATGAAATCTATAGGATTTTATTATCAGAGTGCATAATTTCAATTCATCGCTTTAACGATTAAAATTAGGTGCAAAATAGCATTCTGTAATTACGTGTAGACTTGAATTGAATAAACGTCCGCATATATTCTCGTAGATTAGGGATTCGAAAGAAAAAAATATACAGGTGCAACATTTCAGGAAGACTTTTACTTTTACGTAAAGAAGAGATTCTTATTAGACATAAGGGCAACTTATATCAGTTTTGCACTCTCATGTTAACAAGACATCGCACTATTTCATGTTATCCTGAAATCCAAGCTACAGCACGAAATCAATCAGTGTATGAAATAAAACTGAGAATGTGACTAAATTCTCAAGCTACCAACAACACTCGTCTACGTAGGGTAAGCAGACCGTGAAACACAGGTAACCCCATCATGTCCCTAACCAAATTTTTTTTTTAGAAAGATGCCTTTTGTCGTTATTTGAGACTTCAGTTACGTTGATTTGATCAGACCGGAAAGAAATAAATCCCGCACATGTGGGAGTCACAGGAAAACCTCCACCAATTATTATTTTCCTGGTATAGTATTGAAAATCAAATCTAATAGTTCGTTATACAACATACGCTTCGTTAGACGTAGCTACTAGCTACCAACTATATTCGATAAAAAAAATTAGAATAGCTGGCACCTTCAGTAGCAATTAAATTAGATGAAAATTTCATTATTGCTACAACGAAATTTACGCCTTAAATTGGTATTATTAATCATTTGCCGCAAATCCTATCTACTCGGCGCAAAATATTCATGTCTTAAGCAAATTGCAGTTCATCGACGAGAGAGTCTGTGCCATCTATTCTATGGCTTATCTTTCACAACACAACCTGGAAATAAAATAAAGCTCTTCACGCCTACCTGACACAAGTTTAGTTTACATTATCGCGTAAATGGGAAACGGCCTTTTGCACCGCGAAACAAAGAAAACGTTGTGTTGTCCGGCAACCGTTTAAATCTTTTATTATATTTTATAATTTCAGACATACATCAACTTATTCATCCGTATATCATACTTGGACAAGTACAGCAATCGCGGTCGGGTCCTGGTCAAGTAGATAACTTAGTCAAAGACTGGTTTTGTTTTTACGGTAACAGTGTCAAGATTTTAATCGCTTTATTTTGTTTCGGTTGACTAGTCAATCTATCTAGTGATCAAATAACGATTGTCATACTTTGTTTTGTATTTATTTTTTCAACGATTTAAAAACAACTATTGGACAAATTACACATGTACGGCCAGAATGTCGAACTTCGTATTCATAAAATTTGTCGTTTAGATTAGCGAATGAAAATTGTTTGAGGAATATCTCTCGAAACCAGTTATTGGAATAAACAATAAAAATACAGGTAATTCGAATAGTTCGAAAACTTTGGTTTGGAGACCAGCCTTCCGGTATCATCACCAAAATGCATACTCTTTTCAAGACGTCTACACAAATGAAGGACACTGAAACAAATGGGACGTTTGATTGATTGCATGCTCTGCAACAGGCGCCTGACTTATGATTCCTATTGTCCAAGACTTTTTCCAACGAAAGCGATCCGTCACTTCCTTTGGGAATAGTCCGGCCATATCGAGTATCGAACTCGCGGCGAATAATTTACGACTCTATATCGAATAACTTTATTTAAATTTGCTGAGCGTCGCGAACTTTAACTTTCGAGAAATATTGGAACACATAAAAAAACCGGAGTATGTGTACCATGTTAGGGTTAGGCCATAATTTTGTTCCGATTTCCTTATTTTAGTCTATCACGAGGACTGTCTGTGTTAGTCAAGTGAATATACCCCCTGCCCATAGGTTTCAGACCTTTTACACAACTCGATGTAAATACGCGAGAAAAATTAGTTACCTCCATATTGGTACAAATACCTTTGGAGCGCCAAAGAACTAATATAATGTACAGAACGAACTACAATGTAATCCATACTTCGATGTTATGCCTGAAAACTGCCTTTAATAAGAGTCGTACTTCATATGTCCATGACTGCGTCAAAATTATCATAAATATTTCTTTTAAGTTTTAAAAAATATTCTTTTTTATTTCGTACTGGTCTCGCAGCCTGTCAAAGTAGACCGCTACTCTACCTCTAGGAAGGTTCTCAGCGCTGCTGTGTTGATCCCTGCCTTACTGTAATATAAACATCTTCTTCGACTGTTTACTTCTTTCCATTTTCTCATCCTATCATCGTTCATAGAGCAGGCTGAAGTGTTTTGCTCGGCTAATTACGTGTTTCAAAGATAATTATCTCTCAACGAGTCGATTATGCTGGACGGGTCGAACGAAATAATGCATCAAACGAAAATTAGTTGGTAATCCGTACCGGAAAATTATTATTATCATGTTTAGCTGACCCCCTTTGAACGTAGCGGATTAGGACCAAATTATAGAAGCGAACGAAGTAAATTTCGGTTAAATATCATTCGGTTCGTATAGTCCGACTGGAAAAAATATTAATTCGCTTCCTCTCCTTCAAATATAATTTTTATTATTTCACACTTTATAGCAAACTTTATAAGAAAAAAAATTTCCAGCAAACTGGCAAATGTGTATTAGATGGTAAACAAATACTATGTTGCGATTATGAAATTAGAATGAGTTAGAACTAACTCTGCGATACAAACCTTTTATAAGGTGAGTAGTGATACAGCATTTTCTACAGATTCGCGGATCTGACACTTCAAGAAAAAAAAATGGAACTATACATACAATCAATCAAAAATAAGGAGTTTTTCACACTTCAACCTATGACTGTAAAAAGGTTGTCCCAGAGGATATGAGGAGAACCGGATAACACATTTTATCAGAAACACTGGCCTTATGTCGACTTTTACACAAACTGTTACGGTGTGTTGATGCACCCCACAAGAACAACTGGTAACCGAAGATCGGTCGTTCAAGGGCAAATATGCGTGACACAGTTATCGTTGTAAAACAAGGCTAAATAGAAATGCGTAGCCGTAAAACCTTCTTCTCTGTTATTTTTCTCCTTGGTGAATACTTATCATCAGCAAAATTCCGATTGCATTTTCGTTACATTTGCTTTTTCATTTCTAATTTTTACATAACCTCCTTTGTATTTAAATTCCATAATCGCTACTCGCACTAGCCCTACGCTTAACGAAACGTTCCACCATTGTACTGTTGTTGTACAGTATTTCAGTACAACACACAATTGTCATTTCAATACTAATGTCTTTAGCAGCGGGAATGAGGCCAGAAAATATCGGCACTTCGAACTATCCGAAAAACACTAGATATGACGTGACGTACATACCATATATGCAAGTTTATGATTGTACTCATTTCATACAATATATTTGAAAACAATCTTGTTTTACTCAAGTATGGTCATGGCCGAATTTATGAGTTCAGCCATTTATCATATAAAAAAAGCATTGCACACTAGTCGTTGCATTCAGTCATTCATGATCGGCAAATAGTATTATTTGTGCCCATCCTTGAACCTGAGATTTTTCAAAAATATGTAGTCTAATCGATCACTGTCTGGTTAAATTAGACACAAAATTGTTTGCGCTCCGCATGCCACCCGTGCATAATTACTCTTTTTGCTGAGCACTTGGCCATTCTGTTATGTCAGTTCCCATTTTTTACGCTAGACGTGTGGTCTGAATATAGACCATTACGTAAAGACGAATTGAGATAACACTGAAAAGTTTTCCCCTGTGATAAGCTTGTGTTTATAAGAGAAGGCGGCGACGCGAATCCGTGCGTTGAATGAATGAATGAAATTGTTGTACTTGTGAATGGCGGCTACAAATGGGAAGCAAAACATTGCGGACTTTGACACCCTACAAATATAACAATTTCAACCGTAACCTGATAAAAGGCATTTTTCTGACGCAAAAACGGCAGATAAGGCAAATTTACGACTGAAGAACGGAGAATGAAATTCTAAGAAGTAATGGTTTACAACCTTACTATTTTTGGGCTGTGGAATTAAAATGAAATCAGTGAAAATATATCGGTGCACAAAAACGCGCCAATTATAAGCACCACAAATTATCGGTAACCTAATATGATATCATAAAATTCCAGTGTTTGTTGAGTTATCTCCGGACTAACTGTGGCAATATCATAACAAGTACAGAAAAATATATGAATAATTAATTGTCCATGACGTCAATTTTCACACATCAAGAAGTCTTTGAACCGAACGTATAGATGCCCTGAGTTAACCGGGTGAATTGGCCCACGTGCAGGGGTGTGCACTAAGAGTTTGTCATTACTTACTGATACAGTATTGAAATCGCAACTATAGTCGTATACTGAATTCCTCGATCATTCCTGAAATTCCCTTAGTCGGATTTAAGAATGTAGTGAAGTCGAAAGGAAATGTGATAGTATTCGATACTTGGAATACTTTCAAACGCCACAGTTCTCGAAATCAAACCTTCGTAAATTCGTAATTGAAGTCGGGCGGAACTCAACACTCTCTGAGGGAATATACACATATTGTAATAACATTACAAGTCTAATTGATTTAGCTTATTGTTTCCGTTGTATAAATGCATTTCACGACATGCCCTTTCATTAACATATTGGCCACAGGATAAGTTCAATTTGTATAGTTGAATGATATGTGTAATTTTATATCTGGGGCCATACAAAAGATATGCCCAGGGCATGGCAGTTCAATAGGTCTTCAAAATCAAGTCAGAGAGCCTCCGTGTCGCGACTGCTTTCCGACAGAAGCAAGCTGGTGGCCGAACTTAAAATGTCCGGTCAAGAAAAGTCATTCTTCCACTGGAATAAACATAACAGTATGGTGGCCCATCGTTGTCACTCGAAAAATTGAAAAAAAAAATTAAAAAATGAAATAAAAAAATGAAAATAAAACTGAAATAAAAAAATAGTTGTGAAAAAACATAAAAAAAATTAAAAACGAATATGAAAAAAAAATGAAAAAGCAAAAAAAAAATTGAAAACGAAAAAAAAATAAAAACAGAATAAAAAAAAAGCAAAAAAAAAAAATATTGGGCAATAATCGATAAGAAAATTCAATTCAATATGAAAATGTTCTATAAATACTCCCTTTACAGGTTCAACCAGAAGTAATATGTTTATATTAATTATAAGAGAATATAGAATTGAATACGAAAAGTCGGGAAATTTGTTAATTTAATCGTGTTTTTTTTTAATTTGTTTTTTGATTTTTATTGTTTTCTATTCTGTTTTTATTTTATTCTCGTTTTTTTTTGCAAAATTATTTTAATTTTACGCGTGACAACGATGGGCCACCATACAACAGCGAACACAAAATGCAACGACATCACTATCCGTATTCGGAATCATGGATTCAAACGAACTTGCTGTTGAATTGAAATTGACCTAATTGTTTTTAACCATTGAAAAATTTATAAAAAAAAAAACTTTACAATATTGCAATGCACCAGTTAGGTATGTTCGTTTCATACATTTGTAAGATATCAGGTAAATATTCTATGGCGTAACGAATGAATCTATACATGGAGTTGGATGTCGTTTTATAAAATGCGACTGGTATTGTGAATTTATCTGATCACTTTAAGCCTCAAAATATGGCCGTTACCTCTGCCATGTTCACACTACATACCGTGTTTTCCCGAAAATACGACTGGGTCTTATTACAATTTTCCGCCGGAAAATAACACTAGGGCTTATTTTCGCGGGATGTTTTATATTTTCATTTATCTAAAACAATATTCCAAAGTAAAGAATTACAAGATTTTCCAATATACAAACTATGAAAACCGATATCCATTTACTTATATATAAATAACACGTTTTTATTCAAATTAACTGCAAAACATAGATTATCAATCATTTGAACGTGTAGGAGAGATTTCTTGCTATCAACTAGATATAAAAAAAAAATTCGCGTTATTGACTAGGACTAGGTCTTATTTTGAGGGCTTATATAAGAAATCATTTTTAAAAATCAGGCTAGGTCTCATTTTTAGGGTAGGTCTTATTTTCGGGGAAACACGGTAAATACCCACACACCAGCACACTTTATAAAATTTTAATTCGAGTTTTCCTATATAACCTAACGTTACTTTTTCCTGGACTAATGCACTGACACTAGAAGAACAGCATATATTTTATCGTTTCTCGCTGCATTAGTTTCAAAAAATATTCGCTGATTTAGCCTAGCTAGATGTGTATTCTAATAAAACCAGCATGTGTGCGATGGAATTTATTTTGATTCTCAGAATCAAGCCTGAATATCCTAAAAGGCAGCTGCTGATAAAAGACAGATATCAAAGACTGTAGGCGACCATTGTTTCGGCTGCAGAGTATTGAATTAATTCTCTTGTGAATTACATTGGTTTTAATCTAACTGGTTTTGTTTAATTTAATATTTCAGTTGAATACACATAAACTATATATCCAATATTGCGATAAACTCGATTTATCTAACAGCCGTGTTTAATCAAACATACGCTGTAATTGCATTCCTGTGGACAGAAAGCTGCGATATATTGCCATGGTATGCTGTTGCCAGAAAAATCAATTGGCTTTTTTACGGAGACGACCAAGCACTATAAGTCTATAAATGTTCATATTCGAATGTATACAAATAAATGAATATTTCTTCGTAACCGTGTACCGATTTGCAGATTCCCTCCATCCGTGATTTCGTAGGAAAATTTCAGTAATAGCCAATAGCGTAGCCAGCCCCTAAACTTTTCTTTGGGTAATGACGTAATACGGCGCTTACTCGCGCCGTTTGCTTCGATCGAAGAAACTGATATCTAACAATATATATATTAATGAATCTCTTACCTACTTCTTTGCCGAATTTATCCAAAATAAGCGCGCAATTTCATTTAATGTTGTTCATCTAAAAAAAAATGTTGGAAATTTTGGCGACACACACTGCTGCCAGGAACAGTTCGATTGAAATATTATTTATAAAACTGAAGTTCATTTTTGTATTCTAGAATTTGCTCATAACAAGATCACGCGCATCCACGTTAATGTCCGCTAAAATATCGCCTTGTCCGGAGCGAAAGGCGTCAAACAGCGTCGTGAAAAAAAAGTAAATACTTAAGGATAACACCTATCGTGGAAGTGAATTCCGACTTAACTTATTCGAATAAAACTCGTAGCATAAGATTTTACACATCCACGCCAGAGGATAGACAAATGAGAGAGCTAACATCGAACCGAGTGTAACTGATAGGAACGTTTCTTATGAGGGACCAATTTCTAAATTCGGAAGAACGCAGCCTGATATAAAATGTTTACACAGCGAGGCAACATATTTCGTTCTGCTGATCCAGTTAAAATTCTAGGCATTCGTAGTGCTCGTCGGATGACGAAAAGGAAAAATCACATCGATAGAAGGAAAGTGCGAACTTGCCAACGCTGGATTCTGAATAAAAAAACAACAAACTAGCTTTGTGTTATTTACGAAGGGTTTATTATAATTATTATGAAATGGTGAATAAGGGCGTAAATGCTTTTTAAAGAAATTTTTGACAATAAAGAACCTCAATTAGAAGAATAAGATAAAATAAAAAGTACTCTATGCAAAACAATTACAACATTTTATCCAGACAAAGGACGAATCGAGCATTGCAAGATGAACGTTACTAAGTCCATACTTGGTAATATGATACTCTCATAATAACAATAAAAATGCAGTTACAAAACATGATTAGTCGTGTGGGTTATCTAAGAAAAATCCATAGAAGACCACTGTCAAAATACTCGAGAGCGAGGGACTATATTTCCGACGAACATTTTGTAGGCTTTGCCAATTCCAATAACCAAGTTTAGGTGCTCCAGAAGTATGCGCACCAAGATGTCGTACAACGTGAATCCTAACCGGTACACACATACTATGTTCAGGTTATGCGCCATCTTGGTGCGCATACTTCTGGAGCTCCCAAGTTTATTTACATATTGGTTGCAACTTGCAACCAACACTTTTTGGAGCGTCCAAGAAAAAAATGCCAAATCAGTGGGCAAAAGCAATCAGTTTGGGTTATTCCGAAGATGCCAATGGTTAATTACTATTATTGAATATAATTATGTGGCAAATTTTGAATAAAAATTCGTCTATATTATTTAACTATTCTTGAAAAAACTCGTACGAGTATTGAGATCCAGACACCAAAGCGAAAAATTTAAGTTGTCCGAAATTAAATAAATCCATAAACACGTTTGGCGTCTTCTCCAGACTGGGCTTAGGAAACGGTCGAAGTACTTTTGTTACTGATCTCCATAGCTCTTTTGTATCTTTAATCACAACTTCACCTGTTTTCAACAATTAATAAGACCCGCTAGATCATGCAGAAATCAAAACTACATATATAATACATTACCAAACACTGACAACAACCTTAAAGAATATTTTTGTAAAAAAAAGTGTACCGTATATAGTCGGCGCGTATTAAAAACATCAAAATATAGCACTTTTGTTAGTTAATGTATTAATATTATACAAAACCTACACGAAACAAACGAAAAGTAATATGATAATAGAGAGAACGAAATAATAATATATATTATATTATGCATAACAAAATAAAAAGTTACTGCAAAATCAAATACTTGATATTATCTCAAAACTTCTATTCTCGAAATGCTTTATTTATAAATACCAGCTCAGAGCATGTTTTACAATACATATTAAATGGCATTTTTTAAGTGATAAAATGTTCAATATGAGCCGAATTCAAGTGGAAACAGGGATTTTCTAAATGTGGTTAAATCGAATCTCAAGTTAACAGGGAAGTCCACAAATAGGTGTGATTCATCTATGGTATCCAAATGGAAAAGTCAAAATTTTACATAAGACGACGTCCAATTAGGAAGGTCAATGTGATATAAAACTCGTAGTGTTTATGAATTAGCTTTAGAAAATATACCATAGACATAGACGGATGAACTCAACAATGGATAATATATATTGATAAGCGAGGTAGAGAAACAAAACACTAAGAAGTTTATCATTATTGAAATAAAGTAGCACAAATTTATTAATAAAAGTTCGCCCAAATGCCACAAGGTAACTCTGGCACTGATAAAAGATGCAAATTGTCTTCACTTCCAGAGTGAATCACTATTGGTGAATTGTGATAGGTCTCGTACTCGTAAAATATCAAATTTTGTAACAACTTAAAGTTTATCAGACGTTCTTTTATGCAACATTCCACAGAAGATAAAAAAAACATGTAATCCAATTTAGAAGTGGGGTATAAAATCACCAATACTGAAATCCAAATTGTTGTAAAACAGCTTAAAAATTTAGGGTTAATCTTGATAGGTGTAGATTAATGTAAAATAAACTGAATAATAGACAATGATAGGCAGTGAAGGACCAAACGTAAACACTATGAGCGATTAACTCAGAAGCTAAGTTCAGCAGATACATAACTGAACGTTTAAAACAAACAAAAACATAAAAAGGCACCTGAAGGACAGCTTACTATATTTAATTTTTTATGTAACATTACTGTATGAACTGGTTTGGAGGTTGAGGAAGTCACTCAAGTCATCTAAATGAATGGACTCAAGGTCATACTCATCTGTCAGTGAGACAAACTTAGCTCTATTATCAATTTGACTCACTACATGGGGTTTAGGGTATACCCAGAATATACAGTCAAATCATTTCACACGCTTTAAACAAATATTTTTAAAAATTTCTTTCTTTTTTTATCGCAACAAAGTTTAGTCAAAATTGAAAATTACAGACATTCAATTGTCCAAAAATGATATAACCTTATTAAGATTCCAGTATTTACAGCCCAACGAACTAATCAGCTATTGAACAATATCAGATATGGTTTATATAGTATAGCACCATAAATTTGATTGTTATGAGCTGAACAATAATAAAATTTTTGTTGATTGTTATAAAATTTGACAAATAAAATTTTAAATTGGTCAATGGATTAAAATCACAATTATAATAGTTGGTCCGAAAAAAAGTATAAAAATCACAATTTAGATGTTTATATGAAGTAATGTTTCCTTGTGGCCCCTTTCCTGACAAACGGGCAACAGGAGTGCAGTATTCAGAAATTGTAGAAGTTTGTTACATTAATCAAATATGAAGTGGGATTCATAAATACTTCGGCAGAAGGTTAGAGTATTCATACAATTGGGATGAGCATATAAGTCCAAATAAATTGAGTACGAGTTTTAGAATTTGCAAGTGATTTTCGCAACACGACCCCCCGAATAAATTGGATAAAATTTGGGTGTAGTGATTTGAATAGCATTAGAATTTTTCTATGCAATCATTGGGTTGATATATTTGTAAAAAAACCTTTTACCTTTAACATTAAACCTTTTATGATTAAAAAATTAAACTAAAAACACAATTGGGAATTTTAAAACATGCTTCGAGTGCATTATTAAAACCTGTATTTAAATGTATTTAAAAATACAAAACATTAAAACTATGAAGGAATCAAAAAAAAAAACTTTCATGATACTTATCCTTTTGTTCTTTATAATATAAAACCATTTTACAGTTAAAATCCATACTTATATTATTTGTGTGCATTAGAAAATTCAATGCCACACTTTCATCGACTTATCATGCAATAATGGAACTACTTTACCTTCAAGATAAGTCTAGCCAAAAATGGCTTATGCATATGGCAAAATTGAATTAAGTGAGATGTTACATTACCATTCTGTACCATTGCTACGATATGTACCATATTATCATTGTACAAAACGTTGATATCTAAAATAGAGTTGGCTATACAGCGATATAAAAATGATTGTATATAGTAATTCGTAAAATAAAAAAAAACATGCAGGAATTATTAGAAGATGGTTCATAAAGCCTGTTGCGAAACAGGTTGTGAGTCATGTTAGAATTACAAATTATTATTATTATATTTAGCATAAAATATGCAATGTGTGAAGAAATAGAGAAATGAAAAAAAAAAATAGTAAACAAAGTTATAGTATATGGATAGATATCTACTACGCTTGTAGCTGGTAAAAACGACCGGTGATATCAGAAATGGAGCGTTACCATAAGATGGAAGACTGAATTTCTCAACATTACAGAATTCATTTTGTACCGCTTTCAGATTATATGTATTAACCAGAATTCTATCGGCAATGATGTCCAACGAAAAAGTGTACAGAAGATTTTGAAATATGAGCATAACATGGGATGCGAAACTTTTCCGATGAAGTTAACAAAATTGGACATCAACTAAAATTCACAGGGCAAAGTCATGTGTCAAAGCTGTATAATGCATTAACAGACACAAATTGCCTATCAGAAACACAAAGCGTTTTTCTTTAAAAGCTCCAATGAACAAGCATGAAAAACTATTCAAAACGTAGAGATTAAAAGAAACCTTGAATTTTTCTGAAAGACTGAAAAAAGATTAATCAAGCCAAGCGGCAGGGACCCATTGTGGCTCTGTGTCGAGTTTATTAATATGTCTAAGGAGTTCAGCGTAGGATCGACTAAGATCTGTATTACGTATTGTCTCGTCAAAATAGTGAGCGTATTTTGTTTCGATAACTCTAGCATTTTCGATAATATTTCTTAATTCATCTTCTTTGATTTGTTTTCCCTCTTTCGAAACATTCTGACGTAGACGTTCGAGCGTTGGAGGAGCAATGAATATAATATAAGGCATCAAAGATGTTTTCTTCAATAATTTCAATGACTAAAAAAAGATTGATGAGAATAAATTTAAATTAGTCAAGCTTTTTATATCACAGAGAACCTAAATTGATAAAATGGCTCGAACCTTTTTCAAATTACGAGATGGAATACCATAGTTATGGAAATAGTATATTTTTGAAATGCCCTATATTTCAAAATTTAGCTCTGCGTCCATAATATATCCATACTCCATGATGAGATTGACTCATAAGCAAAATTATCATAACTTTGCTTCATAGTTTGGTATTGAAATACCCTGAAAATACCTTGGAAGGAATCAAAGTGAGTAACGGTTTAAGTATAAAGTAAGACTTTTGGTCAATTATATTATTTTGATCTGAATTTTTCAAAGACAGTTGAAACGAATATGAGAATTTATGAATTAAAAGTTAAAACCGTCACAAAATGCGCATTAATGTTGATGATGTCATCGCACACAAAAAAACTTGTTTTATTATTAATAGCATGTTTAATCTTTATTATGTACACATTGAGATATTTATTATTATTTATATACACATTTAATATTTGGGTATTTTGGAATGCGTAAGAATGAATTAAAATATTTACCATTGTTTCTTATGGCAAAAAAAGTTTCGGTAATCGAACAAATCAGTAGTCAAACACTAATCCTGAGCGAATTAGGTTTGACTATTGAGGTATCACTGTACTTTGGTTATATACACTTGTTCATGTACATTTATATTCAATTATACAAAAGTTACAGTATTCCCATAGTGTGTACCAGGTTAGGGTTAGGCCATAATTCTATTCCGATTTTCCTTATTTCAGTTCTATTTCGAGTTCAGGGACTGTCTGTGTTAGCCAAGTGAATATACCCCCTGTCCATACGCTTCAGTCCCTTTACACAACTTGATGTGAAGTAGGCAAACAAAATTAGTTACCTCCATATTGGTACGCACACTTCTGGAGCGGCAAAGTTGCATGTGTATATGGGAAAGAATCTCACAAAGACTACAACAACAAGATGTTATATTTTAAAGCGAATCTTCCTACCTCTGCATGCAAATTGATGACACAAATTTTTCCTGAATCGATGACTTTGCGAACTGCACCGATAGTTGTGCCATATAAATCTTTCTGAAATGATCCATGCTCAAGAAATTCATTGTCTGAAATCATTGTTTCAAAATCCTTCATTGAAATGAAATGATAATCTTGTCCATCTACTTCATTGTCCTTTCTTGGCCGAGTTGTATCTAAGAGATAAAATATTTTGAATAAGGTGATTTGGTTAGTAATAGGTCAAAGCACCACAGCAGGTCAGTTATATATGACAAGAAGAAAGGGCTTTGAAGGTCTATTGCAGCCAGGGATGGTCACAACCAAATATTTTACTATTTCGAATACATTCTGAAAAAAGAATTTTGTATATGAAATATGGAATACATTCTAAATTAGGGAAAGTTTATGTGGAAATTTACATATGCCATCAAAATACATCTTCATGTTGATCACATCTTATAATGCACAAATATAAGAGGTCATTGTTGTATGATACCAGTTGAGATATCGTATGTCTCGATAAACTCCCTATTTTTCAAATAATAATGTCTTACCGGTAAATCAATCCTAAATTCAAAATTTTCGTATATCAAATATTATAAATTTTGAATGTATTGAAATATTCGATTCGTTTCGGACATCCCTGATTACAGCATAGCCTGCTACACTACCAGGAATATGGGACCGGAAGTCCGGAACACGTTTTCACAGGTGTGGGAGTTGTATTTTCAAACTGCTGGAAGTAGGTCGAAATTCTGAATTTCCCCTCAACTCAAGCAATATGATTACTAAGAATTCTCAACAGTCTATCAAAGAACACTTGCATTCGCAAAACTTTTTCTCATCAAAATTTTCAGAACTGGGGTAAATTTTTTACACTCGGGGAACAAAATATAAAATTTTTTTTAAACCCCGTTTCAGAGTCAATTTTGCTTCAATACGAGGGCAGAGTCGATGGAAGCTTTTACCGAACCCCACAGCCATGCACACCATGGGTAAGGTAATATGTTTGCGCTGATAAATATAAAATTAATTTGATATTAAATTGAAAAGCTTTGATCCATTCTGAAGATTAACTTAAAATATTAAATTATAGAATTTCTGAAAATCGAGGTCTCTTTAACTACTTACGGGGAATGGCGAATGAAAATCTGTCCCTATCATTCTCCATAAGCCTTTGTCTTAGTTCATGACGTCCAACATTTGCAGGTCCTATCAATACTATTGGACGTTTCTTTGATTCAGGTTGATGATAAAGAGCCATTTCTTCATATACTTCTATTTCGTCACCAGCTGGAGAAAAGTTGTTTTGTAAGATTTTGAAATTTCACAATATAACAACATCTACCGACAACTAAACAGCAGAGATGAAAATGAACAACTTTTTTTTTATTTGATTGATAGAACATTGAAAATGTTTTTTTCTTCCAGATATCACTTTTTGTGAGAATGCTAATAAAAAAAATTCATTTCGCTAGCTCCAAGTGGCAACTTCTTAGTACTGTTTTGACTTATATCCGTGGTCTCAAAATCTTGCATTGACTGAAGTTGTATAAAATAACCTGATATTGTTTGATCTAAATAGGACACAGTGGCATCTCAAGTCTGTACCCAGAGATGTCGAACAATCACTGATAGGAGAATTGATAAAAACCTATCTTTTATGTACAAAGATGGAAATATAATTATTGCTGTGGCCTGTGGCAGAGTTGGTTAGAAGTATAGGTTGCAAGACTTGAATATGACCTGCTCATATGGATGTTTGATAATTATCTTTAAAAGTTGGGTTTGATAGTAGTTTTTAACAATTTAATAAATCCTGAACAGTGGTAAGTCATCCCCCTTCCAAAGATTCAAACCCTCGCCATTTTGGAAATGTAAATTTTTTTTATCTGTACTATACATAGTTTTTCGTTGCTTGAAACGTTTTTTAGACCCTGAGAACTTTTGAAAACCCATGTTTTCCGGTCTCGAGCAGGACCTTTTAGTTGTTGCGAATTAACTTAGCAATTAGAAATTTCAAAACCCCCCCATTAGAAAATTTTTGGCTACGCCCCTCTCTTGGGGCCCAGTTTGAGACACCCTGGTCTGGGGTATAATACTCACATTCACTAACACTATCCAACATGTTTTCTTTCCTTTTTGTTTTTGTTTTCTTCTTTCGTCGTTTGCCTCGGCCACACATGAATCCTTTTTTAACCTCAGGTTGTTCATCTTTTTTCTCAATATTCAACCTGATAACTTCAAGTCTGAAAAAGATTTGAGATTGCTCTAACAAGGAAAAGATCATCGGACCAGTGTAATAAAATGACTTATAGGGACACAACTTGTTGTCTCGTTTACATTTTGTCTAGGCGATGAACAAAGCTGGTACTGTCATGCTGGTGTCCAGAGGTCATTCAGTACCTTGGTATGGCAGAGGCAGCATGTGTGTTATGTCTGACTTTATATTCTGTTATTGGTGGTGACAATTGAACTGTTTATGTTAAGTATTGCTTGTGCTCAATAAAACATTTACGGTATTTATGCCAATAAACACACATCATGCGAGAAACCCATAAAATTTGAGCCGAAATATCGAGTCCTAGCAATTTCTTCAATTTTAAAGATTTTGGGAATACTGTAAAGCAGGGGTCGGCAACCTTTTGTCGCTCGCGGGCCAAAATAAGGGTTGCAAGTCATCGGCAGGCCGCACATATTTTTAGAAAGTTGAAAACCGAACGGATGATACTTTTTATAATAAAAATCAAGCAGTGACATTGCATTGCATCTCAAAAAATTCCATTTGAATATTTTCGGCATCATTTTACCCTTTGCACTTAGCATCAACTTTTCTGCGTTTTGCTGCCATTTGTCTAATTATAGTTAAATTAAGGCTAATTAAACAGGTAATTGTAAATTTTATCCTTGTTAGATTATAATATAATTTAGTCTACACGCGTCTCGCAATAAATTCTGTTACGTAAAGAATATTATCGTCAAAACAGCTGTGAAACGACGCGGGCCGGATTGTATTACTCCGAGGGCTGAATTCGGCCCACGGGCCGTAGGTTGCCGACCCCTGATGTAAAGTATTCTATAAAATTTCATTGTTATATGTTCTATTACCAAGTCCAACACTTGGAATAATGTAACAATCTTCTACTATTTGAAAATTACTTTGATGTAATAAACTATAACACTCACTGGTGTTGAAAGTTTTGTCCTGGTATTAATCCTGGTAGAGTTAGATGATCTTGGTCACCTTCCCTGTATGCTTGCCACCAGTCCTGGTCATCATGAGACATTACATGTAGAATATCTCCTTTCTGGAATGAGAGACCGAGTTCTCGACATGGAAGATACATATCGTCATATGCATCATAGTCAAAGAGAGCTCGCACATGCATCTGAAAAAATGAAATAATTAAATTTTAAAATAAGATCATCAATGTTAGAAAAATTGCATCCAAAAATACCAAATTCAAAACTTACTAATTACTCACATAATATTGACGCCAATGTCTTATAAAAATAACAGCACTACTCATAGTTTTAAACTGTAAAAAATATATTGTAGTATATACTCGAGTCGCGCATAAATTGCACTCCTCAGACATGGAATGGTGCAAAAATGATGGGTGCGACTCTACAATGAAAGTTTATTTTGCATATTTAAACAGTCCCTTTCTCCGGCATTTTATAGAGATGACTATGCGCACTTCCCCAACACTCTATTACCAATTATAGAATTTCCATCTATATAAACAGAGCCAATTTTTTGTTTCTGTCACATATGACCAATCTAACAACATATTTGCAAGTAAAGTTCTAAAAAAAATGAATATTTGATCTTGATCATTCCTGTATTGCAATGAGTAGTATAAATTACAAGATTATAGTGAGACCAATGCACAGGTCAAATACCCACATTAACAATTTCTAACTATGTGCGAATAACTATGTAACTATGTGCGAATATGACTCTTATGAGATGCATACATGAATAGCTTTAAAATGGTAAATTCTAACAGAAGATCATGAAAGACTTTAACAAAATATTCTAGCTGGAGTATGATCTTCGAAATAAAAAATTAATTTCTAATAAATTCATTCTATTCAAGCAAGTCATAATTTGAATCCAGATTTAATTTGACTTGATATAAATAGGGAAGCTGTATTAAAAATCATCACAAGGTTAATTAAGGTCTATTTCACAGTTCACACCATCATTTGATGCCATAAAAATATTGTTTTAGGCAGTTCTAACTGACCGCTCATCCATTACTAAAAGCTGATGAATTAAAAACATTGGGAAACAGGAAAAAGGTATTCACACAAATCCCAATTATAGATGAATATTGAAAAATTATCATAAAATAATAGTATGAAATTAATGATATTTTGAATGTTTACAACATTCTTGGATGAGGTGTGCCAGTCATGTCCTCTTTATGAATTAGACATCAGGTTCAAGACTCATTCAATTAAAATGTGATTCATGTTAGAACAGTGGATCTCAGTGGTGGGCCAAAGACAAATTTTTGAGGAGTGGAGAAGGTAATTAAAAATGAAAATATTCGTTAGATTTGATATTGGCCGTCATATTTTGGATATTTACATTTCAAAACTTTTCATTTATTTAAGTTCCAGCCATGTATTTTTTGAATAAAACACACTTTCGCCTTACTATTTGTTATTTGTAGCTAATTATTAGCTACTAATTTTGAGGTGGGGCACGAGACTTGAGAAATTCTAAAAAAAGGGCGCGGCTTAAAAAGTTTGAGACTCAGTGCACTAGAATATTTAAATTCAGCAATTTTACCAAGTTCATTTGCAGCAAAATTCTTGTGATAATATCACGAAGTTAGCTGGTAATTGGAATATTAAAAACAAAAAATATTCAATAAAGAACGGCAGTATGAAAAATAAAGTTAAAATATATACTATGAATTAAAAGGAGATTATTTCATATTGTGCAACCTAAGGAGAAATAAATCCCATTAGAAAGGTTATGATATTCACCACTGGTTCTTTGGTCATGTCAATATTGAGAGCATTAGGTTTTCCATTTAATTGTCCTTCAGCAGGTATAATGAGAAATTTAAGTAATCCAGTCATTCCACTTATAGCATCTCCTACTTCATTGACATCTTTTCCTCTCATTGGCTGAAAATCGGCAAAAATTCAAATAAGTTTAAATATTTATGATATATAATTGTTCTGATAATAAATGGTGCAATCAAAAACTACAGATATCCAAATAGAGTCGAGTCTGAGTTTGACATGCTTTTTATTGATATTGGATTCAGAGCAGAGTTTCTTCCTCCTTTGAATCAGAGCCAGAATTTTGAAATCTTCGGCTCTCGGGTGTCGAAATGTTAGACTTATAATAGTAACAGGCAAAGTCATAATTAAAAAATAATTAGATTGACTAATCATTCTTAATTGACAATTAGAAAAAGCTTGCATACGCCAAATTTTCGTTCAATGTTCGAAGCAAGCTAGAGTCAAAATTTCATTCAACTTACACCAATCTAAAGTTGGACCCAATTTTTTAAATTTAGAAGTTCGGTCTCCTTGAGGTTTAACGAATCCAAAATCATAAAAAATGAAACAAACCTGTCCATTGACTTCCAGTATCTCATCTCCTTCATGTAATGCATTAGACTTTTCAGCGGCTCCACCGACGACTAATCTACTGATGATAACATTTCCTTCTTCCTCTTCTACACGAACTGTTGCTCCCTGATAAGATAGCACAGTGTGTAGAAAAATACCCAAACCATATAATACTATACTCACATCCTTGCCAATAGAAAGTTTTGTTGTTATTGAAAGTGGATCTATTTCGAGTCATACATGCCCAATATTACATCCCAATATTTCACTGTTTTTTCATAAGTCACATATTTCGCGTACACACCTTCATATGGCATTCAGAATAATTCTTTAACATTTGACTGGAATTTTGCCGACATAGCTGTGCATATACGGACTCAAATATATAGATACGGATAACTTCAAATATATGGACATAAATTTACGGTCACAGCAATATCAGCAAATGTTATCTAGTCAAATGTAAGGAAAATTGTTGTTTCGTGGGCGCGTTGGCCCAGTGGTTAAGCGTCGGACTCAGGCATTGAAATCTTGGGTTCAAAGCTTTCTGGCAGCTTCCTGCATCTTCAAGTACAAAGTTGACATGAAAGCGATTTCCACGTAACAACAACAACAACATAGAAAAAAAGTTCGTGTTAAAAAATACAAATGTATATACCAGTGGAATATTAGTTTTGTTGACACGAACAATCTTAGCAGGTTTTGTTGTATATTTTGCAGCATTTTGTAATAGAAGATTATCTTCTGCATCCACTGGTTGTGTTGCGCTTGGATGCGGTGGAGGTATATTTGCAAACTGTGCAACACCATCGTGTGCTTTTATAACACCCTGAATTAAACAAAAAAAAAAAACATGTTTATTATATCATTTTTCATGGTTATAACAATTTTTATAATGGTTTGGTTATTTTATATTATTGTTATTGGCTAGTTTATTAATTTCAAAAACTTTTTCTATATTGCCCCTCGCCTATTGAAACCAAACTTTTTCGATCTCATTTTAGGATTGAAATAACGACAATGAACAGTATTTCGTCAGAATTCATGAATTGGCAATTACAATTATTTCATACAATTTCTTGGTGTGAGCTCACTAATACAGAGTTACTGCGAATGAATATAATCATGACAAATTGACACAACTTATCTTTCCAAATCATTTTTTACGAAAGAATAATAAAGATATATAGAAATTTGGATCATGGTAACTAACATTTAACAAATAATTTTATTTCCAACTAATTCGTTTGAAAACAACAATAGCGGAAAAATTTTGGTCCTTTCAAAAACAATAGCTCCCCCAGTGGCTGCTTATACAGAGCCCTATTTAGAGTAAAACGTGAATGAAAAATGAATTTTCTTATAAATTTGTAATAAAAAGTTAGTCGAAGCATTGCCTCATCACAAGCCTAATTACCAAGTTATTCTGTTAGAAATAGATTTTGGTTCAATATTTAATATTTACTCTAAAAATTAACAATTTTCAGTGTCATAGACTTACGATGATGACCAGTTCTAGTCCTTTGCGACTACCCGCTAATTGCAATGAAATCTGGTATCAAAATGTTTAATGATTGTAAAGTGTAATTATGGTTTCTTACCCAATGAAATAAAGTTATAAGTAAACAATACAAGAAAAAAAATTCTCACCCTCATATGATGTTTTGATAATATACCAGCCAGTTCTCTTGCTGTACTATCTTTACTTGATGTTAAATCATCATCAGCCTAAAATATAATCATAAAAATTGCTATAAATAAAGAAAGGTTTTTAAAACCAGTTAGAAAATTAAAAAAGAAATTATAGTAAGATATCTATCTGATCCATACTTGCTTATTTGACTGGAAATACTTGTCAACTACTTTCAATGCAATAGAGTTAAATTACAAACAACTAATAATTCACAACTCTTCAAAGGGTATTCTCAAATTGTATCGAATATTAGAGAATTCAAAATTACTTGTATTTGATATTTTAGATTTTGGGAATGACTTTGAATAATTATATTTGTATCATTAATATTTTAAGCAATTGAACTGCCACTGACTCAATTTAGAAGACCGGAATGCTGTATATTTCATATATAAAATATTATTCCAGATAGTATTCAAAATAATAGATTATTCGCCATTCCTGTTCCTCTTTACACAAAAACTCTGCAGCTAACAAATCTCAAAATAACCAACACCGTACTAACAATTAAACTGGTATGTCATATATGTTATTTAAAAGCCTCAGTTCCCACAGGATTATTTAAATCCAATCAGTATACTTCTTTATACTAAAGCGGAACATCCATACGTCAATACATATACAATTCACTGTGAGTCATAATGATATACCGTGACACCTTCTGTAAAAACTAGCCAACCACTGAAGTATAAAATATTCTTTTCAAAACCATTCAGCAGTTTTACGAAGTCTACAAATGTGATATTATAGACTGTGTCTGTCTTTGTTTCTGAATACACCATTGAACACGATTATATTACATACCTTTGTGATTTGAAATGTTACATAGGTCTCTATTTTGACTATGATATCAGATTAATAAAATGCCTTTTCTTCAATTGAATGAACCCAAATATTTATGGTTATTTATGAAAATAAGAGTAACAATTTTCAATTGCCATTCTCATACCATCTTTTTAAAGATTTACACAATCAAACAACCAAAAACAGTCATTTCCATGGAACATCTTTGCACGTCCCATCAATTTTAACTTATAACAGCTCTATATGATATCCTGATTACAACGTCTGTATGTATCCTTATTAACATTGTAACAAAAAAAATAACATAATATTCTAGTAGCATTCCTCGAAAAAAAACTCCTCAAAAGTAGGCATTGAAAATTTAGGACAAAAATTTTTTGCACAATATACCTAATTTAAACCTCATTATATAGTTTATACATATTTGGCAAGCAAGATAACTAGATAGCAAAATTTGAAAAAGTTTCTGATCTAGGCAGAATAGGTCATTGATCCAAATTTCTGTAGATCCCAGATCTTTTCTGCCTCACATCATCAAGTCCTATACCTAGTAGCCAATTAGTGACAAACACCCACATAACATTTTGCGGAGGATAAGTACCGGCTTTCAGTAACCTGATGGTTGCTTAACAATTTTACTATTTAAAATTTTTTTGAATGACGTCATGAATAGGTCTACATTCCTTAAGTGGACCGTGCAGTAGAAATTCACACAACACACTTGTATGTATCTCAAGTGTTACATTCTGCAATTGGTCTACATTAACCCAAGATGTCAAATTCAAACCGCAGTCATGATAATTTTACTCAATACTTGAACTATTAATGAAAAAGTTGTAACATGAAAAAAGAAAAGAGTACCATGGCTAAATATTATTAAATGCAATGCAAGGGTTTTATGCACCATTTTTAGAATCTTGCACTTTTAAAAATTATTCTAAAAAAATGGATAATTCTATTTATTTAGTTTTAATTTATTACTAAACGTATAATAATATTTATACTTTAAATTCTCATGTAATTTCACCAAAATCAAAACCAATATCAAAATTAGCCAATTTGATTTTGAAAATGGCTCTGAAGTTAATACACTTCAAATCACAAGAAATTAGGGATTAGCATAATGTTTCGAATTATTAACCCTTTTTTTAAGCATGAACCAGTATTTAAAACAGTGTTCAACATAGAGTGGGCAGTATAGCAGATATAGTAAAGTGCTCTTTTCAACTTTGCAACAAGCCCACTATGCTAAACTGTTTACCCAGACATTCCTTGAATATTTGTTCACATAATAATAAATTGAAAGTACCTAAGCGGTTGAGTTGAGTATCACAAAGCAATAAACTAAAGTAGTTAAAAATATTGTGATAACAAAACCAAAAAAACCAAAAAATACAATACATTCTGTAAAGTTTATAGAAAAGCCATGATTCTCAAATATTCCGAATTTCAGATGCATGATTAGATATACTAGGTTCAAAGTATTTTATTGTTTGAGTATTTTATTTTATTCAAATTCAATGAATTTTAAATTCAATGATTATAAATCTATTTAGATTCCAATATAGTAATCATATTTAGGTAAACGAAACAAAACACGTCTTTTCATAATTAAAAGCTATCCAACAGACAATGGTCTTTTGCGAAGAAAATACATACACAGTCGTGGATTGCATTGGGCTAAACTAATCATATCACACAGGAAAAACTAACACAGATATCAATACACAGAATTCTTCATACGTGTAAATTGGGAAGATAATCTGGATTTAAACTTGAGAACGTTACCGAATACACAACTGAATCATCTATTTTATCCTGACTTGATCAATGGAAAATAATAATACTAAAAGTGAGCTATAGGCCTACTAAAACAAACAGCCTGTTATACTAGTACGTCTTTTAATAGAAATATATTTGTAAACTTAATACTTACAAGTAAAACCAAGACAAAATATAATGATTTTTGAATTTTATTGGAAATATTCGATTGGGAAATTGACCAAAAACAGAAAGTTCAGAATTTCAGTATAGTCATATTTACTTTGTGAGAGCATTGTTGCATTATGCTATACATACAGGGACTGAGCAGTACATAGCCATAGAGGAAGGATAATTATGTACTAGGTAGCTAATCTCATGTACCCGCAACTGATAGATGTGTTATTTGAGTAGAAGATTTCTCAAAGTGGGTCCCTCTCTAAAAGGCAATAGAGTGGGCAGAAAGGCAGACGAGAAAAAAGCTTTTACCAGGTATCATTTGCGATGATCACATTAATTTAAGTAAATAGATTTGTTTAATTCTCGGACTGTAATACATTTATTTTTGTATATTCGCTTTTTGCTTTTTATTATTAATGTGGTAATGTGAAGAACAAAATAACTGATGAAAACCTATTAAAAACAAAATGCATTTTTTATTGTAAAGCAGGAAACCATGTAGTGTTGAAAGATAATGTATCCTGAAAGTTTGAGAACCACTGTTCTAAAATATTTAAGTCAAATATAAAACATAACAATAACATTAACAAACCTCATCAATAAGGGGTGAAACGTTCAATTGTACAGGTAGACACGATGTTTTTGCTTCAACAGTTTTCTTTGAAATTGTATTGTGAAGATCAACAGACTCCTGATTAATAATTGATAAAAATATAAGATTATTTCTTACATGTTTTTCATAGATAAGATTGAAAAAAGATAAAATCAATCATTCACCTATATTTGTGATAAAGCGGAACCACAAGTACTTGTCATACAGTAGTAAACTCCGTTACACCCCAAAAATGTCAAATTCATGGCTAAGAGAAGCTTTCTGGTATGGATGAAAGAGAAACACCCAAAAATTTGAATACACTCTTAATCTGACATGGGCAAACGATGGCCCACAGGTCAAATCCGACCCATTGGGTAATTCAATCTGGCCCACCTGATGCTGCCACAACCAAACTTAAACCAAATTTTGATGTTTTAGCTAAAAAATAGCTCAAAGAATTTGTTGAGTTAGTTTTGGCACGAGGCCTATAGTTTTCCACTTTTGCTTTTGTAACACTGTAAATATTGTTCATAAAATGTAACTTTTTGTGTCATACTTATATGGCCCGTCAGTGCAGGTGAGCAAAAGTTTTGGACAATGGTCCAAAAACCTTGCCCGACCGGCCGGCCCTGCTTTAGATGCTACCGATCAAACAAAGTGAATATGCCATAGTAAATGCTATTTGTCAGATCTCGCTAAAAATCATTGAAATCTTAATAAGCACAAATAATTTTGCAATTTGATGGTTCAGATCTAATGACCAGCTCGCAAATCTAGCTATTTAATCTTGATTCGAAAAAAAAATATTCAATTCTTGTCTACTCAGCTTGAGCAGAACAAAAGCACCAAGACAAATTCTTTGTTAGAATCGAAAAATAAATAAAATTATATAATAACTTACTTGAAATGTATCATTGTGCATCATGCTTTGAATAAACTTGAGATCAGCAGATATGGAGGGATCATTTGTTTCTCTGGATATTTCTCGTAATGCAGCAAACACACCTTCAATATCTGAATGATAGTTTGATGGTTAGATGAAGTCTATCATATCAAGAAAAACACTTTCAAGCTATGTGAACCAGGTATGAAGCCCTGGCGTTTTGTTGGATCTGGAGCTTTGAGTTCTACTGCATGAGCTGATGTTTATAGATGAGGTCACATCAAAAAACCTTCGAGCTGGGTTGCATTTTAACTATAACTTTGAGTTCCAGGTAAATTTGGAAAAAATCATATCCAAGTAGATATATCCAGTTTGATATGAAAGAACAAGAAATGGAAAAATAAAAAATTTCATTAAAAAACAAAGATTTTATTAAAAAATATTCTATTTTAATAATATTAATACAGGGATTTCCAAATCTGACCAGTTTTGGTATTCTAGAATTTCAAGTTGCGATTAAATATGTTTCTGAATATGATTTATAGAAAAATAAAATATTAGAATATATACCCAACAAATTTGGTAAAATTTGACACAAATCCTGATTATCATCACCTTGTGTTGATGACTGCAAATTAAATTAGAACTCATCTATTCTTGAAGAACGTGTTTCTAATATTATAAATTTTGCTTAGGATGAATTGTTTGAACATGCTGTATAGAGTTACCATCAGCCAAACTGAATTATACTATACAGAATAAGCCATACTTAATGTGGACGGTTCTTGTATTGAAGATTCTGCTTCAGACGTATCATCATCTTCATATCCAAGATTGAAAACACCTTTTTTATTTGCCGCTGCTTCCTCTTCTGGTGTCATTGTTTTCATTCTGTTCAATGAGTGCAGAATAGTAATTATCATAAAATTTTACCTATCTCACTAACAATATTTAGTTAATAAACATACTTTCTTAATTTTTCTGCATTATCTTCTTTAGTCATATCCTGACGGACTTTTCTGTCTCTTTTTTCAAGTTCTTTTTTCCTCCTCATAGATTCTCTCATTCTTTAACAGAAATTATGTTTTTTCAAAATTGTGTATGAAGTCAATTAGCTAAGAGTTTTCATTTGATATTAGTATTGGAGATTGTATTGTACGAACATATTGAATAGAGAAAATAATGTTGAAAAAAGCTTACCAGATGCCATATTCGAAAAACTTAAAAAATAAAAATAAAAGCAATAGCATTCTGGTAACTCTTTCCATCTTCGAGTACTGAAATCCATTGGTCTATTAGGGGTGCTTCTGAAGTATGTGACCCAAGATGGCGGACACCGGGACATAGTATGTGTACCAAGTGAAGGTTAGGCCATAATTTTATTCCAATTTTCCTCATTTTAGTTCTATTATGAGTTCGGGGACGAGCTAAGGGACTCCTGTAGTATTTGTACCTAAAATTATAGCCTAACCCTAACCTGGTACACATACTTTGTTCCGGTGTCCACCATCTTGGTTCACATACTACGAGAGTACCCTATTAGTTTCAGAGAAAAGAATTTTTCACAACAACCACAATTTAGCAAAAAGAATCATAGGCCAACTTTCATGTCCAAAAAATCTAACAAACATTCATTCCATGCAGCACTGTTTACGAGGTAAGGCTAAAAAGAAACGGGACTGACGTCACAGATTGTGCAACACGATTAACCATCGGTAATCAACACTTTTGCAGTGTGGCGTAATATGTGTTCTATGTTTAACAGCTGTTTTGACACAATATCGCAATTATTTTTGCTTTTCAAGATCCATAAGTGAATGTGATAAATTTCTTGTTGAAAAAAAATGCTGTGCGAGGTCTGATGGAGTTTTTTGGCGATAGGGGATTCAATTAAAGAATGACGACTGAGCAAAGAATTAATATTAAATTTTGTGTCAAACTTGGAAAAACGGCGACTGAGACTTTGCAGATGTTGCGTGATGTTTATGGAGATTCTTTCATGTCCAGAACAAGAGTTTTTGAATGGCACAAGCGATTTGTGGAAGGCAGGGAGGATGTGGAGGATGATCCGAGGTCAGGGAGGCCTTGCACTTCCACTACTGATACCAACATCGAAAAGGTTTGACAGTTGGTTCGCAGTGACCGTCGCTTAACAATTCGCGTCATTGCCAACGAAATTGGGATGGACAAAGAAACGGTCCGCACCATTTTGGTTGACACTTTGGGAATGCGAAAGGTGTGTGCCAAAATGATGCCAAAGGCTCTTGAGTTGACTGAGGAGCAGAAAGCTCAACGATTGAATGCATGCCGAGTTGACATGCATTTTTCCAAGTTTGACACAAAATTTAATGTTAATTCTTTGCTCAATCGACATTCTTCAATTGAACCCCCATATCGCCAAAAAACTCAATCAGACCTCGCACAGCATTTTTTTTCAACAAGAAATTTATCACATTCACTTATGGATCCTGAAAAGCAAAAATAATTGCGATATTGTGTCAAAACAGCTGTTAAACAAAGTACACATATTATGCAACACTGCAAAAGTGTTGATTACCGATATTTAATCGTGTTGCGCAATCTGTAACGTCAGTCCCGTTTCTTTTTAGCCGCACCTCGTATAGTTGTTTCATATAATAACCATTGTTTGTAAGTTAATAATAATAGTATTGTGATTAAATCCAATAATTCTGTTATTCCGAGAGTATTTGTAAAATCTCATACCTGTGTATCCTGGTCAGATCCATCTCCGGTTGAGGTAATGATGACGCAGCTATAGCAGCTGCATGAAGATCTTTCTCTACATTTTCCTACATAAAATATATTCTTGTACTAATAACAAACATTTATATTATAGGTATTGTATAAACAGGTAAGTACTGACCTTCTGACTTTGCATCAGTTCAGAATCAAGAGGAGTTGGGGGCGGAGTTTCCAATCTTGGGGTGTTTACTCCACCATTTGGAGGATGGGCAGCTACATAGGACGGAGGACAGTCAACTGCCATTTCTGTGTGAGATTCGTCCATATTGATTTGACCATTACCATAATGATTAGCATGTCCTCCTCGATGCATAACAGCAGATGCCATATTCCGAGTAGTTTTTGAAGAGTCTTTGGTAGAAGTTAAAATATCAGAAGTTGAGCTAAATTCACTTTGAGATGTTGATTTGACTTCGGTCAACGTTCTAGCGGAGGCCTTGTCAATACCATCCGTATGATCTTGAAATTCATTTACATTCGGAAAGTCAGTAATATAGATAGGTCCTCGTATAACATCCGCAACACTTTCTGGTATATTTCCAATATGAACTGCCTTTACAAGTTTTAATTTCGTTAATCGTAAAAGTCGTAATGTTGCTTCACTTTCAATTGCAAGAGCTATTGCACGTTTTCCAGGTGGTATGTTGTTGCATGCGATTACTGGAAAAATAAATTTAATTTGATTATTAAAATTTCGAACAGAATTTAATTCATGCGAAAAACATGACATTGAAATTTAGAAAACAAATATTGATGTCTCAACACTCTGTGACTCTGCTTTGAGAGAACTGATGAGTGAAATATTAGATTGTGAGCATCAGTTTAACTGTCTTTGTGAAAATCTTGATGTTTACGACTTGGAAGAAGCATTGTAAACAATCATAAAAATACCAGAGCACAAACCTCCACTGCGTTTATTGCGCTTTACTTTCAGTGACACTTTCTTAGAATCAATGCACTAAAAAATGAAAAATATTTTAGATTTTTAATGACAAGACAATTACAGAATTCTCTTCAAAAGTTTGTTAAAAATATTGTACATATATGTGATAGTTAATGAACGTGAAATTTTTTTCTCTATATGACTAAAAATATTATCCATATCCATATTTCAATTTTTTATATTTACTTTCCATAGGAAGACATTATATAAATACAGTTTGTAATTTCATAAGTTTTCTAAACTTCCTAAATTTTCGAATTCCCTTTCAATTAGATGCTTCAGATAAACCGAATAAATGATCCAGGAAATTCATGCCGTTACTATAGTAAAATAAAATAATAAACAGTATTGCTTTTGGGTTGCATAAAGATTGAAGTAAAGGATTAAAAAGAAAATAAGATATGTTATTTCACCACGAAATATTAAATATTTTTATGACATATCACAATAGTTATTAATACTAGAATTCTGTATTGTTTGCATACAATATAAAGGGATTTATTACTGAGTAAAAATGTGATAATAACACAATTTCACTGCAAAAAAATGGCAAAATTTAGAATTTCCTCCATTATCTATATGATTTCTGAAAATAAATTCTCTGAACATCCCTCTCTACTTTATACAATAAACAACTATGAAAACTATAACAGGAAAAAAAGACAATAATATTTCTACTGTTTAAGCTTCCTCTTGCTGGTGATCAAAAATGTTAATACATAGCCTATATTCTTCTATTTCTATGCAACTTTCAAGCTAATTTACTACACTAGTACACTGCTGATTGAAAATGATTGCAAACCCATATTAAACCTTATCAGTCAAGAACAAAAATGTAAGAATGCCTGCAGGTGAATATACGTTAGCAGATCAAAAATGCAACACAACAAAAAACTCTTAAAATAGATTGACAAAATTAAACACTAGTACCAGCAGACAGTCTGGCTGGAATGATCAGTCTTTCACAAATAACTATGTTATTAAATAAAAAATCCCAAATAAAAAATGTGATTCTGAAAATGGTATTTAACAAATGAAATTATTATATCGGTGCAGTAGAACTAAAATTGCTTATGTTGAATTTCGAGGTTTTGTAAAACTTGCATTTATGTAAGTTTGGTTACAACAATTAAAACTGAAAATAGACATGAGAAACCCAAATTAAAACTAAAGCTGATACAGCTCTGAACCCAGACCAAAGATGGACTCTGGTCCATTATAACCAGGGGTGTGCAAGCTTCAATACAGAAGGGTCCGATTTCCAATAACTGAGTGAAACCGCGGGCCGCACCTTTATTGAACATAAGCTTTGTAATATTGGCAGGCACAAAAATTTAGGGCATTATAACGTCATAGGCATAAATAATAATTGAACTTAGGTATAATAAGCTTCGCAACACCAAGGGATTAAAATTGAAAACTTGCTTCGCAGACCGCATATTATGATTCGAAATTTGCACTTCTCCACAGTCTGCACAATCCCAAGACTCCCAAGAAATGTAACATAAGATACTTAGGTTTTAGTTTTACTACAGTAATATCCAAACTAAAATATTAAATTACATAGGAATATATGTTCCAGACATTATCTGTATTATTTTTCATGCTATTATATATCAAAGACTTTAATCCATACTCAATTTTACACATTCCATTCAGTTAGTAAATTGTAGAAAATTGTAAATTGTACAGCTATTGATTTAATTGAAAAAATATTTGAAATTCCTGGAATTTTGTGATCTCAGCAATTCTAACGAGGAGGCAATCAGCAGATTACACTTATTTTATGCTCGAAATAGGAGCCAATAGTAATGGATTTACATATGACAAAAACAGTTTGATACTCTATACCCTAAGGTGAGTTGCTAAGTGTGCCGCGAAAATTAACAGAATTGTGTTGAACATAACTAAAATATGATTGTATATTTTACATATTGTATTATTTATTAATGTTTTTTTGATTTTTTTTTTAAATGCTCTATATATGAATCAAAGAATTCATTTTACCTTTCTATGTCGTTTTTTTTGTTATGTAGTGTCTGCCCCTATTGTTACCTAACAATAGAGGTAAACACTACTTGCTGCAATTTCGTGAGCTGTAGTTTATTTATCTGCTGAACCGAGTTTGGCAAACATGAGTGATTTTTTATCATTTCAAAGTAAAATCAGGCAGAGACAAGAAAGGAGAGTTGACCTTTTGCCTTTATTCTAGTGAACACTTTTTTACAAACTTTAAAAGGCCGAAAGTTCACATTAACGATCACAAACTAAAGTTTTATTTAAAAGAAACATTTATTTTTGTGTAAGTGCGCCATGAATTTCTTTTCCTGATAATTTGGCGCCGCACGAGCAAAAAGTTTGGGAACCTCTGGTTTTATAAATCAGTTTGTTCTAAACTTTTATTTATTGAATTATGCAAAGCATCTTGAATTAAGCATCTTGGAAGCATCTTGAAAATAAAACAGAGCAACCCCTGGGATATATCAAAAATCGCCAGCAGAAGCCAGTTGCAAAAAAAATCCTTGTATTTCATAGTAACTGAATAGAGCGAAATGATAACAACCACAGATTAATACAGTTGGTTATGTATAGGTATTCTTATCTCAAACTCTAAACAAGTTTGATTCCAAAAATAGAATATCATATATGGGCTATTCCAAGTGACACTACAGGACAATTCCAGAAATTTTGCATGTTGTTAAATTCAATATATTTTCACATTTACAGCTACATGTTTTGTTTCATTGTCCAATCAGTTGCTCTATTGAATATGTAAAAAATTGCACAAAAGTTACACCCAACCTTACTAAGTAGATAAAAAAAAATATAGTAAAATATAGCGTGACACTACAGGACGGCAAATCCACCATGCGCTAACAGTACGTTGTGTTGTTCTGTAAATTTTTGCGATGGTACAGTAGGAGCCCATAATATTTTCTGGTGCAGTAGCTGAACTACCCCTCTATGTGTTGCTCAAGTTACTTAATGTAACACTGTAAATCCATACCAATAATGTGCATATTGTATGTGACACTACAGGACGTGACACTACAGGACATTTTTCCACTTCGGAATAGCGGCATCTATCATCTTTTAAAATTCTGGTAATAAATCGTTAAATGGGTGAAGAAATGTTCTACAGCACTGCAAACATTCAAACTTTATTAACTTAAATCCAGTGCGTCAATTCCATATGAAATAACTGTATCACACAATCAAACACTTCAGGAATCAGGTGTCAGGAATCATCACAAAATATGTCAATTATACCAAAATTTCTACATTTCAGGCCATTTTTTATAAACCATCAAAAACCTGGGTGATATTTTAAATTGTTCGATGAAATGAATGCAGTCCAATAAAAGTCCAATGTCTTTTGGTATCAAAAATAAAAAAAAATTACTTTCACTACACTTTTTAAAAAATTGATGGAGTTCAACTTTTGCTTGGAATGGCCCATATAAGGTTCTGAATGGATCATCAATTTTCCTTATGAAACTTGAATCAATTGCATAGGCTATATATGACATTAATGACTTCCTGAAGTATTCATTAACAAGTTTCCAATACTTCCCATGTTGCTATGCTATAAATGTAGTTGCCCATGGATGTAAAACCAACTAAATTACTTGGATTTTGAATATAAAATATTTTAAATTATGTTGAACATAGATAAAGAAAATTTGCATAAATCGCCATCTATTTATTATTATTGAAGTGCTGATAAGTGGTTTACGAATTTTGATAGCTATCAAAAGTTAAAATGATTGTTTTTGGATTAAAAATCGTCGTCCATGCAAATTCATACGATTCCACTCCAATAAAGAAATATAAGCAAGCCAGTTTTCAAAATGATAATTTTTCATATGACAGTGCCCTAGATCATGAATTTATCACATTGAAATATTTGTGTATTTCAATGGTAATAAAATCAAATTTTTTGTGCCGAGCCTTCTGACTCATATTATTAATAGTGTTTGCGTCTTGAGTTTGAAGAGTTTAGAAACCTCGAATGTAAAACTTAGAAAAGTATACAACTACCGGTATATGAATCAAACATTTATGAAGGTGAATATAAAACTATGCTCAAAACAGTACCAATCATGAAATGCGATTGCTAATAAATAGAAATCATTTTTTGAATCAGCAATTTAATAATATACTTGTATAAAATCGCAAATATTCAAACATATTTAAACAAACTTACATTCCGAATATATTTCAAAATATCAACGTAGGTGAAATTGGAAATATCTTTTCCATTTACTTCAACAATTTTATCCTTGATTTTCAAATCGTCTCTTTCTTTTTGTGCTGGAGAACCTATAAAGAAATGAAGTTGATGAAAGAATAGCAAAACATTAAAGAAGTACTCTATAATATAACGATGAGGAACAGAATTTAAATTTTATCAACAGCACGAGTGAGAAGACTAACTATAAAAGTAAGATAAAAAAGTGTTACATGAGCCCAAAATTGCAATAAAATTTAGACAATAAAGTAAAGTGTTTGACAATCGAACAATTAAATCAATGAAGGTCCAAATAATGTTGCCACTTTTCTACAGTTTTTATTAATTGGGATAATTGCAACCAGGCAATGAAAGCAAGTCTTGAATTAATAAAAACTCGATGTATAAAATTGTAGTCACTATTTACAATTATATAATAAAGACCTATTATATTTCATGAAATTATTTTATCCTAGAAACATCAAATTCTGTTTTAAAGAAATTGTTTAGGCATATTTAGATTATAGTGTTTATGATACAAAAGAATCATTAAAATCATTATTCATATCACAAATTGCATAAAATTCATTTCAACTTGATACAAAAAAAATTTGATAGAAGACTTGAATATTATATTAATAAGCATTTTCAATTTCTAAACTCTAATAATAAAATTGAAAAGAGGTGAACACTAAATATGTACAAAAGATTGAATATAAAAAGAATACAAACCTACCAAACAGACATATTTTATGGTTTACATCGCTGACAACCAAAATTATGTACCCTGCAAGCCCATCCATTTGAATAACTAACTCGCACAAAGTTTAGAGAAACAAACAGACCAGTTCTATAAATATATTTCTGGCCTTGATACACATCCATCCATACTGACAATATCTTGATAGCCTACTCTGAGACTCCTGCCAGATACGTCAGTGTTATGTTAAGAATGGAGACTATTTGAACAGCACTTTGTATTGCTGTGACGGTCATTTTTTCTGTTCGTTCAATAAAACTTTCATTATTTAACAAATTCCAAAGTGGTGTTAATGCCCTCATTGAAAACACTGACAAGAACGCCGAGTTGATTACCCTTGTCGATAAAACTGTGGCTTTTTATAAATACGTTTAAAACGTCGCATGAAGTGGTATTACATCAAATAAGAACACAATATGATATACTATATATCAAATATAGACTCAACAGGAACCCCAGTTCAGAATGTCAGAAATTATCAAGTATGGTCACATGATAAAGCAACTTTAATATGCTTTATTCATATCTACGATAGACTTGATTTTTTAAACTTACACTGCAAGTTGGTTATGACAGCGTTATTATCATTGAATATCAAAATACAGAGATAAAATTCTTATACCTCTTGTGGACCAGATCAAATTTCTACCAGAGGTGTGTCACGAGGTGTGTGTTCGATGGCAGGAACCAAACAATATCAAAGTATATTTGAACAGTTTAAAAATAGATAAAATCTAAAAAAGAATATCATTTTGATTTATCGCCAATTTGTGGTGGCAACTTTACCGTACTTCTATATAAAAAATAAAATAAAGCATATTCGTCAGTAATCATAGTCCTTATTTTGAGAGATAATAAATAAAATCTATACAAGACCATTTTAATTTATTTCACTACAACATTACAGCATATAAATGAGACAAGATGATTATTTATGGCTTTATTATATATGTGTCATAATTATTAGGGCTAAATAGTCATAAACAAATACGCTGGTATGTGGTATATCATCATTGCTCAGTTACTACAGAAAGATAATATTGAAGGTGAGGAGAAATTACCTAAATATTAAATGGTAAATCAAACAATATGATTTCAAACAGGTGAGGATGACATCATTATTAGGTAAGGTCTTAGGAGTATTTAATGACAAGTTAGGAAAATGTTTTATATGATTACGGTACTTTCATTTCTAGTCACTAATTATCGTTAAATTGTAATGATGTTGATTGAAATAGCTAAATTCAATATGATATAGTAGTACTATAAGTAACAAAAGAGATAATTGGCATGAACTGTTATCAAATCCAGCACACCCAAAATAATTTTTTTGAAGAAATAAATGAGAAAATGAAATACCACCTACCTTATCCTAAAATTCAAGGATGAGGGGAATAATTATAAAATTATGAAAACAAGTTAAGATCACAGATACGTAGCACTAAATAAAAGCAACAAATTAAAAAATGAGTTACTTTTTGAGGATTTCACAAATTCGTTCCATCATACATATATACTGATAATCGCCCTATAATATTATCGGTGATTTGATAATTAGTAGTGATTATCAAATTACAACTGAGTTTTTAGTGCACTCGTGATTGACTTTTTATGAACGGAATTATAATTTTACTTTCCACTATTCATATTTAGTCTTGGCATAATTGTCAATCATAAGTCTTAATAATTAGTGAAGCGGGTGACTGGGTGAGATTCAACAATGCGTACAAAACTACAATTTGTGAAATAAAATATAATATTCCTCCAACTTAATATGAAATATCCTAAATTAAGTTCTGAATTCGACTATAACAATCTATACAGACTTCCACATTTATGTAAGGTTTCAAATTTGTTCTAGTGGAAACCTGGGACCAAACACAGAAACGAATCACTAATTACCTGAGTTTCATTCATGTCGAGTTACTGCATTCCAAATTCCAGTTGCCACTGCTTCATAAAGCTTATTCTAGTTTATCATAAAAATTTGGCTATTTCAATGACTCGTCCAAAATTTTCTAAATTTACCGGTATATAGAGTCTCAACTCTTAAGTCAAGACGGTCCAAAGATTTGATATGATTCAAAAAGTGAACAGTTCTGTATAAAGTTGAAATTAGATTGTGCCAAAATTTGTGATGAATTTCTCTAATATCCATTTATTTTTACTGATATTTGTTTTTTTGTATTTTAGCTTAATCTTTCATCAACCATAATTGCAGAATTGAGTTATTTATATTACAAGTTAGTTATTTTTTATATATTTAAATATTCTATATTTTAATAAACACAAACTTGTCATATTAGTCTTTTCAAAAATTACTATTACTAATGTAACAATTTTTCGTTGAAGCAAAAACAAAAAACTTTTCGTGAAATAGTTTAATCAAGACTCCTATTTTAAGGTAGATTGTCAAGCATATAATAATACTATTCCTAACATGACCTTATGAATGGGTCTTTAAAATATCTATCTGCTGTGCCCTTTATAAAAATCGTCACAATAGTAAAATATAAGCAAATAAAGCAGTCAATACATGCTGATCAGTTATGGCCATTGTTTCCAAATTAGTGAAAACAAGAGACAAACCCAGACTATACCCAGAATAAAATAAACAGTTTTAACAACAAAAAATCAATAAAGTTATGAAAAACACAGAATGTCATATCATAAAAAATATGATAACAGGTATTTAGTAGATTACAGAAATAGAAAGATTTTCAGACATTTTTATTTATAAAATAACAATTCTGAAAAAAAATCCAAAATTCTTCATTGTCTAGCAACCCCAGACTGGATTCTGTGGCAGGTGCAGCTCGAGTTTGCTAGTGCTCCCCGAAAATGAACGCAAGCAAAATCCATTCTGCACACCGTAAAATTTGTCATTGCTCACCAATATATCTGACATGGCATGGCAAACTACTGGTAAAAGTATTTTTAATTTATAGTATACCTATCTAATTCTGAATTGAAGGCTTTCATAAAATCTCTGAATGAATATGATGCCAGATAAAAACTTGTACAGTTTCAACTTGAAACTTTCAAGTACAGAAGAGATGCACAGCATCAGAGTAGACTAATTTTGTCTTAATGATACAATGAATGAATGCAACACCTCACCGCCTTAGCAATTAGTACTGCAGTAACCTCTTTCACTTCCTGAAGATCACACAACACTTTCCGTTCTGTCCTTAATTATAGCTCGTTCTGCCCTTATTCTATAAGCAGATAAGACTGATAAGAACTCTTTATCATGCCTGCATGGAATCTATACAAAATGAAATATCAAAAGCTGTATTCAGTACAATATTCAGGAATTGTTCGAATTTAGGCCTCATATTACGGGTCTAGCTCAAATACAGAAATAACACTGTAACACCCAACAAAAATGTGATGTGAAATTTAATGTAAAAGATCGAAATTAGCTACACCCGTATTGTCTTAAAACGTCGCCGTCAAAAATGCGAAAAGGTGGACGAATCATCTGTCCTCTCGTGAGTCGAGTTGTCTGCCTCTTGTTTGTCCCATGTATTTTTTAGTTTATTGTGTTTTCGCAACGGATTTTCCTTTAAAAAAAAATTAAAATTTGGGTTGTATTTTCAAATCACATTTTTGTTTGGCGTTAATCAAGCACTTACAGTCTTACAGCATTCATTTTCACACCATATTCAGACATTTGTGTTTGGGGGTATTTGAGCAGTGGTACCGGTACGTACCATACCGGTACCGGTACAGCTTTTGCTTCACGAGACCCCATACCGGTATCACTGTATTACAGTATTAGAGTATTACGGTACGGTACATTTTTAAATGTAAGACTGTTTGATTGTCCCGTCCTCGGTTCCAATTTAAACAGTCCGGCAGTCTGTGACCTCGAGACCCGGTAACTATGAAATGAAGGCAGAAAAGTATTAAAATATCGCTATGCTGTTATGGCAGTACCGGTACCGGTACTGCAGTATGATGTTCAACAAGAGACCCATTCAAATAATCAAATCTGCTTTCATTAATAGCTTATCAGTGTCTGATGGCATGACATACAATTTGTACAGCAGACTACAATTGGTCCTATCGCGTTTTCGGCACCCGGTACCGGTACCGTGATGCTACACCGGTACCGTACCGTAGGGCGTAGGCTAATTCTGTAATTGTTTGACGGTATAGGCTACTTACGCGGACAATTCGTCAAAGATAACTTACACCGGTGGTGAAATGCTCGACTTGTAGTATTTTCTATTGCGACGTTTTGGGACTATAGTAGTGTACCGTACTTCCCTGTAGAATAATACACGTAGAAATACCAGTACGAAAAATCTGGATCTGCCCTACAGTCTGATAGTATAGAATTCCGTTTCGGCATTTGTAAAATAAATCTTCCGGTATCTTTCACCACCTAGCGGATATACTTATGCAGAGATATTACCCGAGCTGTGGAGTCGGAGTTTAGCAAGTTATCACTGAAGCCGGTTTTTTATTGCCAGGAGTAGGACTGAAAAACCTAAGATTACATTCCCCTTTAACAGCCTATTCAAGTATGCTTGCGAGTCTTTTATCGAATTTTTTTTATTGAATTAAACATGTCTGGGTAACAATTTTCGTACCTTTTGGATTTCTTAAGGGGTGGGGGGTTTACGGTGGTTTTAAAACAATACACCAAAAGTTCAATTCACGACGGCGTGAGGCGTGTAATAAATTAAAAACAATGCGTAATTCACCGCGAAATTCCACAGTTACGTGTAGCTCGACTCTGACGGTATTTGGTGAATATATACAAAAACACGCTCGCGTGTAGCGCCGATCGAATAGATGAAATGTGAAACTTTTACTTGGAATTTAATGCTAATAAAGTTGATTTTTTATTGTCATTCAATGATTATTTACATGCGCCGTGATTAGTGGTGGGCAATATCGTATTTTTTTTATCTAAAATTATTCGAATATTTTAACGCATGTCGGCGAAGATGTTAAAGACAACTATTAGGGAATGCATTCACAACAAAAATTAATTTTATTCTGATTTTTATCTTCTGTGTAGGATTTGTATCCCAGTTACGGTCCCAATTTTGAGCGAACAATATTATCATTACTGACCCCGGGATGCGATATTTGTGAAGCTGATAGTTGACATTTTTATGTTTTAATTTGATATCGTTTCCGTGTTACTTTCGTACTAAATAATAATTAAAAAACTCCGCAAATTGTTGAGTATTGAGTATTCACGTAACTCAGCTTTGGTTTGAAACACTGATACTTAACACGTGATAAAAAACAGCAATAATGGTATTTCTACGTGGTCAAAATATTATTTCTCCACAATATCTCGGGAAATTTGCATAGAATACATTATTCACATGCCTTGCTTATCTGATTCAACGTTTCTAAATTTACAAAAACGATGTTGACGCGATTTACGCAAAATTAGAAATTGAAAAATATGATGGCGCAAAAATGGAACAAAACAAAAAATTCTCACATTCATCGTTTCTGCCTGTTGGCGATAGCCGCAGTAAATTTCACGTAACTCGTTGTAAATTTATGTTA